CACAAGCCTTATTTAAAGTACTACTTGAATCAATAAAAGACAATTGCTGGAGAACCTTGGAAGACGGATGGCCCAACCGTTGGTGCCACAACTGAGAAGAATCCACAGCTGAAGCATGAACGACACTTGAAATAGGAATCCCCCGGAAGAAGTAGACACCCCCCAACTGCTCACCCACTCCAATCAGCATCCTCAAAATGCAATCCTGAATAACACAAAAGTTTTTAGTAAACAGGGCAACGCAATTAAATCCTCCAACAAGTGATACAGAGATATCAGACTACACTTTAAATTGGGGACAAATAACACATTAATCAAAACCACAGAATCACTTAGATGAACAGAGCCCGTTTGAGATGCATAAGTCACAGTGCCATCAGGTAATTGAACCGGACGAGGAGAAATAGTCCTCAAATCCACCAAATAGTCAAGAAATCCCGTCATATGATGAGTGGCTCCACAATCGAACATCCAGTGAGAAAAATGCTTACCGGAAGGGGACTCTTCGGACTTAGTTTTGTGCAAAAGATTGATGCGAGTTTGCCATTGAGCCGGAGAGAGACCCGTGACAGCTGCTTTGTCACTCTCGATTATGGCAGAACCAGCAAACGACGACCCGGGAACAATGGCTGAATTAGCACGGCCGAGAAGAGAACCAGAGTCGCGACCACTTGAAATCCCACGTCCAGCAGCTGCACCAAATATAGAGGAAGCTCCACCACGACCAGAAGAATTACCACGGCCGGCAGGACCGCGACCGGATCGATGATTGGTACCCCACCATTCCGGGTATCCAATCAAATCAAAACAAGTGGAACTCTCATGCCCAGGTTTGTTGCAATGGCTGCAAATTACAAATTTGTCATGTCCATCACTAGGTTTGATGTCAGATTTAGCGGAAGGTCTGACAGAAGAAGCCGGACGAGAGGATTGAACCGCAAAGCTGAGTACATCGGCGATCGGTTCGTCTTGAGCAATAGAGAGCGTGCGAAGCCGTTCTTCTTGAAGCAGCAAGGCATAAGCCCTATTAATTCACCGTGGGAAGAGGCTCCTGAGACAATATATTGGAGCGTACAGTCCCATAAATAGAGGAATCTAACCCCATAAGGAGCTGATGAAGCTTCTCATACTCAAGGCGAGTTGTCAACGCCGCCTGAAATTGAGCAGAACCGCATGAACATGTCAAAGGCGGTTCATAACTAGAGAGATCTTCCCACAATTGTTGCAATCAGCCGAAGTAGGAAGCCATAGTACTAAGTCCTTTTTGTTTGCAGTTAGCCAATTCGGCTTTAAGCTGCTGAATACGGGGACCATTCACAACCCCGAAGTGTTCCTGGAGATCTTTCCACAAGTCAGCAACCGCTTCACGATGCGAAACTGTGGAACGCACCGCTGGATCAATAGTATTCATAAGCCAGGAGACGAGAAGAGAGTTATTAGTCCACCATTCGTCGAGATCAGGAGACGTCGCCGGCGGTTGAGGAATACTTCCGTCGACGAACCCGAGTTTCTTTCTGGCGCGAAGAGCGGTACGAACAGCCCTTGACCAAGCATCATAATTCTCAGGTTCGAGAGTAACCTGAGTGATGATGGAGCCAGGAAGATCAGCAGCAGAAAGATAATAGGGATTGATCGTTTTTCGTGGCGGAGGAGCAGTCATCACAGTTGTTGTTGGTTCACGAACAGTTAAGGATGCTTCACCGTGAACCATAAGGAAGAACACCGGCAAAGAAACAGAGGAAAAAAAATGATTTAGAACTGAAAACCAACACTGATTTCTGAGGTTTGGATTAGCTCGATACCATGACAAACAAAGTACATGAACGGCACAACATTCCAATCTGTCTATTATGACTTAGAGTGCAAGTATTTATACAATCCGGTTAGGGTTTCGGAGAAACCCTAAAGATACTACAATGACAAATACACCCCTCTATATATATACGTTAACAGTAACTGCATAAATCTTGTAACAGCATATAGATGAACCTCTTGTTTTCTCACGACATCGCCGACTCCATCATTGTAATTTGATTACTAGTATGGTTTCTCTTAAGGTTTCAACTCTGGGATCATACTCACCGTGATAAGAAGGGAAGATTCCGATCAATTCAAGTCATGAATTCGCAATGTACGTACGAAATTCGAGATACCATTCATGCATATCATGGACTAGTTGACATTCCCCATGATAGCATAAGAAGAAGAAAAGAAATATTGGAAAAAAAAAGTACTGCTTTGTCCAAATTTTCATTGCGAATAATGTGCGCACCTATACATTCCACTAACAAAAGAAGAATGCATGGCATGGGAAGAATGGATAACTGCTAATGTCTCCATCATTCTTCTTCACGAATAAGACGTATCAAATCACACCAACATTAACTCGCTAGCTAAAATTCGTGAATAATCATGTCTTGCTCCGGTATTGAACCTAATATGAACATGTTATCTCGCTAACAAGTTGTATGGACTCAACACTAAAATCGAAACCTCTTAATAATAATTTACACTACAAAAATGATTATTTTTTCACATGTGAATGTAAAAAATATGACAATATTGTTACTAAATCATACTATTATTCCGAGAAAAGCATTCCATTCTGTCTAATCTCATTGAGATGGGTCGAGAATTAACAAGTTTGCTTTATCTTTTGAGATCCTCAAAGGTTGTTTTTTTTTTTTTTGTCCTAATTAAATTTTTTCTTTCCCAAAATGATGGAGAATGGGAATGAAAATGTAGAATTGATGTTGGTACGATTAAGTCGATGGGAATAAGTGGGGGATTCTCAATCTTATCAAACGACGGTGACTTTGGAATCGAGCTCACTTTCTTTTTTCTTGGCCAAATGCATATCTATGATGTGTCATACACTCGAATTTTCTGCCGCCCAGTTCCTCTTTCACGTTTTCTTCTTCAGTGTGCGGCCGATCAATGAGACCTCAAAAGAAAAGACACTAAGAAATATCTGTGACATAAATGAAATCAACAAATTTGTTAAGGTAAATGATATTACACGAGTAAGGGTAGTCTTCAAGATCGTTTGTAAGGTGTATTTTTTTTGTGCGAAAAAAATAACCATGTTGTGTATTAAGTTAAGAGAATATGATAAATATAAATCTTTTAAGCCGGCAAGTGTAAGAATATGATTGTTATTAATAAGATTTATAATAGTACATCATTTTAAAAAATTACACTCCGGGAATTTTATATAAGAACCACCTTATTATATTCCATTTTATAATAATGAGTTGGAATAAATTAGTAACATGTGATGTCCCAACAATGTTCATCACTTTGCATGTATATTTTGTACTTGAAAAGAACATTAAGCAGTTAGTTTGGAATCCACTACAACAATTTATTAAGTTCTGCTCCAACCAAATCAGAGGCCTACAAAATGTCATTTTAGTATATAACATGCGTTACGTTGGAAATTTTCCACCATTGAACATATCTTAGTATACCTAATTTGGTCCCAGGAAAGTGCTAAAACTATAAATTCAAGGCGGCGGCTGCAATGATGTTATGTAAAAGTTCGATCCAAGTAGATAATAATTGGTAATTTTGTAGTTAATGCGAAAAACATAAGTTAAATCTACTCAACAAATGATGTGTTTATAGTAACGGAAAAAAAAAAAAAAACCAAACAAAACCGCAAACACGAAGAGGCAATGACAACCTCCAGACATCCAATTTCAAGCAAGGAAGAAAGAAGGCAAAAAAAAAAAAAAGGGTAATTTAATTAGTTGTTGAAGATCAAGCTTGGGACCAAGAAGTGCAGAAAAAATGTCCAAAAGACATAGGAGTATATGGCACATAGTCTTTCATTAGAAAAAGCTTTGGCCTTTGAGTGTGGCCATGATATTTGTTTATAAAGACAAAACTCAAAAACTCAACAGTCATAATCAGTAACATGATTGAGGCCACCATTGATGCAAACAGGGTTAAAGAAAGAGGATAAAAAGTAAAAACAAAATGTACTGAGAACACTGATAAGAGGTAGAGATGGAAGGTGGAAAGAATAAAAATGATTTGGAAGAAAAGAAAGAGGAGGCGATCCCGAGATGAAAGAGTATTTCAGACACATCCCCTCCACCCGACCCAACAACAACATTAAAAGTTGCCATCTTTTGCTTTAGTTTTCTTCTTTCTTTTGTAGTTTTGTTGTTTCCCCTCTCTTTCTTCACTGACAAAAGTTGTGAGAGAACAAAGAACAAAAAGAACCGATAATATATACTCCCTCCGTCCCATAATTATTGTCCACTTTATCCAAAAAAATTTGTCTCAAAATTATTGTCCAATTTGACTTTTTATGGATCAAGTTACACATTTGTCCTTAGTAAAAAATATTATCCATAAAATCTTAGTAGTTAAACAATTACTTATGTAAAGGTATATCCGGTTGTTTAAGGTAAAATATAGTTAAGTTCGACCAAAAATAAAATCTTTCATTTTAGTAAAATTGGACAATAATTATGGGACAGAGGGAGTACTACATTGTCATGTTTCCTTTGCCCGGAGTTGTTTACTTTTCCTTGGAGACGTATTCACACTTACAGACGATTAAACACCAAGTTTCTTAATTCCACAGAACAACAAGTTTACGAGAAGGATGATGTATTAATAATACGTAAAATATTTGTCACGACGAGGAGACAAGACGAGTTTTTTTTAAGTGTCGAGAGTTCGTACCGTGTTGGTGTTGCATTATTTAAAACGTTTATGGTTAATCACATTTAGTATCACAGATTATTACTAATTACCCACAACAACAAAACCAAAAGGAAGACCAGATACCACCAAGGTAAAAGATGAAGATGAAAATTCTAAAGAAACTGGAGGAGACACAAGAACAGAAGGAGGGAACACGTTTCACTTTCTTTTTGCTTTGTGGTTACTATCTTAAGGCTTATGAATTAGTATTTACCAAAACCCCATTAACTGAGAAAAGCTTTGGTTCATATTTCATCAGAGCTCCTTTTGTCATAAAAATGGCCCATTTCAAAACGGCTTCCTTTAACCTTTCTACTTCTTGGGTCGTTTTTAATACCCTCCACATGGTTTTCATTACTAATTTGAATTGGGGTTCTGGAGTCAGAATGATGTTGAAAGGCCCAACACATTTTGAAAGAATTTACTGCATTTTAATAATTAGAAAGATAGCGTTTCCATTTTCAAAGGAAAACTGAAACCTTCTATATAGCTAAACACCACCATTCCGACCATCCCAAATTGACTACTATATTTTCAAAAGTTCGCTGTCCAGTTAAGATGACCCAATTGCGGTTGCTGATGATAGGCACCCACTTGAGCTCCCGTAGCCCCTGCCGCCACACCGACATTCCCACCCATGGCAGGTCCCAAATGATGGGGATTCGCAATTGCAGCAGGCTGTGGAGTTGGATGATACAAGCCTGGGAACTGCATGTGAGAAGAATGCGCAACGGCTGCTGCAGCGGCCGGGTTGTACGACGCGTGACCACTATGGGATGGCATGTAAGCAGCAGCATGAGGTGCTTGTCCTGGCATGTTGTAATATGATGCAGATTGCATATCTCGTTGATTCATCCAAATCTCAGATGTCTCCGCCTGCCATGTCATCCCAGTGGAAATAAATTTTAATACAACTGAAATGGATCTGACATACAAACAGCATCACACTACAGGAAAATTTTATAGGAAGCAAAGTGCGTAGGATAGACCCCTTCAAGTATATAAGAAAACTCTGATTCCGAGATGCTTTATGACAAGTACATGACAAGATATCAGATAAAATGACAAGCAAAATATGATAAGAGACACTGACCGGTAGATTAGGAACATAAAAATTTCCATCTTTGTACTTTAGCCGAGATGAATCCTCAAGGCCAGTGGCATTTCCGACGATACCAGGAGCATTAACTGTATAACCTGTTGGACTGGCAAAATTCCCAAATCCTGTTGGGTTCGATGTTGGAACTGGCTTGAATGCCTGCATCCCATACTTTAGCCCATTTGCAGTTAAATGAGAACTGGTTCCAGGCATTAACACGTAACTGCTACCATTTGATGGATGAGGATAAGCAGGATTGCTCGAGTAGCCAGGAACAGCCATTGGTGGAACATAAACAGGAGAGAGGAACTGACGGTAAGGCATCATGTTAGCAAAATGTAGTTGGGGATACATCTGGGCCATCACTTGCTGCTGTTGCTGCTGTTGCTGGATCATGGCCATTGATGAGGGGATGCTATTAGCACCATGAGTATTCAGGACCTAAAACCATGACAAAGCAAGAGGTTCAATGACCAAACAAGTGAAAAATAGAATGAGACGGCGGAAAATGGAAGAGATGTTTCATTAAAATCTATAAAACTAAAACTTGAAACATTCTACAAAAGCAGGAACAGAACTCGTCAATTCCCTTCTGAATAGGACCTCCTCAAGTGTCTACGCAATTAAACAACTAAGTATGCTTAAATTAATCAGCTGGCTGAACTCTAGATGGATGTACACATATACAAGGGGAACTGAGCTCAATGCCTTCAGTATTTTCATGGACATAGGAATTTTCTCAAGTTACTTGGCCTGTTTGTTGTTCCAAGAGACGTTGCCACATCTTTAGAAATTCAAAATTTTATTTTACCTCCTGCGGCGATGGTAACCCTTGACCTCGTACAGGGTCATCAACGGTGGGTCCAAAATATGACATGTCATAACCAGACTGTGGGTCGTATCCCTGCAGAAACAATTACAAATCTTGACTATGAATTGCAAATTTGATAACTGAAATTGGGATAGTCAGTTTCCAGAGTAACAAACATGTCAAGTATCGACATTAATGTCTTACTCACCGAAAAAGGTGGCAACTCAGGTTCTGCTTGATGCTGATGTGATTCTTGAGAAACATAAGCTGCATTGTTCTCCCGAGACAACCTCATATCTGCATAACTGTCCAAGTTGGATGGATTTGAAGCCTCCTTTTTGTCGTTCTGTTGATGGTCAGATGCTGCAACTGATGCAGGTGAATCAGTTCCGGAACTTCGAGAATAGTCTTCAACCAAATCTTGTGGCTTGCTAGTGGCAGGCTCATTACGAGACGATTCCTGAGAAGAAGATACCGGCAAACTGCAAATTTACAGAATGAAGTATTTCCGGTCAAACATGGAAGTAACTTAGTACAATCTAGCATGTTTAGAAGCAATTATCCACCCTTAAATATTTTAGGACCAAAAGCAAACTATTAACGTTTATTCTAAGAAAATAAACACATGTCGATATATCCAAACAAGAGTTAAGAGACCAACAGTCCAGTAGATTCCGATGATTCTTCTGCGCCTGCAACTAAGGTAGACAATTGGGGCTCAAAATCAGGATCCAAGGTGCCAAATATAAGCCGATAGCGGTCAGTGTCAGACACGCGAATATGAGAAGCTATGATGACATTCTGATTCTCAGAAATATTTGCACGAGACATTTTATCTTCCAACTCAGCTGCTTCTCTTCCCGAATCTTTGGAATTATCCATTGGAGGAGCAGCATTGGTAGGTGACCCAATGATCCCAGGGCCATTCGTGCTAGCTTTTTGACTCGATTTGGGTTTCCATTCCTTGTTAGGCTGAGAGGCTACATGAAGAAAATCAAGCAAAATTTAAGCATGAACGGGGTTGCACATCAAGAAATTAAATTGCCCACCGGGTATTGACAATGACCAATCAAACCACACAAACCGTGGAAAACTAGCAAGTAGATTCAATAGCACGAAACATGTCAACAAATTTTTACTCCAAATTTCTAACTGAATAGAGTTAATACAGCATTGAATGTGACCATGGATAAGGGATTGAAATTTAAATAATGCTGACCTTTTTGGTGCCCGGATAGCTGATGACTCCTGCTGTTATATTGACTATTTGCGAATGATCTGCTGACTGAAAGGCTGGCAACAGCTGATTCAGCTACCAAATGTTGACTAGAATTGTCAACTTTAGATAAGGTACCAAAAGAACGTGGGGCGGGCCCTTCCCGACTTGATTGCAGATTTGAAACAGAGCTGGCTTGCAAGGATGAAAGTCTAGCAGAAGAATCACTATTTTGGCGATTTGCACCCACCACCCCAACTTCACGCTTTATGGCCCCAATCTTAGCAGTTGGTCTGGAATCAGGTGATGGCACGTGAACAGGATCAGAAGAAGAGGAATAAACCCCAACCACCGAATTACTAGATGATGCCGTAGAAGGCAACTGAAGATCATTTGACTTCTCTAGCTGAATCTGTGGTGCAGTACTAGTAACTGTCACCCTCCTGTCACCAGGAAAATCTTTCTTCACCGTCACACTGATGTTTCCATCCTTGAAATGTCTAGTCTGTGAATTATTGTCCGCACCTGAAGCTTGAGATGAGTTGCGTACAAAAGGTGGCTTTTGATTGACGGATGTTCCTGCCGAACTGGAGCAACATACTAAAATAAGGTTATCTCATCCAGGGCAAAAATTCAAACACAAAAAAGTTTTTACCTCTTCACGGAGCCATCGGTGACGGGTAAATCATTGGTGGAAGATGAACTTTGAACAGGTTTTGACTCTTGATATGAATTTTGTTTACCTCTGTTATCACGCACGACCCGAAACTCGCGACTGACTCCTGCATACAACAAAGTAGCAATGAGCAAAAGCAACCCAGTAGCAGGTCCTTCTTTTGAAACCACTAGCAGCATACTCAGACTCAAAATGAACACGAAATACTTCTTGAAACTCTCCTCAACATAAGTTCTGTTTACGAACTTCAGGAGTACTTTTCAATAAATCAAAATTTTGAACCTTGCAGCAGTTGCCTTGGCACGTTTATATCATACCGCAGTTTTGTCTGTACAATGACATAAACATGCAGCAGATACAGTAGGCAGAAATAACGTGCATATACAAATTTTACCTAGCAGAAATGTTGTATAAAATTTAACGAATTGATTCAAGGATAGTATTGGAGCCAGAGCTAGGTTCAAGCCTTGCCCAAAGCCAGAAAACACATGAGAAATCTTCATCAAAAGTGGAATTTACATTCACCAAAAAAAAAAGGTATTTAATTCAACGTCAACCTCCCCTCTAATCCAACCCAAACTGACAACAATAGAAGATAATATTAGAAAAATACATGGCTCATGCTAAAACCAAAAAGAAAAAAATTAAGGAATCAAATTTAGACACAAAATAAAACACATCAATCACGCGGTGGTGAGTTAAAAAAATAAGATCATACCAGATGAACTGTTGCGACTATAGCCACTTCTCCGAGCATTACGATCAGACTGCATGGCAGGATTTACAGCATTGGACACATACTCAGCTCGACGTTCAGGATTTCTCTTAGGTTCTGAAGCTGTTGAACCCTTGTACTGCATATTCTGGATGAACTGCAGAGAGCAGCATATTCAGTTGATATAGATAATAGGATGACCAATTAATCTAACACTAAATGTATTCAACCCCAAAATCAAAAAAAAAAAAAAAAAGCAGAAAAAGGAAATTAAAAAAGTACAAAGAAAGAGCTCAAGCCTGCGACGACATGGTTCAGAAGGTTCAACTTTCCGTTCCAATAGAACACACACACTCACACCTAAGAAAACTAAATACACTCAAACAAGACACTGAAACAATAAGGGTTTGTCCAGCAGCAATATGACAATTTCTCTTATATTGGATTCTAAAGCCTCAACTCTAATGGCAGCCAACAGAAGCAGAGCATATACCTCTTTCTTCTTGTCCCTTTTTCTCCTCACTTCATGAAATGGATCTGATAAGATAAAAAAGGAAAAATATAACAGATCAGGCAAAACAGCTTAACCTTTATATGAATAACTAGACTGCCAAAGATGTTTAGTTGGTCCAAACAAGTTCAGAATTCAAAAAATATTGGTCAAAATAGTCTTCTGCTTTTAATCTATTATCATCAGTAGGGCAGCTTAAAGCACCAGAGAAATAGCTCATGTTTAGAAGTTGCATTATACGAATGGGTTGTGGATACACAACCACTGATTGCTGAGTTTACACTTTCCAGCTAATATAGGAGGTCTTTATGTAAAGCTTGAACCTCGTCTTTGTTATTATAAACCTATTACACAAAGAATTTAGCCTGAAAATAAAACTGTGATAACTAAATCCAACCCCAAACCGTATGCATCAATTTAGCACTTCCATCCAAGAAAAACTAATTGTTCCATGATGGAACAATAATCTTAAGAAATCAAATTCAAGTTTCAGCCACATTTACGAGCAAGGAAATACATTAAACAGGGTCAGAATAAACTGAGTAAAAAATGTCACCTTCTTTTGAAAATAACAGTAGACATAACTATGACACGTTTATCTGGCAAAACAAAACATTGACACCCAACCAAATATATCCAGAACGGTTTATCTTATTCACAAGAACCCATTGCCACCCAAAATTCCAACATCTACTTTCTACCCACAAATACAAAAGATGAACCCATTGCCACCCAAATTAACCCAATCATACAGCACAATAAGAGGAACCCTTTTTGCAGCCAATTTTGCCAAAAACGGGGAAAACACTAAAACCCAAAAAGAAGAAAGAAAGAAAAGAAAAGGGAACGGCTCAAGTAATGCAGTGGCAAACGCTATAGGAAAACAAGAGAGAAAAACTGTAAAAAAATAACAGGGAGAATTAGGCCAAAAATAAAAACCCACGACCCAAACCCATGAAGAAAACCATCAATGTGGGCAAAGCAGCTACGCAGGGGATTAAAAGCAGGGAAAAGAAAAGACCTTGATTAAGCAATTTTTGAGTGGTCTCGTTAGGATCCATGTTGGACTCTTTAAGGGTAACATATATATCAGCTTCGGAGTGATTCCCGACAATCTCTTTGATTTGCCTGATAGTTTTCCTCACCCCAGCGGATATTACATGAGTGGTGGTGCCTCCCTCGGATTTCGAACTCCCCGCCGAGACCATCTCCAACAATAAAACTCAAGGAGAAAAAAAAATCAATTCTTTTTTTATCAACCGAAACAACAAGAATAATACTACTTTTTCACTGCATAAAGTCTGATAATTCTAACAAGAAAACCAAATATGAAGAAAAGGGTTTATAGCGGTGGTGGATATATTGGTGGGGGGCGGCGGTTTAGGGTGGTGGAGGGAAAGCAAAGCGGAGAACGGCTGAATTGAGGGAGGGAGAAGAGAGTGGGGGGGTTTGGGAGCGAGGGTTTTGGACACGTTTTTATTTTTGAATTTCTTTTGATTTTTTATTTTTATTTTATTTTGTGTTTTGCCCCTTACTGCTTTTCTTTTTGCTTTTTGGCAGTGGGTGGCGGAGGCCGTCTAAAACTTGAATTACATAGCTACCCCTAAAAGCCTGTATTTAATGTACTTCTGTTGCCTTTTATTTCCTAAAAATAAAATTCCCCTTTGTTTTTTTCTTGTAAATTTGGAGATATTCCAAAGTGTATGACTAATAAACCCTCTTTATCCATTAAAATTAGAGCAAGTTCATAGGAAAAAAGTGTCATCTCAAGATACAGGACGTATTGCCAAGTTTTGTAAGACGTATTATTAATATTATTATTATTCTTAAACAACAGAAGTAGTAAGTAATGGTGAATTTTTCATTAACTGAGTTATTGAGATACACTTTCACAAATTTACGTAATTATTATATCGAGTTTTTCATTTGTTTCATACAGTACAATTCTTGTTGATGTATAGGTGAAGATGCAATGAATATTGTTTATTGTATAATTTATTTTTTCTAGATCATTTGATCGCCGTGATAAAATTAATTATTAATTTTCGAAAAGTATTATGAGTCAGAACAAATGAGGGTAATCGTAGAATGCGGTTCGTTTAATTCATTTAACATGAGTTATATACAAATGAATGTTAAATGATAAACATGGCAAATAATGTATATCAACAAGATTACATTTGAATTAGCATAATTATAAGATAATTCAATATTAAGTGATCAGATAATTTTATAATATTTATTTGCAAATTTTTATATAAATACTTGCACATAGTGACATGAATCATTCATAAGGAAAGACTAATATACATCTCATCATTAGCTAACCTCTCAATAATTATATACACTCATCTAACCATTTAGATTGATAATCATTTATTACGAAAAGAAAATACCATGAAAAGTTGGAAATATATCAATGAATGCAGATTTACACATATTGTTAAAATATTGCAAAACTACACATATCAACTCAACCGAAACAAAAATATTGTTAAACAAAATAAATTATTTTTTTATAACCAATAATTGTTTTTTTTTTTTGACTAGTGATTTTGCCAGGACAATTTCTAACATCCAGTGCATAATTAAACCTATCTTCCAAAATTAACCCTCGTGAAGTTAAAGCATATCCTCTCCTGATTTCCAGTTCTCTCTATCTGGTCCAACCAATTCTCTTTTCTTCCAGTTCTCTCTATCTGGTCCAACCAATTCTCTTTTCTTCCAGTTCTCTTTCACGTTTTCACTGCTTATGCACACCGATTAACATAAGTAGTTTTAATCTGTATTCGTAATCCATAATCATAAAATGGTTGCTAGTAAAGGCCAACACAGAGGGCTGATTAAAGCCATATGCCTAACAAAAGTAGCCATTTTAGCCCAATGGTTTTCAGCTGCATTAGAATTCTCACCAAAATGAAATTGTTTATGCTTAAAAATTATCTTTAAAGAGGAAGCATCATATAGCCATTAGTTGCAAGGATTATGATTCCAAAATCACCAAGAATGAAAACATCAATAAGACAAAGCTTTCGGGAGAAGCCTATAATATATTCACCAAGATCAATGACAACATCAGAAATAACTACATGTGAAATTCGAGGAGAATCCTATAATATATTCACCAAGATTAAATGATTCCAACACAGTTTCTTTGAGGGGGACAGACAGACAGTACACCATCAAAGAAAACTCGAGATACGCCATCGGGTGGGGAGGCACTATTGGACAATGCTCCCAGAAATGCGATGCTATATCACAATTAGCCTTAGCAGAATCACTGGCAACCAATAGCCATAAATTATCATAGAAACCTCAAAAATCAATTTTTAGTAATTTGTAAGTAAAAAAAAAAAATCAAATATCCCAATGTCGCAACCAATTCCAACACTGATTCACTAAAAACATCAAATTCATCATTAAATTCTACCTTAATCGAAAATTAATCAAATTCTGTAAAAACTTATTTTATCAAATTCAAGCGAAACACTTAGCCTTTCAGATATATTCTCTGGAAGTAAAATTGAAATCTACCAAAGAAACTCAGAAGTATAGCCAAGCCGTCAGCGGTAAACCACAAAAAAAAAGGCCGAAAAGGAGAAAAGGTCTGTCACAAGGGAAGTAGAAAGAGAAAAACAGAGATTTAATAAGATTAATGAATTAATTGACTAGAGATTAGGGGAGAGAATATTCACTTTGACTTCTGATGGGTGATTTCGAAAGACATGCGAAGATTTGCACTGAATGTTAAAAATTGTCCTGGTAAAATCAGTGGCTTTTTTTTAGACAGACAATTTGGTGTAAAATTCTACTAGTATACGAACATTCTTGCAGATCTTTTATTAAATCTTTGCACATTACCACTTATGCATATTAGGTTTTTCCTTTTTTCAGGATTAAATATGGTGGGCAATTTTGGAATTTTACAACTCATTTTTGTACGTCTCCGTTTACTCGTTAGGATAAACTAGGAAAATCTCAAACGCTGCAAATTGAGGACGGAGTTTCTTCCAGAATCCTTTCACCGCTACTCGATAATGTAAATGTTCCTCTCCCACATTCTTCAAATTCAGTCTCCGATTTAAACACAAACCAAAATTATTATTCTTGAAGAGATCATTTTTCTGAAGCCATTTTAAAAGAGATGGTGAGCTCTGCTCTGGGTTGTACTTCACTTCAAATCGCCTCCACGTGCATTTCTTGTGGCAGCAGCAGCAGTGAAAGGTATAATTGGAAGCAAAGGAAATATTATTTTGGGCCTATTATTGGTAATGGTGGATTGGTGGAAAAGCAGCAGCTTCGAGGAGTGGTTTGTTTCTCGTCCAAGAAGAAAAAGAAGGAATTGGGATTCATGGACCAGATTCTTGATTACATTGAAGGTTCGCCCCTTCTCATCCATGACCTCTTTTTTTAATTTTTAATTAATGATTCGAAAAGGGTTTTAATTATCTGGGAAAATGCTTCAGAGTGTGCACCACATTATGCTGAATCACTTGTTTGAGATATGGAATTGAGTTGATGCTGTTTAAGCACTTTCATTATCGCTGTTATCACATTTTCAGATCACTTTGTTTGCATTGTAAAGTGACTTTGTGGACATCAGTTGCGAATCTTGATTTTGTTTTAGAAATGTAGAAGGTAACCCCAGAAAGATATTGCAAGCAAATTAGATTAGAAAAATTACAAGAAGCACTTTGCATAATGAAGTAAAAAGAACAGGTCTGCCAAATTTTCTTCAGGTTCAATGAGACGAGGGTATCATCACAAAAATATAGTTTAGATGCGAGGGACTAATCAATTATTTTCAATGATATCCGGAGAGGGGGTTGAATAATAAAAGATGGAAGTGATGCATAGACTTTGGCTTCCAACATTGCAACTCTCCATGAATATCTGCTTGCATATGATTTTAACTCCCTGAAAGAACTTGAGGATTTTACGTTTTTGATGCTGTAAATTGGTGATGTCTTTTGTCCATGATAGGGGGTCCCAAGTTGAGGAGATGGTATGGAGCTCCTGATCTCCTCCCAAGGGATGGATCAGTGGATGAAGAAGATGAGGCTACAGGTTGTGTGACATGGCAACTTTGTCTTTCTGGTTCTTGCTATGCAATTATTGACGATTGATTATCCGCCTCTCTTCAGTGACAGAAGAGGAAGAGGAAAAGGAAGAGGAAGGAATCAGGGATGCGGTATTAGTAACAGATGGAAATAGTGAGATTGGTCAGGTGCAATGTGAAACTCATTATTATGGACGTATGGGATTTGTACTAGAATTTGATTGAACTGGAATGATCGTTGGATTACTTGTACTCTGCATAATAGTGCATGAATATTTGGAATCTTCTTGCAACTGTTGTTTATCAGTCTATCATACAAGAAGTTGTATGTTTGTGGTTACACCATTATCCTACTATTTTAAAATGTATAATGTTTGTATCGCAGATGGTAATACTGTCTCTGATTGTCAAACGAATGCGAGTTAAAGCTCTGGTAAAGGACAAACGAGCTGCTATGGAAGCCTTTGGCACTTATGTTGAGGTTGGTGAATTGTGCTATCATGCTTAAGATTTTTGGACCACCAAAATATCAACTTTTATGTAGTATTGTTCATATTAAAGTTGGTTTTTGATGGATCTGGTCTTCTGAAGTCAATTGCAGGTTCCACAACTGATAGTTCATCTTTAAGAAAAGCTCTCAGAGGTGCTCGTGCAGTGATATGCACAAATGTATGAGTTTTTTTATTGATCTTCCATTCAGATTGCTCTTTACTAAATCCAAAGTTTTATGCATAGATATTGATTTAGCAAGTAGTTCCCTATATGCCTGTATATTCTGCGATCCGCTTACCTGGCAAGTAGTTCCAAATATATCTGAAGTCCTAGTTTTTCCATGTGTCACACTCTCATGCCTGATGGCTTTTGCATGTGACAGCCTTTGTGATTGTATTGTTGTTCTTACTTTTTTTGGCTAACATGCTACCCTTTCCCGCAGGAAGGTTTTGTATCCAATGTTGAAAGCTGGAAAGGAGTTGATCACATCATCCTATTGTCCCAGGTACTTAGATCCTCTCTTGGAACTGGGAACATCACCAAAGTTCCATTACTGTCATTTGAGAAGATTGCAGTTGTCTGTTTATAGAGGCAATAGCGGGATTCAAGCAATTATGAACAGCAATGCGAGAAAACTGGCTGAGCAAGATGAATCAGCACTAATGGCCTCAGGAATCCCTTACACTATTATCAGAGCTGGGGCATTGAAGAATACACCAGGAGGTCAAGGATTCAGCTTCAAGAAGGTACGCTCAAGACTCTTGTTATGGCACACTTTCTTTCTCAACAATAAATGATATCTGTTTACTGTCTTACATATGCTACTATTCATGGTTTCTCACGTTTCTAGCTTTGAAGCATTTGGTCATACGGTATAAGTCCTAGTAAGCATCAGAAGATTTTTAAACCAAGTGGATTTACATAAATCTAATACAAGATATCTGCCGTTGTGGCTGGTTTGAGTTCATTACTTACTCTGCAATATTTATTACGAAAAATCAGTTTGCTTTTGCCCGAGCGTGATTTTCGAGCTAAAACGTACGTTTGTGAAGAACTTATATCAGATATTTTTCATGGTAGGATTGTGCAACACAAGGAAGCCTCAGCAAGGAGGATGCAGCCTTCATCTGTGTAGAAGCTCTTGATGCTGTTCCTGAAAAAGGATTTATGCTTGAGGTTTGTGCAATACTTCCTATATTTGATTCTTAGATATCCTTAAACCAACCGTTAGTTTCTGTTTTCAAGCATTTCCTACCAAACTTCCTTCATCTGTGGTTTTAAGACCTGTGTTCATCAAAACTTTGTCTGTTCTGTATATGAATCCAAATAAATGTCCTGCTGAAATTTCATTGGAGTAAGGAGCAGAAAATACAAAAGGCATATCTGCCATGCAGAAAGTACAAAAAGGATACCAATTGCTGTCGATGAACTGTATCTATCATCATTGATATTTTTGTCTATGTAGGCTTAATATCTACACAAATTGCATCTTTATATCTGCTTTTGGTGGTGTTGTGGTTGTTGTTCTCTTCATATATCAATCTCCTCTTCTGATGGCAAAACTACTAAAACACATGCTAATTTGTATATTCACAGGTGGTTAATGGTGAAGAGAAAGTCTCAGATTGGAAACAATGCTTTGAAGAATTGATGGGAAAATCAGATTGAGCATATTGTAGATTTAACATTGTTTAAAAATAGGGGATGAGCCAAATTCTACCCAATCCCAATAAACAAACAAAAAAAACATCGTACTGTCCTATGGAATATTTTTTTGTTCTTGCCAGTTGAAGTTTCCCCAAGAATGACAGCTGCGTTTGTACACATGTATTTGAACATAATAACTATTCCTTCTGTCATACTATATTATGGGGTTAAACTTAAACCTCAGTTCATTAGTTGGCAATTGACAAATCGGAGTTGATACAATCAATATCATGAACACGATTCAGATATTGGGGCTAAATGAGTACTTCACAATGTTTATTAATCAAGAAGAAAAAGAAATTGTCTTGATTGTTACAATGAAACAACTTTTCTCTAAGATTTTTATTACCATTCAAAACATCATCATCAGAGTTTTTTTTTAAATTTTTTTTTTTAATCACATGATTCTTCTTGTAAATGGACTTACCAAAGTAGGTGGAAGTGATTAAAAAAATACCATAATTATTTTGGACAAAATGTAAAGGGTCAAGGCAAGAAAATTTAATTAGATAGACAATTTGTGGTTGGGTTTGATCGATGTTGCTGTCATCCCTTTTGGTCAACAAGAGATGATCAAACCGTAGGAATGTGGGTTAGATTATATTCAAAAATTAAGATTTATTCCCACTTATTCACACACTCTTGGACTTTTCAGACATGCATCACAAGATTACCTCAAGATTATTAAAATGAGTATATACTGATCCAACCAATTAACAATCTCATTACTATCCATATATTTTCCGTATCTGGACGAGATTGACATCTCGTGTGTGATGGAGACAAACAAAATAGTGACATAATGAGGGGAGAAAAGATTAGGAAAATAACACTATCAATATAGGGAGAAAATGAGGGGTGTGGAAGATGAGGAAAATAAGATGATCGGAAGAGATGACTGAAAAAGATGGAGTCTAGGTTTATGGAAAGGCGTTTGTGAAAAACATGTCCTACAGAAACAGGATAACCCGTTTGATAAAAACCATGAACAAGAATCATACTTGGTAGGGCCCTTTTAAGTTCCCATCAGAAAGGAAAGGCACAGCAGCTGCCAAATGATGAAATCAAATCATGTGGATAATGAAGAACTTTTCTATTACAAGGAAGACAGGAAAACAGTTTTGAGTTCAATGAGGTTATCCTTGGGCCTTTTTGTCAAAGAAAATTTTATTCTTTGAATAAGAGTAGAATGACACAGAATGAAAAGTCCCCTAATATTTGCAGCAGAAGACAAGACATTGAAGATCTAGTATCAGTTACACATTTTATCTAACCCAAAATTGATGACAGAAAGAGATTGACGATTGAAGATTGATGATTAAGACCATCCCTTATGAAATCTCATGAAAATGTGATAAATCCAAGCTTCTCAATTGGACCTAATTCTCTTCTGGCCACCTCTTCCATCCGATTTAGTTGTCCCACCAGAATCCCCTTCTGAAGAAACCTCCATGGATTTGGTAAAAGAATGTGAAAGATCAGCATAAAGATCCACAACCCTTCTAATGTTGTTGTTAAGCTCCCTAATTAGTCCAACATTTCTGGACAAGTTATCTGGGATCTTGGACTCATGATTTTGATTAATCTCATTGATTAGCAGCCTGTTCTGGTCTAAAATGTTCTGGACTTGTCCGAAGCTCTTCTGAAATGTTTGAACAACTTTGCTGTCCATTTGTATTCCACTTCCAATCCCAGAAAATATATCATCTTCCATTTGCAGTGTTACCACTTTGAAAATGCAAATCAACGAAATTTTACCAGTAACACTGCAAGTGCAACATAAAAAAATCCAATCTATGGTCAACCCCAACAGCATAATCAACAGAAAGATTAAATTTTGAACCAAAAAGTAGCAATCTTTAACCTTTTATGAGTACTGCAGTAACTAATAAGCAAGATCTGGTGTTGACTCTTAGAAGGTGAATGAAAATCTCAATAAAAAAAACTATGATTGGCAAGAAAAACAGAGAGTAAAAAGCAAAGAAAAAGACCTCAATTTTCAGCTGAAACAATCAAGAGTTCACAGTTTTAAGTACATTCAAGCTGTTGCATGTAAAGATTAAAAGAGAGCCATTCCCAGAAAGATGCAATCTTGGACCCAAAAAATGAGACAAAAGTTAAAAATAGAACGGGAAAAAGAGATCTGAAAAAGCAAAGGAAACCAGCAGAAAAGGCTGAAAAACAATTGGCCATATGTTCTAAAGGCTGGGGCCTGGGAGAGGATACACTCAACGACCATAAATTGAAATTAGCAACAGCCAGCAAATCCCCTGAACAAAATTCCAAAACAAAAAAAAAAAACAATAAAAACCCAGAAAAAATATTTGGGGTAGCTAAGTTCAAGAACCTAATCACAGCTATAACCCAGCCATACAGAGTTATTGGCCAAGTTCCAGAACCCATATCAGTAAAGAAAAACCCTTCAAGAATCTAAAAAGGGAAATTCCATCCCGGCAATGACAGAGCTAAAAAAGAACAATCTGAACCAAAAAAAAAAAAAAAGCCCAACAATTTCAAACAAAAGGAGAGATGAGGAGAGACAGATGAAAACCCCCTAAAAAAAAAAAAAGAATTCCTCACCTGGAAACAATTCTGAGACATTCTTTTCCCTAATATGGGGTGCAGAAATAAATGTGGTGGAATGAATGACAATGAATCAATCAATCACTCAAACCAAAACAGAGGCGGCCCTGAAAATCACATCTGTAAAGGAATGATGGGGTAATAATAATAAATGTTCTTTTCAAATACTATAAAAAGGAGAGTTTTTTTCAGATATTTTTTAATTTTGATGTGTGGGGTTTTGTTTTCTCTCACTGAAGGAGCGGGATTCTGCTCCGGCGATTCAGTGAAGGTGTGTTGGTTTGGGTGGTTTGTTAGGGAAGAGAAAAGATCTTTGGATTTCGTGTGTACTTATGTTATGACTCATTTTAGTCCGTAGGAGAGACTTGCGATCTTCTTCGTCAGCTGTACACACATCATCCTGGCCGTCCATTTCCTTCCTTTTTATCTGTGAGAGAATCAGACATCATTGTCTCGCTTTTTATGTTTAGTTCTCGTGGGATCTTTTTATTTGTCTCTTTTATTATTTCTTCTTTTTGAGCTATTTTATATCCAAATTTTATGATTTTGGGTGGACTGTAAACGATGAAAAGTTTTTTTGATAATTATGTACACAAATTGGACAATTGCATAAATTAACAAAGTTTGGCTACTACCTTACCAAAAACCATAATAGTGTTTATTAATTTCACTCGCCGCAAATTATTTTTAGAACGGCCAATCACTACTGTTATCACGACAACTTAGGCACCAAGGGGGAATTTATGGATTACTCATAACATGTACTCCTCCTGTCTCAAAATTATTATCCATTTTGAGATTTCATTTTTAGTTCGATTTGTATTAAAAATAAAAATTTAAACTGGACAATAATTTTGAGACGGAGGGAGTATTATTTTTTGGTCTAAAATTTCTAAACGAGACTTCAAATTCACAAACTAAATGTACCAAAATGTGAAACTAGGGTTTATGGATTCCACAAAGAGTAACCCCATAACCAAATACCAGATATGTATTTGTTTCAAAATACCGAGCAAATACCAAAACCCTTCTTAAATAAAGGTTTTCATTGATGAGGGTCAACAATCAAACAAATGCACACGGAAATGTCAATAAACATTGGATTGACCACATTGAAATTTAGTTTGACCAAGTAAACGAACAAAATTAGATTAATTTATTGTGTTTGAGTATTTTTTGGGTTAAAGAGTTTGCATTAAATGATTAGTTTGATTTAAAAACATTTGACACATTCAATCATTAGCATTTAGCAAAATGTTACTCCCTCCGTCTTATAATTATTGTTTAGTTTGGATTTTCATTTTTAGTTCAGTTTGTACTAAAAGTGAAATCTCAAACTGTACAATGATTTTGGAATAGAAGGAGTACTAATTAACAACAGCAATAGCAATAGCTCCCCCAAAAAAACAATAGCAAATTGAAAATAAGCCAAAATCGCCATTGAACCCTTATACTCTTTCATATTTCCAATTTCAACCCACTATACATTTTTTTACAAGTCCCAAGCGCGTGTTATTCACCTCTCGTATATAAAGTTACGGAGAAAAACTGACTACACAGATCATCCGCCTTCGTCGCCGCGGTGGAGCTTCCGTACTCCGACAACGGAACAATAAACACTCCCTCTCCCCCCCCCCCGAATCCGTTTTTTATAGTTCCGGCGACGACGGTTGGCTCCCGTTTAAATTCCGCCGGATATAAAAAAACAGAAACAAATCTCAAATCAAATTCAAGAGCTGTACACATTATTATCACCATCCATTCCATCTGAGGGGGGGTTTCAATTCATTCAATTGATTTCAGATACAATAAAAGATGGCGGATAATTCATCCCCATCCCCCAACCCAATTAAACCCAACGAGCCCACCAATTCCCAACAACAACAGCAACAGCAGCTCCAATCACCGTCAATGGTGGGAACCCCATTGCAGCCTTCTCCGGTTTCAACCCCTTCAATTGATTTGCCCCAAATTCCCCTTACTCCCTCACAACCACAACAACAACCCCAGCAACCAGTTCAAGTACAACAGCAACAACAGCAGCTGAATAGTAGTAACAACAACAACAATAATAACAGTGGTAATGCCAATAACAGTAATACTATGATGGCGGCAGCAGCTAATTACCAAATGCAGGCTTTACAGAGATCTCCGTCAATGTCATCGAGGCTCAGTCAATTTCAGCAGCATCAAATGATGGTGAGGCAGCAACAACATCAGCAACAATCGGGAGGAGGGTTATACGGGCCGATGAATTTTGGGGGTCAGGCAGCTTTACAGCAGCAGAATCAGCAGCTTCAACAACAGCAGCAACAAAATCAGCAGCAGCAGCAGCCGCAGCAAATGGGGGGACAGATGGCCGCCGCGGCGGCGGCTGCTCAGTTGGGTGGTGGTGGCGGGAACTTAACGGCTCGGTCCGCTGCCTTTATGGGACAGTCTGCTGCAAATCTACAAATGTTATCTGGTCAAGCTGCTGCGGCGACATCCCAGTTCAATTTGCCGGCACAGTATCTATCTTCGGTAAAATATGAGAATTTTTCTATTGTATATGAAGCTGGTCTAGTTTTCAGTTCTAGTTGCAGAGTAAAAAAAAATTTGAGATTTGCTTTAAGCCCGTTAGTGTGTCTACATAATGGTTTTTTTTTTTTCTCGTCTTGAATGAAACTCTTGAATACTTTGTTACCAAAGCTTTTGGAAGCCTTAATTATCCTCAGTAAGATATGCAAATGATGAAACTTAATATATTGTTGGATGCAGCCACGGCAGAAGGCAGGTTTAATGCCAGTAGGTTCCCAGCTGAACGCTACCGGGCAGGGTTTGCAGGGAATGCAGGCGATGGGTATGGCCAATTTGAACTCCCAACTAAGACCCAACGCCACTGCTTATGTCGCACAGAGATATAATGCTGCACAACTGAGGCAGTTACAGCAAGCTAATCTAACTCCGAACCAGGTATATTCTGAAATAGATTGGCCTTTATTTATTTATTTATTTATTTTTTGTGTAGTCTTTGGATACTTTGCTGGATCATTGATTAGACTAAGTACCGTAAAAATGAGCTTTGCCGGGAGAGGGGGTTGTACATGGGTGGGATACATGTGTGTCTATGTTTTCTAGACTGGGTCACTCTCACATTGCGATTAGGCAGCTTGACGTTCATTATGGAGCTTTGGAGTCCGGGCTCTGCTCAAATCTATTTTATTTCAAAATCCACCAAATATTTCTCGGGCACTGGGTGGTGTGATATGAACAGTTAATGATGACTAGTTTATATCTTCCTTTTTTGATAGTCTTGGACTTATCCTTCTGGAAAATGATTTTTCAAAATTAAATAATAATGGTCAATTTCACAAATTCACAAAGTTCCTCTTTTGGGCATCAAATGCTTTTTGCCCTCTATCCCTTTCCCATGTTGATCAAAGTCACAGTTTTCAGGCTTTGTAGAAAGTGGATGGTGTATTATGTGTTGGGGAGGTTTCTGAATTAGAATTCTTGTCGTGGTAGTTCTCATTTTCTTTTGGGCTACAGAATTATTTTTTGATAATGGACCTTGACGTTATTATTTATCCTACTTATAGTAGCATTTGAGTCCGGACGTCAAAACAGAAGATTCAAATGAGCCATCGATCTATTCTTGAGGGGATACTGACATGGACAGTCACAAGAGGGATATTTAAGGGGAATTGGATTACGTTCGATGTGTTTTTTCTAGTCCACTCTGACTGAAGGTTTTCAGTTGTAAAAACTTTGACTTTGCCGATATAATGGCTTGATTTTAAGTTAGAATGATTGATGGCCAACCTGTACGAAAGCAGTATCGACATGTTGTATCAATATGGAGGAAATTATTGTTTTTAGGAGTCAGCCTTGCGTCATGGAAATGGTGTGATTTTTGTTTTTGGACCTTGGTTACTTCTGCAAAGGAAGGCCTTATCTTTGGATACATAAAATGATCATGGAGTTAATAGAGTGAATTCAGGAATGTAGGAAATGGATCTTTGTCCATGTGTAGATGGGTCTTTGAGTCTAGAAACTAAATCGGTTAAATTTACTGGCAGTTAATTTTATTTTTATTGTTATCATTTTTTAAATCTTGTCTCAAGTAAGAAGTTGCGTGTGGGGGGAGATTTTCAGTCAGTGCAGCTGTGGAATTCATTGCAGGATGAGGAAACTGATTGGCGGTTCGTCTTAAATGAGGAAGGCAATCCGATTGTGTAATCTGCACCATTAGTAGAAAACTTTTGCATGATGGTGTATTAGAAAATATATCTCTAGTATTGATAATTTTGTTACTGGAAGCGGTCATCATGCTTTTCTTGCTGAGTTGCCGTAAACATTGTTGACAAATACACGGCTCAGCTCTGCTTGACTGTCTTGCTATGTGTAGTCGTGTATTAATAACTTTACCTGATGTTCGCAATGCCTATTTTTCACTATTTTTATTTACTTATTCATTAAAAGTTAACTACCTTATAGGGGGCCCGGGGGGGGGGGGTTCGGGCTTGTAACCATGAGGTCCAGGGTCTTAGGTTCGGATCTTGGCGGGTGGATTCCGAAAAGCCTTTAAAAAACCGAAGTATTTTTGCCTTGTTTCTGCCGGAGTTAGATTTTTTAAATCTTGTTATGGTTAATGCAATAATCATAACTGGAAATTGCAGACGCAAAGCGTGGGGAGGGCACCGGTTGTAAACCCACAACTGTCCGCATTGACTCAGAATGGCCAAATGGCTTTAATGCAGAACTCTATGTCACAACAACAATGGTCAAAACAAATGCCTGGAATGGCCTCTCCCAGTTCTCCGTCATACCGTTTGCAACAGAGGCTCTTTTTGCAGCAGCAACAACTTGGTTCATCACCGCAGTTGCATCAAAATTCAATGCCTTTAAACCAGCAGCAGTTGTCACAATTGGTACAACATATGCATCAGCATCAACAACAGCCGCAGTCAACACAACAACAGCTCCTACAGCATGCCCAACAGCAACAGCAACAGCAACAGCAACAACAGCAGCAGCAGCAGCAGCAGCAGCAACAACTACAACAACAACAATTGCAGAGTCAACAGCAATCGATTTTGCATCAGCAGCAACAACCTCAGCAATCAATTTTGCATCAGCAGCAGTCTCCTCGAACAGTCGCCCCTGCAGGCCAGAAATCTCTTAGTTTAACGGGATCACAGCCAGATGCTACAGCATCTGGAGCGACGACGCCAGGGGGAAGTTCAAGTCAAGGAACTGAAGCGAGCAATCAGCTGCTGGGCAAGAGAAGGATACAGGACTTGGTTTCACAGGTACTCCTCCAATCTCACTTAGCCTACCCAAATATAAGGATACTTTAATGGTGATACTTTATCTGTTGATTTTAAAACCAGGATTGTGTTTGAGGGACGATGTTGTCTATGCAGAGAAATTTTTAATTCCTTAAGAACAAGTTTTCTTATGGGTTTGGCCGTGCTGATAATTTACTCAGTGTTACTATTGTTGTCAGAAGCTTATTTCAGCTAATTTTTCAGGTAGATGCGCAAGGAAAGCTGGATCCTGAAGTTGAAGACTTTCTTTTGCAGATAGCTGATGATTTTATTGATTCGGTGAGGCATCCAGGACTTGTAAAGAGTGATTATACCCGCCTAATGTTGTTAATATCTGAAACGTCTTGACTATTTTTCAAAAAATGAGTAGTATTTGATGTGAAGTTGTTTTATCAATTTTTTTTTGTACACAATCTACCAGTTTTTCTTTTTGTCCTTTGGTAGATTTCTTTTCTTCTTCTTTCAACCTTTACTCTTCTTTAATAAATCTATTTGTTTAATATACCAATGTTTTGTCTTCCTATCAATCTATTATCATCTGTGTTTCATCATCCTCATATTTTGCAATTCTCTTTACCAATAACATGGTCGCCTTATCAACTGGATCTGTTGCCTGGCATAGGCAAGTTGTGAACAAACTTGACATTCTGTAACTTTAAACTATCTGTGTTGCTCCTTGTAGGTTACTTCCTTTGCTTGCAGCTTGGCAAAGCATCGAAAATCCTCTACTCTAGAATCGAAGGATTTATTGCTGCATCTAGGTTTGTGCTGTGTAAATAAACTGGCTTTACTCTTTTCCTCCGGCAGAGTTCATCATCTATTATGTCTATTTGGAAAATGAAATTTCATTGCCATGCATGGGAAATTCATAGAAAAATATGCTAAATGTGGAAATATGTTGATGACATTTTTTTTTAAAAAAAAAATCCATCCCAGTAGACCCCATGTTAATGACGTAATGATGCTTCTGAAATCATATTGTGATGACTTGTATTTCCTTTCAGTCAGATCACCAGGTTGTTGTAATTGTGATCATCACTAATCTTATAAAAAATATTTGCAGAGAAGAATTATAATTTAACTGTACCTGGGTTCTCAAGCGAGGAGAAGAAACATCAACAGAATCACGTAAGTGTTTTGTGGCTGAACATCTAGTATACTTCATTGTTTTCCATCGATGGGATGTGGTTGAGGGCTTTAATCTTTTAATGGAATTCAAATGAAGTTAGTTTTTGCAGCGCCATCTAAATGGAGATGTTCCTTGTGATTCCCCTTTGCTTTTAGCCAAGTTTTTATTCAAAAGTATATCAACCTCTTTTTGATGATTTTCACAATCAAATCTGTTTAGTTTCGGTTAATGCTTATGTTCATTTTGTGACATTATGCAGCCACAAAGCGATCTTCACAAAAAACGCCTGGATGTGGTAAGTTCTTTTTGTTTCATCAATTCGTCATTGGGATCATTTGGTCATACGCCAGTGTTTCACTTGATTATATAGGATCATAAATAACCGTCTTGTCATTCTGAGTAACTTTTAACGTTGGTCCATGGATCAGATACGTGCTTTGATGGAGTCGTCATCTTCTGATATGAGTAACTCGGCAGAGATTCAAAGACAGGGCCCTGGTGGCAACAACAGCAATAACCAAGCTGGTAGAAACCAGATGATAAGACCACCTAGTTCCGAACAGTTGGTTTCACAACCTAATAATACTTCTCATATGCTGCAGCAGATAACTAGGTTTTGAGAGTAAGTCCATGGCTACATTCTATGGTGCTGCTTCGATTAGTTCTAGTTTTTATTTTTGAAAAAATTCTGACATTTGTATTTTCTGCTGCAGAAACCTAACTATATTCCTGTTGCCGTCAATGTAAAAGGATGGGCTCTGGTGTCGTACTGAGGGATTGAATCATATACATTACCAGTTTAAACTGATGTGAATAAGTAGTTTACACCAATAATTGCATTGCTCCATTTTTAATGTCCAACCAAGTCCACATTGATCCCTGCTGCTGCTGCTGCTGCAATAAGTTAGCTTACTCATTGAGCTGACGGGGCGGGAATGGATGGGTCGGGTCACCGAACGAGTTGGACCTACCTACCCTGCTTAAGGTTGCTTGTTCAGTTAATCTCCCTTTAGAAGGTAGAGATGCTTGAGTTTAGAGTGTCTTACAGTTGTAATTGTAGGTTATAGAATTTGTTTGATTGGGGGGTTTGATATATTTTCTTTTCTTTTTCTTCTTTAATATCCTCAAGGTGGGATTTTCACATGTATGAAAGGAGTAAACATCTCTAAGATCTGTAGATATGAATATAGATGTTTCATTTGTATTATAATTTTTTTTTTTAACAAGCTTAAACCATGATATTCCATTAAGAACTGAAAAGACAGATGATAGGGTTAATTAATAGACCACATGTTTTCTAGCTCTCTGGATTTGCACTTTGTCTAATCCTATTTCTCATTGTAGCTTAAGATATTGATGCAGTTCCTAAAATAGAAACCAAAGCTTCCATCATTTGTTTTGGTTAAGTGAATCTAAAAATGAATGCATGGTCCTCCAGATTTACCCATGTGCCAAGAATCTAATCTCTTAAATTCAGTTTGATCCTCAGCATTTAATTTACCTTACCGATGATTGAAATGATTGGGTGGATGATTTATCTCTCGAAAGCGATTTACGCGGCTCTGAACCAGAACTAATGTTAAAACTCCGAGCAATATAAATGGGGGGGATGAAGGCTCTCTTCTCTCCACCATCCCAGTGAATGTTAGAAACTAGAAAAAAACATACATAAAGAGTTAAGTAAAAAAGATGGGAAGAAAACCCTGTTGTGGGAAGGAAGCTGGAGTGAAGAAAGGGGCATGGACTTGTGCAGAGGACAAGATCCTTGCTGATTACATCAAATCCCATGGTGAAGGAACATGGAGAAGCCTTCCTCAAAGAGCAGGTTAGTTATATGATGGCAAAAGGGTGCTAATTTTTCACCAATCTATTTGGAAACGAAGAACAAAAACTTTGGTAATTAACTTCATTGACTGTGTAATTTGTTTCTGATGTCGAAAACACAGGACTCAGAAGATGCGGGAAGAGTTGCAGACTGAGATGGATGAACTACCTAAGACCTGACATTAAGAGAGGAAATATAACTGAAGAAGAAGATGACCTCATCAGCAGACTACACAAGCTCCTGGGAAACAGGTCAAAATTAACCACGATTCTGTCTTATGCGTTCATTTTGTTAATTCTACTTTTTCGGTACTTTTAAGCTTGTTATGGTAACCATATAGTTGGTTTGGGATGTTTGTAGATGGGCATTGATAGCAGGAAGGCTCCCGGGACGAACAGACAATGAAATCAAGAACTATTGGAACACCAAAAAGAATCATCATCAATTTCATTCCAACACAGCCAACAAGAGGAAGAAGCAGAAAAAATCAGCCAAACAGCCATCCCCCTCATCATCAACAACAACAACAAAGCTAGTGAAGGATGAAAAATCAAAGGCGGCAGCTATAATGAATCCCAATACTACTACTACTACTACTACTACTACTACTACTACTATTTATAGTAATGATGATGATTCAGCAGGTGATGAAAAGAACAACGTGATTCGCACAAAGGCCACTAAGTGCAGCAAAGTTTGCATTCCTACGCATTTACAAACTTCTCAGCCGCCGGGCATCATGATGATCAACTCGCCGGTTCAAGACTACTACTGGCCGGCCTACTCAGCCGATAATTTTAATCCACCTGTTCCTCATCCTCCACCAACTCCGGCTGCCGGTTTCTGGGAAGACTTTGAAACGCACAACACTTTATACCTTGGTGATTTCATCGATGATTTTCTCTACAACGAGCTACAGCATGACATTTTTTTCGGAGGCCTCCCATGATGACTGTACCACTACTTGGTACTCTACTCCTGAAAAAAAAAAAAAAGGTCTCAATAACCCTGTGTATCTGATCGTTATGTTCATTTTGAAATTCTTTAATGTATGGACAAATTTTTATGATTTATATAGTAGTATAATTTTACAGTTTAAAAGTGACACAACTTGCGGAACGTGTAAGAAATATATTGTGCATAATTACTGACTCATTTTGATTGGGTCCTTTTTTGATGTATCTGGTCATTTTATATAGTGTCTTCTAATTATCTTTTGTTGGAATCATTTCCATAATGTTGGAAATTTGGGAAGACCAATTTTTTTTTCATCAAGAAATCAATTCCATGATTACTGGATTAAGACATACTCAAAGATTAAATCCTCTGCTTTGCTCGGGCGTTTTGCGTCACAAAGTGTGGGAGATGAAATAATCAATCTCTGGTGACCATTTCACCTATTTTTTCCATGCCCTTTGTGCTGGTAAGTTACATCATTGATTGATCAGAAAGGTTTGTGTGATAATTTGGTGGATCAGATTCTTCATCGTCAATTCTGCAAGTCAAACCTTTCTCAACTACTTGAGGGTAATAATTCTGGGAGGCCTTTGGCAAAAAACTACTTTGGTTAAAAAGGGTCCAAAGAGGATGCAGATATTAAAACACAATTCCACAAATTAATAATGCTTGGGCAAACAATCTCCCAGAGCTTTGATACGAAGGGAGCTACTCAAAGAATTGATATTTATTCAAAAAGTGAGGGTGTTTTAGCTAATCTGCTTAAATTTGAGGCTGTGTTTGATATTAACGGTTAACCCATAACAATGATCAAATTAATTCAGGCTGAACTAATACAATATGATTATTTTGATTTGAATTTCAAGTATGAATAAAGCTAAAATAAAGTGAAAACTTTGAACACCCCCATCAAGTAAATCATCAATTAATATAAGGTTATGTATTGGAAATTTATTTTCTTTCTAACATGCCTTTTAAGTTTTCAAACAGTTTTAACACTGAATCTTAATCAAGACATTCCAACTATGAATTTGGTGTAAATTTTGCAAAGGAGATGGATGAAACCATAATGAAATTAAGGAACACCCCTAAAACTAATACGAGTAATATTTAATGTGAATGTCCCCACTCAATTGAATCCTTGAACTTTTAGTCCAAATTTTTAAATAGTAAATAAATACTCCCCCCGTCCCATAATTATTGTCCACTTTGCCCAAAAAATGTTGTCCTAAAATTATTGTCCAATTTGACTTTTTATGGATCAAGTTACACATTTGTCCTTAGTAAAAAACATTATCCATAAAATCTTAGTGGTTAAACTATTACTTATGTAGGGGCATATCCGGTTGTTTAAGGTAAAATATAGTTAAGTTTGACCAAATATAAAATCTTTCATTTTAGTAAAAGTGGACAATAATTATGGGACGGAGGGAGTACATGTTTTGATTTGAATTACGAGTATAAATAAAGTTAAAACAAAGTAAAAGACTTGAACACCCCCATCAAGTACGTATCACTTAGTATAATTAGGTTATGCGTTGCAAATTAATTTTTTTTAATAAATACCTCTTAAACGTTTTATAGTTTTAACGTTAATCTTAATCAAGTCATTACAACTATGAATTCGGTGTAAATATTGCAAAAAAGATGGATGAATTCATAAAGAAATGACCGAACACCCCTGAAACTAGAAATAATTTTTAGTCTAAATTTTAAACTGGTGAATAAACACATGTGTAAATTGTTATTATGTATTTGAAAAGATTATTTTTATTTGAATTTCAAGTACGAAAAAATGTAAAGTAAAGTAAAAGGCTTCAACACCCCCATCAAATAAATCATCATATTGTATAAGGTTGTGTGTTTGGAATTTAAAAATTTTACATAATAAAATTTAAATATTTTTTATGGTCTTAACGTTGAATCTCAATTGAGACATTCTAATTAAGGATTCGATGTAAAACATAACACAAAGAAGGATGAAATCACAATCAAATGAAGGAACACCCCCAAAAACTTGTGATATTTAATGTAAATGTGTCCCGGGCAGTTGAATTTTTGAATTTTTAGTCCAAATTTTAAACTGGTGAATCAATACATGTGTACATTTTGATTATGCATTTGAAAATAATTATTTTGATTTTAATTATGAGTCCACATATAAGCTAAAACAAAGTGAAAGGATCTAACCATCAAGTAAATCATCATTTAATGTAAGGTTATGTGTTGCAAATTAAAATTCGTAATAATAATATTACAAATATCCAAAATCCAAAGTGAATCATTTTTTTTTTTTTATAGAAAGAGTATTATTTTAGTTCAACAAAATTAGTTTATTTCATTTCGGAATGAAGAGAGCTTTTTATAATCTATGTCTATGATTATTTGGGAATTTATCAATTCCTCAAGGAATAAATGTAAGAATCAACGAAAATACTCACTTTTAGATGTAAGGATTGACTGGAAAGTATTGAATCATCAAGTAAAGAAAAAATAATTCTTATTACAAAAATAAAACCAATTTTATCTAAAAAAAGATACGTACAAAAGTAATCTATATCTTGTAGTCACCGACAAATATGCCAAAATAATGATTGCTTTTTTTTTTCAAAGACAAATACACATTTCTTTTCCCTGGACGTTTAACCCAAATATAACTTAAGAGCCAAATCCAGTCTCAGAATTGTTCTTTTTAAATAAATAAATCTATTCCATGAAAGGAAAATAAGAAAGTCACAGATCTTCTCTTCATCGCCCCACTTCATAGCCGTTGATCTCTTTGTGGATTCCTCAAAGCAGAATGGCAGATTGAGTCATTGAGAATCCAAGTTGGCAACAATTGTTTACATGTAAATACATAGGGACTCACTTGTAAATACATTAGCCCAAGAATACGTTACCGTACAGACTACAGAATACTACATGTTGTTAGTTAGATGATCAAGGAAGATAAGGGTTAGTTTTTGTATTAAGGCGGTGGTGGAGGTGTGGAGGTGGAGGTGGTGGTGTAAAAATAATAGTATTCTATTGGTAATACTATTTCAATAATTTTTTGAATTTTCACTAAAATCACATTTTAAATTATATCACCAATTCAAACCAATAACAAAGCCAAACACTTAAAAAAATATTTTTTATCCGGATTTTCACCCCACGATATTCTTGCATCTTTTTTTAAAAAAAAGTTTGAATTTTGAATTAATTACTATAGGGCGATAAAATTTTTGAAATAATTCAGGGTTTATTGGTTTTGTTTTTTTTTTAATTTGAATTTTGAATGATTTACTGTGATTCGGTTTAATATTTAAAGTTACAATGGAGTGGGGTTAAAAGTGCAACATAATTAACATTAAATTAAATGGTAAAGAAAAAAGTAACTTTAAAAATAATTTAAATTTTAAAATAATATTTTAATAATTAAAAAATAAATGTGAATTTTTATAATATTTTTAATAATTTAAATTTTGATGGAAGTTCAAATTATATGAAAAGACGAAAATACTCTGATTCCGGCATGTCAACTGCCGGTCAACATCGAGCTGGACGGAAAAGTGGTTGAAACAGTAAAATGGGACAAAAAAAGTGTACAAACATATTGTTTGGGACTACATTATTAAAATGTTAAAGATGTAAATTCTAGTAAGCCCAAATTTAAGGGATCATTTGAATATTTTACTCTTGTTTATACTCATTACAAGTTTTTTTTTTTTTTTTTTTAGCTTTTTGGCTGTCAATATATCTAAACTGGGCATGCAGCCTTATTATTGAGCTAAAAAAAAACCTTGGCTAATGTTAGTGACGATGAGTGTCTATTATTGACAGTGGAAATGGTTATTCAGAACGCTATTCAGAACGACATAGTAAATGACTCGACATTCAATGCTGTTTGCTTTATCATGGAATATGCAGTTCTCAAGTGTCTGGAAAAGAATTTAATATGCTACCAAAGAATGGATTTAGATTTTGAGATTTTTCAACTGTACAGATTTAGAAGATAATGATGATGTTACGAAACTCATTGTGGAACTGTAGTTGATTGCTATACATAATAATGCCATAATGTTTGCTATGTCATAAAACTTCCCTGTTTTCTCTGTGTCAATAACACTCATTGAACTATCTTAACCCTATAGCTTGATATGTGCCATAAATATTTCCTTACTTGTTGACCAGTCCTATAGTACTTCCATGCTTCATTGACAAAAGCGTTGTAAGCAAGCTAAGCTTCGGGAAAATCCCTCTTAAACAAGGAGGCAGAGTATAATGGACAAAGAACTAAGGTTGTTATTGCCTGATACAGAAAGACTATGATTGGTTCAAAGAAGCAATTAAGCTACAAACTTAAACTTTGTACAGTTTTCCCAACATTTGGGGAGTAACTGATCTACAGCTCAGTACATTGTAGACATAGAGAGGATATATAGCACTGGGTTTCACCAGATTCAAAGCTGTATTTTTTGGATGATGTAAAGCATCATCAGCCATCATCCATTTGGACAAACTCTCTAATCCACTCTAACGTCATGGGATCCTCGTTGGAGAAATCGAAGAAGTCGTCATCATCATTGAAACTCAGCTTTGAATCTCCATCAGGGCCACCATGATGAAACAGTGATGAGTTCATTTCTCTCATTGTCATCTCCTCTCTAACCTCGTTTGTACTGAGTTTCCTTTTCTTCCTAGCCCTACAGCTGCTTTCCTTTTGTTGGACTCCCTTGCTTTGTTTATCCTCCTGGTGATGAACTTTCTTGCTCAAATGCGAGTTCCAGTAGTTCTTTATCTCATTATCTGTTCTTCCGGGCAATCTTCCGGCTATCAAGGACCACCTACTTATGATGATCAGTATTGCCATCAAATCATATATAGTACAATGTATATTCCAAATTACTTGAACAAATTTTTTCAAGTCTGAACATAGATTTGGAGAAATCTGACCTGTTCCCTAGGAGCTTATGAAGCCTAACTATCAAGTCTTCTTCCTGATCAGATATATTTCCGCGCTTGATGTTTGGCCTTAGATAGTTCATCCATCTCAGCCTACAACTCTTGCCACACCTTTGAAGACCTGCATATCATCAAATTCGATCAGAACTTTTTTTTTTTTTTTTTTGGCAACTTTCATCCATGTTTCAAAAAACAAGCATGATCTTATAAACAGACCTGCTTTGGCTGCGATAGTCTTCCACCGCCTTGGACCGAAAATCTCAATAGCTTCGGCGAGTTTCTGATCCTCTTCGTCTGTCCATGCTCCTCTGTTCACTTCCCTCTTGCCTCCACTTTGATGATTTCGCGAATCAATGGCGTCCGTTCTCGCTTCTTCCTCCTCAACTAGGTGATGATGACTATCAGCCATTGTGTTCTTAGTAGGGTAAGAGAAAGGGGTTAAGGGAGCTGAACAAAAAAAGGGGGGCTAAATTAGTTTGTAGAGTTTTGTAATATATCTGCTCAAAAGGAATGATTCATACTGGGGTCCTCTTTTTATATAAATCTAACCCTTTTTCTTCTTTAGAACTAGAATCATTTAGTTGATGATTGAAGAATGGTTTTTGTTTCAGCAGAAAGTACATATATATACGTTTGAAGTGTTAGGAGTGTTAGGTCATCAATATTGGGAATTGAGGACAGCTCCAAATTTGATGATTGCAGAAGAATTTCTAGTGTGTCCCATTCACCAAAAAAAAAAAAAAAAGGAAAGGAATTCCAGATCAGCTTGCCTGCCTATCTCAATTGCTTGATTAATTGACTGGTAGTAGTAACAGTAGCAGCTAAGTGAAGCAGAAGAAAAAAGCTGCCATTCATAAAATAAAAGTTAGAGACACGGTGCATGCTCCTCAAACCAGCTTTTGCTAGTGACACAGTACTTCACTAAGAATTTCCTCCCTATCTTTTATACCTTTGTTAATATGATTTGTGTTATAGTCTTTCCTAGACGTTTTCGTTCGCGCGCCCCTTTAGTTTCTTGCTCAGTTTGCTTCCAAGCAGCTTGACGGTCGTTTCTTAATTATTTTTTTTTTTTTGTATATTTACAGGTGTTCACCATCGGCAACAGTGACTAATCCACTCGCTGAATTGTATGCATCTCAATGAGTAGGACAGTTGGCCAAAGTATTTAAGGTGACTTCATGCTCATAACGAGGTTCGAACCTTCGATTTATGGTTAAGGATGGAGAAGTCCCTTCCATTCCACCACATCTACTATGGTTTCTTGATTATTTATTTATCATGTGATGCGCTATTCAACGTTTTAGCAACAGGAGAGACGTTTTATCATTACGATTACACTTCGTTGTCTACTATATTGCTGCTAATCAGTTGTGAATGATTGTCCCAAATTCTTTTAGAGAACAAGTACAATAATATATGCGCAGCATGTGGTGGTGGATCCAAGGTTTATTGCACATGTGCCATCCAGGTTTAGTTTGCATATTCCTAAAGCCTGCTACAGATTTGAGAGATAAGACAACCAAGACCAGTGCACTACTACTACCGCTAGTACTTTACGGTCTACAAAAAAATTGATATAATTGTGGAAACAGAGATTAAAAAAATACTAGTATTCAGTAGCCATGAAAATCTATCTTCATTGGACAAAAACTATCTACTCCTTGTAGCATTATATGTGGTTATTTTGAGGCTCAAATTATTTGTAAAAAAAAAAAAAAAGCATATAAAAAATTTGGGCCCTCAAGGATCATACAAGTAAGCCAGCTAAGGATTTTCTGACTGACTGATAAGCTTTCACTTACTCTTCTCTCTTTGATAATGCTGGCTTTTACTGTATAAGCTGCAGGTAACTACTAGTGCATGAATCTTCATTCAGATTTTTTGTGTTCCAATATTTTTTTTTATTTTTTATTTTTTTTTGACTAATTGTGGAATTGGGAACTTTCGAGAGAGTAAGTATCCCCATATTGTTGGATGGGAAATAGTAAAAAATCACCTAATTTGTTAGTTAAAGAAATTACATTATCTATCTTGAGATTTCCTGGGTAGGAGGATATAGTAATGATGCCAATAAATCAACATCAAAATAATAGAAGTATTGTCTTTCAAATTACAACAAAATTTACTTGCTAATCGTGTTATCGAAGAAATTTATAAGAAAAATTTATGGCGAAAAATAAAGTTAACTTTGTAAGATTTTCAACCAATCAGCTAGCTTCACAATGTTCCATTAAGAAAAGTTCTTTTCATAAGCAAAGCTAGAATAGATTATGGCTACTTGCATTAAAACAGGACAGGAATACGGAATCAATGTGATCTTAAAAAACTGGTATGAAACCTGATTAATATGGGTTTAGTTTTTTTCTTTTGGGATGGTTTAATTTAGTTGTTGATAAGCAGGAAAGAAAGATATAGAAAATGGCTGCAGAAGCAGTGAGAAATGGCCAAATGGTTTGTATGATTAAAGAAAAGGCATTAGGTAGGAATTGAAGACGCAAGCAAAGAGCCAACTGAGGCATTAAAATGCGGGAATGAGGCCGACCAATGTAACTGGTTCTGATATCATCATTACCCTAATTATAGATTAAATTAAGGCATATCCTAAACGACTCTTGTGGTTTGGAAGTACATAGGATGATTTCATAACGACTCAAAACAAAATTGAAAACGTATGGGTGAGAAATCTGGAAGGAAAGGAAACTTGGGAGTGATTGAACGTTTGTCTAAACAATTACTATTTCATTACAACTCCACTTTCGATTTTCGTTATCTCATGAGTTTGCGCATAAGTTTCAACAAATCTTGTTCTTTCATTTCCCTTCGATTAAAAAAAAATAAAAATCCCTCTATCCAAAATTATTGTCCAGTTTGATATTTAATTTTTAGTACAATTTGAACTAGAAATGAAAACCCAAACTGAACAATAATTATGAGACGGAGGGAATAAAACAAATAGAAACAGAGTAAATTCATTTCGTTTGCATATAGTTCATCTACAATCATCTTCAACAGGAATGTAAGATTAATTTCTCTAACAAACATTCATTCAGCCGTCTTAATGGAACAGAGTTACCTAATATCTGTTTTTATCTGAAATTTTACTTTTTGCTTCTTTTTTTAGTTTTTTTCCCCTCTAAAAAAGGAAAGTTGATCAAAACCTACCTGTTGGGCCTTCAAAATTTCCTCGGGCTTTGTCTATATTACAAAGCTAGTCCAGTAAAAGGCCGGGTATCTCTTCAGCCCAAGACCTGATAAGAACCCTGGCTTAGACTGCCAATCTGCTCTTGGAATCAATGGACGATGATAAAGTGATAATGATATTCCCAAAAAATAGTGCAATTGGGTTGGTTATAAATTTGAAAAGTCAATTTAGATTATATTTTTGGGACAGATAGTAAGTGATATGTTTCTTAGACCAATAAAATAGAAGTCAGACCTTTCTCGGTCCTAAAATGATAATTCGATTTAAATTTTCATTTGTAGTATAACAGTCATTTTTGGAATGGAGGTTTGTCCGGGGATGCGAGGCAAGATATCAGTTGAAGCATTGTGGGCATTTAGACTCCTCAGTATGTGAAAAGAAAAAAGCTCCAGATTTTCTCCACAAGTAAAGTAAAGAAGAATCAAGAGCCACGGCCAAAACTTGCCTCATTGCATTTATAACCAATATTTGTCGGATTTGAACATAGCAACATACAAATTCTGCCGCACCCGATACAACACCCATATCCGAGTCCAGGTAATATAGGAAATGTAGGCTTTTGGAGCGGAAGCCTAGGCATGCATATGAACAACACCAGAAGAGCTAGCTGAGCGCCTGAGAAGACCATCAAACAGAGAGAGATGATTTGTGCCCACAAATGGCAGCTACTTCTAAAATGGCTCTTATTTGTACGTCCACTCATTTTACATTTTGTCTCATTTTACCTCTTAAACACAAAATCCAATAGAAAATAAAACATCATCCAAACAATTTTCTGATTTATATTTTAAATTCCCACTTGAAACACTTTTTATTAGTGTAATGACCATTTTAGAACTACAAATAGTTCAGTGACAAATTTGGCAGGATTCCGTTATTGAGTGATTATTTTTGGAAAAGTTCTTTTTTGCAGTTATTATAATTGACAGTATTTAATTGTTTACTGATGAATTGTACTTAATATTTTCAAAATGTAGTTCAAAATAATTTTTTCAAAACCAACATCCAAACAACTTTTTGCTCAAAATACCATCCAAACAACATTTCCATTTCCCATTTAATTTTCAACTTGAAACACTTTCCACTTTTAAGTGGTAAAATAAAATGTAAGATGACGTCCAAACAAGAAAATAAATTTTACTTTGTAATAGAGGGGAAAAAAAAAAATAACTAGGAGAACAAAACGCTCTATTTGAGCTTACAGAAAGGAAGGCAAGGTAACAAGAATATCGGATTGTATTATGAAATTCTTCCCAATATGAATATCATATTTTCTTAAACAAAATAGCATAACAAACAACAGTAGTAATTAATATCCTCCAATTATTTTTGTGCTTAATGTTAATGAATATTCTAATTACTTTCTTTAAATTTGGTTGCATGTACGCATTTTGAGCATTCAGTGTATCTAGCTAAGAAATTTTACCTACTTCTTACATGGAGTATTCTAAATTTCCAAAAGAAAAGCTCACAAACTATGGTTTTTGGATAAAATTCATAGTGTTTTTTTTTTTCATTCCCATTTTTCGTGATTAATTAAAAGGGGGTTATGACAATGAGGAGAAAGCAGCAAGAGCTTATAATTTGGCTGCTTTGAAGTATTGGGGTCCAACCACACACGTCAATTTTCCTGTGAGAGTAATCGTCTCTAATTGCAGAATAGCTAGCTTAATCAATGCACATTTCACTTTCCTTTTTCTGTTTTGGTTGGAGTAATTAATTTACACAAGTTACTTTAGGTTTGGTCCTAATAATCACCAACTATATGCATACGAGAAGATATGAAGAAGATGAATAGACAAGAGTTTGTTGCTCACTTGAGAAGGTAATCAATTAATCAAATTTCCCTGCGTCAATCAACTTAGTTGTAAAGTTAAACTGATTTGGTTGGCGATGAATTTGATCAACCGGAAAAGCAGTGGGTTCTCCAGTCTGCCTACAGTGGAGACAAGGCAAAAACAAACTCGATCGATTTTGTTTCTAACGCATCAAATTAAAAGTAGTAAGAAAAAAGGGGTTTAAAAATTAAAACAAAAACAAAGAAAAGGGCCCAACCGGAAAGTAGGTTATAGTAAGAAAAAGGGGTTTAAAAATAAAAACAAAGAAAGTAGGTTATAGTAAGAAAAAGGGGTTTAAAAATAAAAACAAAGAAAAGGGCCCAACCGGGTTCGAACCGGTGACCTCTTGATCTGCAGTCAAATGCTCTACCACTGAGCTATGGACCCTACATGTTCAATTGTTTAGATTAATTTAAATAAATAATTCATATCTAGACTCATGGCTTTTCTAGTCCAGAAATTATAAGACTCCCTGGGTTGATGATTATTGGGTTGGGTTGCAATATTTAGGGTTGAATTTGATTAGTAGATGATGGATTAGTATTGATACAGGTACACAGGAGGAAGCAGCAGAAGCCTATGATATTGCAGCGATTAAGTTCAGGGGGGACTAGTGCCGTTACTAATTTCGACATAAATCGATACGTCGTATCCCGGATTTCCTCCAGTTCTACCCTCATTGCCGGCGACCTCGCTAAACTCCCTAATTCCTCCCCCTAAACACCACTAGGACGGAGGAAGCTCCGCCGAGGATGCCCGATTGAGTAATAGTAGTAATATTGGAACGGCATGCTATAACACAACTGATCATCATCATCACGATGACAATCAAAGTTCGAGTAATGTTCGGGCGGGTGGGTCACCTGATCAGCATGTTACGGCAGACCATGATCCTATTGGAGTACTAGGATTGATTAGTAGCAGTATTTGCAATCACAACGTAGTAGTAGTTTATTCTATGTTTGGAAGGCTTTTTGAGTGTATTCTTTTTGTATTGGAAATGTAAAAAGGTGTATTAAAATGTAAAAAAGTGCATTGAAAATGTAAAAAAATTATGTTGGGATGAGATAGATATTAATTTAAAATTAAAAAAAAAAAAACTAAAAAAGGAACCAAACATAGAGGGATTGAATTCATAAGTCAGTGCTAAGATGGTGTCTCAGCATTGATTAAAATACTGGTAGAGAGGGTTTTGACTTCCGAAAATGGACTAATTTAGGTCGAAATAATTTTTTCAAACATCAGATATGTAATATATTAAAAAAAAATATGTTACCTTTATTTCAAAATTATTGTCTAGTTAATATTTTATTTTTATTATAAATTGTATGGAAAGTAAAAATTCAAACTGAATAATAATTTTGGGAGGAAACATGAATAAAATGACTGTGCCAGCAATCATTCCAAGGGGTTGAAGTGAAGTAGAGATGAAAAGACATTCCGGTTTCGTCACCCAACGCCTCTTGTCATTTAACCCCATCTACTCAAATCAGCTACCAATTCGAATTTTGAAACCCAAAAAGAGGGCCCAAATCTGCAGCTTCCCAACGTCCTTCTTCAAACAGGTCCTGGAACCGGAGCTCCGCTTCTTCATTACCGGGCTTCACCACACTGATCAGTGATCATCCATCACTCTGATACCTTCTCTTCCACCAGTTAATGTTCTTTAACCCAACCGCTCATTGTCCGTACCAGAGGTTTTTCCTCTTTCTCTGTCTTTGTTTGTGAGTTTACTTTGCTTGCTTTCTTTGCTTTTGTGAAAGTTTTGACCTTTGTCTTCTAGGATTTAAAGTGTGCTTAAGCTTCTGTCTTTTTCTTTTTTTCTTTGGGTGGATTGAGGAGAAAGTTTTTTGTCTTTGATCAATGGAATGGCTCCTGCTCATGATATGAATGTCTTCATTTGTTGTAATTTTTCCTGTTGTTTATCCATCTTATTTGAAGTGCTTCACTTTTGGCATCGAAATGATCCAAAAGTTTTTGTCTTTGCAGCTCCATTCCTGACATTCTGTCTATGGATGACCCTGTTTACGAAATCATGAACCCCTCTGAGATCCCTGGAACCTCCTCTTCTCCGGTAATCAAAGGGGTTTAGGGTAACTTCTCTATTTTATCAGTCAATTCTGTCTTAAGGCGGCATTCTGAAATTTCTGTATGCAGGAATCATCGATAACCAAACACCAAAGTTTAATTGACGAAAATGTTGCAGGCCCGGTTGTCCCTTTGATTAGGAATCCTAAGGTAAATCAGTTGCCCTCTTGTACATTTTGTATTAGTTGGAAAAATACTGAATCTAATTTTATTTTATTTTTTTTCTGTTAGATTTCTTTACTATATGAGATTGAAGGTACTTCTCGTCCCAGGATTACTAAGCTTTCTGATACGAAGATCATCAGAAAAATCAAGGAGGGACTTCCTGAAAATGACTGGAATGAGCTGACTGCGGGATGTTTTGGGAACATCCTTAAACTGGTAGAACAAGTTCAATTCTCAGCTCAACTTGTATTCCACTTGTTGTCCAAACAAATTAAGACAAGCAGGAAACATGAGCTGTGGTTTCTCATAGCTGGGAGACCCTTGAGATTTTCTTTACAAGAGTTTGCTATTGTAACTGGATTGAACTGTGGGACCTGGACTAATCCCAAAGGGGACAAGGAGGAGCTGAAGATTCTTGGGGGAGAAAGATGCCAAATTGGAAATTTACAAGGAATATTTGAGAAGGCTGAGGGGTTGGACAAGATGAAGATTGCTCTGATATGGTTGTTGGAGGGCGTACTACTCGGGCGAGGTTCGACCAAGTACATCAGAACCGAATATGTGGAGATGCTTCATGATATGAGACAATTCAAGGAGCTCGCTTGGGGCCGTGTCATCTTTGATGATTCGCTCAACTCTTTAAAGGAGATGTTTCAACGGAGGAAGACTATTCAGCCCTCTACACAAAAAAATGATAGGAAAGAAAACTATAGTTTGTGTGGGTTTCCATTAGCCTTGCAGGTCTGTGATTTTTATCTTCATCTGTCCAAATAGCCTTACTTATTGTTGCATTATATATGTGACATAGGAGTACCTTATATAATCATGTTACTCTGCAGGTATGGGCTTATGAGGCTATCCCCGGGATTGGTGAAACATTGGCTAAGCCAATTCACACTGATCTCAATGAGGGACCTTTATGCCTCAACTGGTCTGCACCAAAGACCTGGCGTTATGAAGAAATATCACTTCAGTTCAATAAAGTTGTAAGTTATCTTTCGTTTTTAATGAGAGTAGGTTAACTTCTAGCAAACAAGTCAATTTGAATGTTAAATAAATGCTGACTACATGAGTTGAAATAAGGACTTATATTGGCAAACTTGGTATTTTATTCTCTTTTTTTTCCCCAGGATGTGAATGATAAAGATCAACTTAAATCCATACTGACTACCGAGCACTATGATTTGGGGCATTTAACGTATGAGGATGATCAAATTAGTTTAATCATGGATAACATATTGAAGGGTTATGACTATGAAGTTACTGTAGTTAAAGAGAGTGTCGAAAGGTTAGACACTGCTGCTGAGGGTGATGCTGCAGCTTCTGGAGTTTCAAGGCATACATCCGAAGAAGGATTATCGGCTTCAGATGAAAAAAGGACGGAATCAGTAGAAACAATATTAGCCGAGCTACGAAAGGCCCTCAGCTTGGGCTCTCAGGTTGTCCCCGCTGCTGCAACTGCTGTTTCAGACGAAGAATGGAAGAAACGCGTGGAACATAGGTTAGACTGCTTGGAAAAGGCTGTTCACCAGTGGGTTTCGCTGCCAGCCTATGCTGTTCCCCTTGCTGATAGTCATGAATACTCCAAATTTGACTGCAAATTTTCTGCTGAGAACATCTATTCGAGCGCGCCTTCTGAAGGTTTTTCTTCCCCTGATCTTCGTTCTGTCAAGGAAAAATCAGATATTGCAAACTCTCCTGTCAAACAGGTTGGTTTGATTCGGAAGGCCTGGAAATTTTTGTGGTAAATCTGATTAGATAGATATATTTGTCACTGCAGCATCAGTAATGCACAGGAAATCCTTTGGGATAACTTGCATGTTTAATACTTTGGCCAAGACTCTTATCTTGGGATTGGGACGAGAAAAAGTGAGTCCTACTATGTTTAAATGTAAGTATTTAGTTTAACGCTAACAATTAGTGAACATCTTCCTTTGGATTCCCCTAGCATTGGATCCTTAATCAACGTTTAAATATTTTTCTCTATGCATGAAATGTGTCAGTTTTGACTTATAGAATCAGGTTTTGTTGTTCTGGGACTGAATATTTTTATTTGCACCTTTGCCTAAAAATATGGAAAAACGGGTGTGGTTTGTTTATAGTTTATACAACGATGCAAAATTTAGAGGGCCAGCATATTGTCTATGGCCCCAATTCCATATTGATAGTATTTTTTTCTTTCAATTGATGATTCTCTTGCCGATTCCCCAATACACTAGCAACATGAAGATGGAGAGTGGTCTATATAACTTTCTCATGGCTCAGATTTGGATGAATACACGGGAAGCCCAGAAATCTCATTTGGCATTGTGCGGCTTCCTTAATTGCACTAGGCGCACTCAGGTGAGCAACAAGCCGTTGGTTGAACCAATAGGGGATTGCGTGTGTGGATGAACAAGGATAAATCAATTTGGCAAATTAAGTTAGCCATCAAGAGTAAATTGAGTATTGATCTTAGACAACACTTTTGAAAATAGTAACTCTGTCCTGCTACTACATCATCGATTCACACACCCATTTTCTTACCACATTGTTAGAGTACAGTTTCAGACGTCGTATGACCAAATCAAATTAAACATGTCGTTCCTTAATTGTTAGATTGAAAGAACTGTCACGCTCCATTTTGATATTAGTAGATCAAGGTATGTTTGTGATAGAGTCCGAGTTATTAAATTGTTATTAGAGCTTGATAGAGATATATATTGTTATGTGCCAAATAAATCCAAATCATTCGGTTCCTTTCAGGCTTCATAGGTTGTAAGTACATCACATAAAAAACAATTATTGTAAAATAGATGTAAAGCCGCCTTTGGTTCTTAAATGGCTTCACGTTGTCCATGAGCTGACCGCCATTTTCGAAAACCTTAAAATAGAAGAAGATGGCTTCATTTATCGAATGTTATCCTTTTTCACTTTGTAGCTAAAAGGCAGATTCGTGCTGCCACGTCAATCACGGTGTGTTTTTTAGTTGGTAATGCAAAATTTCCGGAGACTATAAACAATTTTCTAATCATCGTATGTGTATGGTCCGGTCGAATCGGATCACCCAAATAACGATACTCGAAAAGCTTATTATAGAACATCCAAAAATGTTTTCTCAACCAATCTCTCACAAGCGACTGAAATATAGAAAATGTTAGAGACAAATGAATTATTTTGTGTTATAAATAAAAATAAAAAAAAATCACCGGCATCAATTTATATGTTTTTACCTTGGATGATAGTACATGTTATGTTACCGCTGAGTCTGCAACGGATTCTTATCATTTGTGATTTGACGATTACAGCAAATGAATCAATTGCCTTTATGATTTTTTTGAATAATAATAATATTAATTAATCTATACAGTCTTTTTTTTTTTCCATGTCATTCACCTCGAAAAAGGAGAAAAACATAAAGTTTGAGTTCAGAAATATACATTTAAAGGTCAAAAAAAAAGTTGATATGTTTTATTACTTCCGTCTTAAAAAAATAGTCAACATCGAATTTTTAAATTTATACTAAAAATAATACAAAATTCAAAACTCAATGTGAATTAATTTTTTTTTTTTAGGACGGAGGTAGTATTTTTTTAAATAAGCGACCAGACAAAATAAAATAATTTCAAATAGTATAAATACTTCCAATCCAGTCAAGCCCCGCCCTCTTGAATTTACCAAAGTACCCGCGACATTCATCATTGAATTACGCTTCATTTCTTCCTCCTCCTCTTCCCCCCTTTCTTCCCTCTTTTTATTTTTTTTAACCCTTTCTCTGGTTTCTTCGTAATCCCCCATTTCTCTGCTCTTATTCGACCCAAGATATATCATTACCAAAATCTATACATATATATATTTACCAGGAGCAGTGGGGGATCACGTAGAAATTGTTCAACCAAATCACTATCTGCATAGTATAGTTTTTATATTATACATTTATGTTTTAGGATGGACCCATCTGGGCAATCTTTCTGATTCTTCGAAAACAATCTGCGACATCAAATGTGTAATGTAAGTCTCTAAACCATCTGGGTTGTTTTGGTTCTGGGGTACAGGCATTGCATTCTTTTGATTGGTTTGATTTTGGGGGTGGCGTCATCAACAATTCTGGAGCTATATTCTTTTTTATCAGATTTGGGCCCATTCTCTTGTTGTTTGATCGGGCTTGTTGTGAGGGTTAATTTGGTTTTTTGGGGGAAGATTTACAGAAACCCTAGTTGGTATAATTGAGGAATCGGGGATGACCCAGATGCGAGGAGGCGGAAAACGAAGAATTTACGATTTTGATTTACGGAGCTGATACCCTTCTTGTTGTTTTAATTTTTATGGAATCGAGATTGCTATATTTGCCCATCATCGTCTGGGTTCTGTTCTTCTCCTTCGCTTTCGTCGTGGAATCTCAAGATAATAATAATAACAATAATGTGAATCAACCGCCGCCGCAGGCACCACCACCGCCACCTCCTCCGCCGTCTCCACCGCCTCCTTCCCCGCCGCCACCATCTCCAGTATCTGTGCCTCCCCCGCCGCCGCCGCCACCTCCACCGCCTCCCCCTCCTTCTCCTTATAATCGTCCACCGCCGGCGCCGAGAAAACGCCTAGCTCCTCCGCCTCACAGCCAACCACCACCTACGCAGAACGGGCATGGAAAAGCTGCCCCACATGAGAAGAAACTCAACTTTGGGGAGAAATTGGGGCTTCTTTTTACTGGGATTGCGGGAATCTTGCAAGTTTGTGTGATAGCATTCTTGGTGATTAAAAGGAGGCAGCTTTTAAGGGCTGAAAGCAGATACTAAAAAAAGAACATTACCTTTTTCTTTTCGATTTTAGGATTATTGAATTGTTTCAGACTGCCGGATTCATTTTTATTCCATTTGTGGAGCAAGATTTTTGAATGAGCTGCTGAAGGATGAGAGGAAGGAGATGGAGGACTCATATTTTTAAGATGTTTAAGCTGGGGGTCGGCATCTTCGATCTTGCTCTACATTCCATTTTTACACTATTGTAAATTGGTAATTATTTATTGCAGTTCTTTTTTAACATTTGTCGTTTCATTCTTTGTGTATTGTTCAAAGAAAGTCCAACTGATCAAGGCAGGAAGCAATGGTTTTTTCTTTTGCTGTCTTGTTTTTCCCACTTAACCATGTAATGTGAATATAAACCCCTTTGCCAATACCCCTTTTACCTTGCTGCCCTGGTTGTTAATACTATATCCACTGATTAATAACTTGTATTAGCTTGTTTAGATTCCGATGTTATGTTTATTAGGTTTGGTTCTGGGTTCTTATAGTTTGATTGCATTCCAATGTTATGTTTGGTTCTGGGTTCTTATAGCTTGATTGCGTCAGTTGAATGATATAGAGGCAGCCCTTGAGGTTGGTGATTACTTGCTTTTAAAGGAGGCTACTAGGAGTAGGTGGAAAATTGTCTTAAGCTCTAAAAATAAGGTGCAAGAAGAATGCAAGTAAACAACGGGTAGAGAAAGATGGCAATATCCCTGTGATGGAACTATGGAAGTAATGGCTAGAGTTGATAACTACACCTTACAAGCAGAAAGATAAACATTGCCTCTTGATAGTTTATTCTGGCATGTCAAATGAAGGGCTTGATTCCAGGAAGCTTACTTCTTATGATTGATACTCTATGGGAAAGTAGGCTTATGAAAATGGTCATGTTTCAATGCAATCATGTCTCATCTTACCTTCTGATTGAATATGTTATTGTATCTTTGAATTGTGAAATATCTGGTAGCTCTTACCAAAAGCTTTTACGTTTGGTGCGGTATGGGGTAGTTATAAATGTTTGAGCTCTCCTGACTTTTTCATCATTTTGTTTCTTTTAATTGGGCAAGTCTTGCAGAACATATGCCAAAAAAGGTCTCTTTTGCGTGTTGATGCGCTAGAACAGAGTCCATGCGGACTATTGAGTTTCCACGATTATACTTGTATCTGCTTTGTTTGGCAATTGTAGTTTGTTCTATTTGTTCAAGGCAAGTATGTTTTGTTATCAGTTCTGATTAATATGGCAGCTGAATATCTTAACGTGTCCTTGTCTACAGAAGTTGCTATAATCTTTTATGCAAATACTATAAGAACGTCTCAAGGTTTTTTCAGTGACAAGTATAGGACTGGTTTTCCAGAACCTGCACTTCTTTAAGTTTATATGTGACTGTGCTTCATTTGTCCTGCTTCATAGTGCCAAATTTTCTGTTAGTTATGAGAATATCACAGTATATATGTTGGTGGCCCCATTGTGATAAAGGCATAGTTGTATTAGTGTACGAGTTTTTATTCTCAACTCATTTGATAAACTTTAGCCTTAGGCTTGTATTAAACCATATATACTTATCATATATGGTCCACTGCTTTAGGCTTAAAACTCACTATACTCCTATCTATTGTAGGTGATAGAAGAAAAGAATATTTCTCGATGAACTTTCCTGTGGTTGTCAATTTGAGGGAACTAACTTGTGTATTTGCATTTGTGAGGATGGTGATTGCTAATAATGTTAAAGTTTGCATTGACATCGGAGATGTTGCACGATGTGTTCATTTTAACATGTAAATTTTATGGTATTGATTCTAAATTTTTTATTCTTATACAATCTAATGGTGAAAATATTTGTATGATTTAACTATTATAGCTCTGTGCCATTTTCGGTTGAAACTTGCTGTTTCCAATTGAGAATTTTACAGGGATTTCAGTATTGGACGAATAGTCTCTGTGATCGTTTATGTCTAATTCAAGTGAGTAAATTTGATGTGGTTAAGAGTTAGAAGTAACTTCTACCTCAAGTGCTGTTGAGAGAGAGAGTTATTTGTTCAATGTGCTTGTGAGTGTGAGGATTGCAGTATGAAAACCTGATTATTTGGTGAAATTGCTTGCAGACGGACTATTAAGGGCTTTGCTGTAAAGAGTAAATCTTATATTCGACAAACAATGATACGACTTAATAACGAGTAATACAACTGGATGATGTTGTTTTCAAATCCTGAGATATATTCGTAGTCCCATTTCATTAAAGGAAGAAAAACAAACTGCTAGCTAATTTGTACCAAGCGATGGTGTCACGATTTTCCATTCATCCTTAAAAATACCTCTGCAATACCTCAGCGAGAGGTAATCCCAAATTCCACAAGTAGCTTTTGAGTGGTTGCTGTGCGTCTGGGGGTATTGCCCAAATAGTGAATGCATGGACTCAAATTGGGTTGCTCAGAAGCCTCAAATATGACCTTTTTCGGGTTCTGTCTTGTTATACTCTTAGTTGATCCTACCATGTGCTGTTTTCGGACCACATCTTATGCTTCATTTTTCCATTTTAAACTAGCGGGACTGCCGGAAGTCTTTGTTCCTCCATAATAATTGTCATTTAACTGGAAATTTCTGTACTTTGTAAGTGTCCATAATCAATGCGTAAGGACATTAGTCATCCATCATGCAGATTAGATATGTCTTAGTGCTGCTACAACCTTAGTTAATCTTAGGATTGGATCAAAATGTCTAGTCTTCTACTCTTGGAGTCATCATCAATCTTTCAATTACTTACAGCAGCAATATTGCTGTCTCTTTTTGGCCTGTTCTGATAGATGGACTAATGCAAAAGAATCAATGCCAAAAGGCATTTGTTTTGCAGCTTGTGTGGCTCTCATTTTTCTTAGCTTCAAGTGGTTCCAATGCAAAACTGGTTTCTCAATGCTGGTGTAGTCTATATATTTGCCATCCACCCCTTCCCCTCCCTGCCTTACTCCCCTACATTGTCAGCCAACTCAAACATTGAGCGAAAATGTCTCGCCTTTTCTCTCTTATCCTTGTCATTGTCTTTGCTTCTGAAGCCGTTTCTGCTTTGGACTTTTGTGTCGCAGACCTGAAAGGCCCTCAAACCCCAGCCGGTTACACTTGCAAGAGCCCTGCAAATGTGACCGTAGATGACTTTGTTTTCTCAGGCCTAGCTAAAGCCGGGAACACAGCAAACTTGATCAAAGCTGCTGTGACGCCTGCATTTGATGCTCAGTTTCCTGGTGTAAACGGCCTTGGCTTGTCCATTGCGAGACTTGATTTAGCCGTTGGTGGCGTAATTCCAATGCACACACACCCTGGTGCGAATGAACTGTTGGTGGTGACTCAAGGGAAGATTCTAGCCGGGTTCATTTCTTCAGCAAATTCGGTGTACTACAAGACCCTGAATAAAGGAGAGGTGATGCTTTTCCCCCAAGGGCTGCTGCATTTCCAGATCAATGCTGCTGGTGTAACTTCAGTTGCTTTTGTGAGCTTCAGCAGCCCCAACCCTGGCCTTCAGATTACCGATTTCGCGTTTTTCGCGAATGATTTGCCCTCTAAGATTGTCGAGACTACCACTTTTCTGGATGATGCTCAGGTGAAGAAGCTCAAAGGCGTCCTTGGAGGAACCAATTAAAAGTTTTCACCTGACATCGTCGTTTTTTAATGGAATTGTTGACCCAGAGATTCGACATCATGACCTCATGGTTACAGGACACCCATAGTTCGCTTGTTTGGTTCCGTGTTTAATTTTTGTTCTTTTCGCTGATTAGTTTCTTTCTTCCCAACCATTTTTCGTAATTGTATTTGTCGCATTTCACTTAAATCTTAATAATGGAATTCCACTTCGTTCATGTGTTATTAATTGTGTTTTTTTGCCCCCTTAAATTATTTGTTGGTAAGCTAAACAATTACAAGTGGTAACTCCTCCTGTCCGAAACTAAGGGTTGCTCATTCCTGAATGGATGGAATGAGTGTGTTTTAGGTGAGAAATTATTAATTTCAGTTTTCTTATTGGACTAGAAAAATTATTAGGAAACGCGAGTTTGAAATACGGGACAGATTTAATTAAAAACTTTCCAACAAAAATTTGCTGATGTTGTTGTTAAGGTTGTATTTGGAACCGTAGCAACTTATTTTCCCAAGTTCTTAGCTATGTTCACATCATTCATCCTCGCATTTCCAAAAACATCATTCTTCGTCACGCGCTTTTACATTCCACGGTTGCTTCTTTTTTCTTGTTTCTTGAGGTTTGATTTGACAATTTTGGTTATATTATCTTGTCCTGACTATTATGTTTGTTGTACTAAAAAAAAGAGAAATAGAAAATAAATATTCATTTCAGTTGAAACTAAACGAATAATACTAAAAAAAAGAGAAATAAATATTTATTTCTGCGTCCTGAAATAATTGTTCAGTCCCACTACATATTTCTTGCCAAAAATGAAGATTAAGCCCAATATTCTCCGATATTTGCTGGTGCAGCTCTGTTCTCGAAAGTGGATTAAATTCTTGAAACTTTTTTTTTTGGATTGACTTTGGTCAATTGCACATGAATTTGACAAGGTTCTAACTCGAAATTCAATTAGTAGGCAACTTTGCAGAGTAGCTACCGGAGAGCGCATTTTAGTGGCTTCGGAACATATTTTTATTTCAATTTTTATCTTTCACGCATCGCCCATAAATGTGAACATGCTCGAGTCGAAGCTCCATATGGAGCAGTAATAATCAGTTAATATGAACTCTCAATTCTTGAATTTCTTAAAACACGCTATAGGTTCATTTGAGTTTTACCAAAATCAGATGAATTCATACCAAAAAGATCCGAAGTTTATCTTAATTTTTTAGTGCAGTGTTTTTAGACTTTTAGGCTAGCTCCAGGCCTTTAAATTGCACACACCCACAATGTACGTTTCATTCATCCAACAACATATTCAAAACAATTCAATAGCAATCAATCCAAGATGTTCCCAATTTTTTTCTTCCTATGCTTCCTAGTCTTCACTACAACATGTGAATCTTCTGTGCTCGACTTTTGTGTAGCCAACTTGAGCGCTCCAGAAAGCGCGGTTGGCTTCCCATGCAAAAACCCTATGAATGTTACGGTGGATGATTTTGTGTTTACTGGCTTAGTCAAGCCTGGAAACACATCAACCTTTATCAAAGCCGCTGTGACTCAAGCATTTGATAATGTGTTTCCAGGCGTAAATGGCTTTGGAATATCAATGGCGCGGCTCGATTTCGCACCTGGCGGCTTCACGCCGTTGCACTCCCATCGTGGCGCGACCGAGCTTCTGTTGGTAATCGAGGGTTCGATCACCGTCGGCTTCATATCTTCAGCCAATAAGGTGTACTTGAAAACTCTAACAAAGGGTGAGATCATTGTTCTGCCACAAGGGCTGTTGCATTTTCAAATCAATGCCGGTTTAAATCCGGCTCTTGCATTTTCTAGCTTCACTAGCTCCAATCCTGGTGGTCAAACCATGGCTTTTGCTGTTTTCGGCAACGATTTGCCTTCTCCAATTATTGAAAAGACCACGTTTTTGGATGCTGCTCAAGTGAAGAAGCTTAAAGCCATTCTTGGTGGCACTGGCTAAAATTGTTGCATATCATCCAATTAATTTGGTCGCCTTCAGTTCTACACATTCTCTTCGCTTCCAATGTTGTTTGCATTACAATAAAGCATGATGGCGTCTGAAACTAAATCGATTTATAGGTGTTTGTATTAATGGTGTTTGGTAAATTTTGTTGAATGTGTTGTATAATTTACGTATTTCTTTTGGCCCAAAATTATTGTTCAGAATGGATTTTCACTTTCAATTTCAATTTGTATTAATTCTGAAAACTCAAACTGGATAACAATTTCGGAACAAAGAGAGTATTATTTTTGATATTTAGTGTTTGGTTCGTTGAAGATATGTGAGTAAGGATCAACTACATGAAGCCATCCTCTATTGCCTGTTTGGGATATACAGTAGAACGTCGGTAAATTAATAATCGATAAATTAATAATTTCTGACAATTAATAATTTTCTCCGGTCCTGACTTAGGACTAGTACAAAAAGTGACAAAAATCGATAAAATAATAAGATAATAATGTTTCAGAAAATCTCCTATATATCTATAGGTCCTAACAATATTGTAAATTAATAAATACCTTAAATGTCAAAAAAAAAATACTAATATCTATGAAGATTTAGTAAAATATGAGATTATTGATACTTGTTTTTTCTTGAAATTTAAATTCAATGAAATTTCATCATTGATTTGTCTCATTGCCCTTGAGAGCTTTGGTGTCATGTTCTCAAATTCCAACAAGAAATTCTGAAAAGTTATTGCTGATTTGAGTGTCTCTTTTCGTGTGACTCGTACCGAAGGCAGTGAATCATTATCACCTTAATTCTCAATTGAATTGTCTTCAAAGACACTAGCTACAATATTCTCAAATGATTTGACCTATGTTGATTTATTATTTTCATCTGAATAATCCACCAACTGATTAACATTCATCTTATTAGGTTTGAGTTTATTATTAAAAAGAGTTACATTCCTTACTTGTTTAGGATTGTAAAGAAACGATGGAAATATTACGTAGTATAGTAGGGTTTTTAAATAAAAGAATTTTTTAAAATAATAATTTATTAATTTAAATTTACAGTAGAAATTCTATGAATTAATAGTGTTGGGAAAATTTAGTGAATTATTAAATAATCAATAAATTAATAAATTATTAATTTTAATTCATAGAAGTTCTACTGTAGATTTCATTGGAAATAACAGTAGCCAATAAAATTGGGAATCAATCCCCTGAATGGGGAAAAATTGGCGGATCTACCCAAAACTTTACATGCGTCGTCAATTCTACCTTATTCTTTTTCGGTTAGCCAATATTACCATAAACTATCCAACTGTTAGCCGATTTTGTCCAATTTGCTATTTTCCGTCTAAATTAACGGAATTCTATTTGTTTTAATTACAAAAATACCCTAATAGTTTTAAAAATTTATAAAAAGAACCTCAAAAATTTACAAAAATTAGAAAATAGTATCTTTTCAGTTTTTATTTAAATTTTTATTTTTTATTTCATTTTACTATTTTTAATAACCATAAAAATATACTATATGATCTTTTAAATAAATAATTTATTTTTAAACACTACAATACAAATTTATAGATATACATTTTGTAACTCATGATTGATTTACATCAACATATTAATTTTTTAATAATATGACTAGACAATAATGATATTATTCTTTTAATCCATCTTTTTCAATTTAAAGAATAAGATTTTATTGACTAAAACTAATTTTTTACAAAAAATAAAAACATTTAGCATAGATTAAAAAAAATATATATTAGTACATTTTAATTTATTGCAAATTAACTAAATAGAATATAGATTGTATTATCTAATTAAAAAAAATTATTAAATTAAAATATAGGGTACTGTCTAGTGTTTAGGGTGTTAAGTCTCATGAGAGTAGATATAAGATTAATTATCACCAAAGTATTTCTAACTGGGAGAGTGATTTTACCCACGTTTAAGCGAGGTCCACTAAAGGTAAGAGAGTTACATTGGATGGTTAGGTGATTTAGGATATGAGATGATTAAAACTGTGTTCGAGGTTCGATTCTCACTGGAGAAATCTAATTTTTTTTTAATGTAAAAAAAAAGTGGAGTCCAGTACTGGAGTAGATTTTTTTATTTTTTATTTTTAAAAAAAGACTTCGTGCTAAAGTTAGATATATTAATTCTCAAAACATTATCACAAAATGTTAAACCCTCGCAGTAATAAATATACATATTTTTTATAAAATATTTTGTACCATTTTTGTAAATTCCACGACACTATATTCTTGTGTTGGGCCAACATAGAAACAAAATAAGTATTTTTTTTTTACTTTCTGTCTCTTGGCCTTTTAAAAAAAATTTATATTTTAGTTTTTATTTCTTTTTAAATTTTAAAATACAATCTAAAGTCAGTTGAATTAAATTGTAATACATTAAAGTATACCAATAGATTCTTTTTTAATCTATGCGAATTGTTTAATTTTTTTGTGAAAAATTAGTATTAGTTAAATAATCTTATTCTTTAGATTGAAAAAAATGGATTAAAAAATATTATCATTATTGTAAAACTATATTATTAAAAAATTAATATGCTTATGTAAGTCAAACATAACATACAAATATGTAATTAAAAATTTGTACATTAAAGTTTAAAAATAAATATTTTTGTAAAAAGATCATATAGTATATTTTTATAGTTATGAAAAATAGTAAAAAGAAATAAAAAACAGAAAATTTTAAATAAAAACTGAAAATAGACTATTTTATAATTTTTGTAAATTTTTAGGGTTATTTTTATAAAATTTTAAAACTATTAGGGTGTTTTTATAATTAAAACAAATAGAATTCCGTTAATTTAGACGGAAAATAGCAAATTGGACAAAATTGGCTAACGGTTGGATAGTGTAGGGTAATATTAACTAACCGAAAAAGAATAAGATAGAATTGACGAAGTATATAAAATTTTAGGTAGATCCACCAATTTTCCCCCTGAATGGACCAAATCTTTTTAATTTCCTCCTGGACCATATGTGTGCACTATGTATGATTGGAGAACACCCGGTGGAAACCTATAAGCCTATTCATAATTCATCCTTGCGGTCCAGAATACTTCAGTGAGCATCATGAATGCCTGTTTATACTGAAGGCTCAAATTGTTAGATTGCAGTTGCGCGCCATACACAACAGACTAGTACAAGTTCACTTCTGCCTCTGAAAATTAAAATTCTCTATATTCTAAAATGATTGTTCAGCTTAAATCTTAATTTTTAGTACGAATTAAAAATAAAAAATCTAGATTAGACAATCAAAATGACAAATAAGTGAGTTGAGCGCTTTTATAATTTAGTCTCCTACATAAAGATTGCTCGAATTTCAGATATGTAAGTCTTCCAGCCCAAAAGAATTTGCAGCTAAATGCCATACATGATAGTGCATTGTCTACGTTATCCTCAAAGAGAGTTTTATAATTTGTCTGAGCGCATCAAATATTCTCAGATATCACAAATTAGACCCATCTCATCTTTGCCATTTTAGCATCTTATTAGCATAATTCCTTCCTCACCGTCCAAAAGTCAACCATAGGTCCTTACTTAATTTCCCGACCAAATAGATCCTCTAGGTCTAGGGTATATCCTTGAATTGTATATACACATATATGCCTTTTGTTACATGATGATGGATTTATTTTCCAGTTGGGTGATTAAGCCACTCCAACAAAGGACCGGCGAAATAGTTTTAGATTAGAGTACGAATTAAATCTTACTTATTAATGATAAAAATCCAATTACGATTAAAACCCTTGTTAGAATCTGTGAACTCAAATGTCTCCATCTCCTTCCGATTAAGAGATGTGTTATTAGAGATTGGTTACTACCAAGTGTCTAATGCTCAAATTAACGAATGTTTTTGCAACTTGAAAACATTTCTGACCAATCTCTAATAAATCAGTTATTTTTAACCCTTCTTTTGAAGTCTGAAGAAAGAAAACAAATGAAAAGATCATTTTTTATTTTTTTTTGCTTACCTAATATAGTACTATTGTGATCAAGTCGCATTCATCCAAGCCTAAATTGTCATCTCAGAATCTCGTGCTTCCTCAAGAGTCAACTCCTATTTTCTTACATCATTATACATATATTGACCAAAAGCTTTCAAGAAAGGGAAACCAAAACTAAAAAAAAGTACCACTTGAGTTTTTACTTTTTACCCGGTCAGCAATAATTGTCCCAAATGAAGACGGTTAAACTTCAGTTTCATGGCCAATTTTGAGGCATCTGGATTCTTGTAAAATCAAGGGCTTGAGGGGAAAAAAAAAAGAAAAAAAATTCCAGGAGCTTGCCAACATAAATAATCACCATTCCTCTTTTATTCCCCAAAACAAATATTAGAATTCAAACGTTAAATTTGATGTTTGAGAATATACACTTGTACTTTGCCCATTACATCACAAGTCACTCTCTTGTTCTTATATAGCTTTATTAATTTGCTGCTTCTCAGTGCTTGCTATTTGTGATTAAAAAAAAGGTTGAATTTGATGACCAGTTGAAAGCTTTAGATCATTGGTTCGTGGAAACAAGTGGGGTAGTCATGTTTTAGTTTAATAACACAAAGAGGAATGAAGTAACAAAAATTAATGAAATCCCTCCTTCAATTATTAAGCTGATATAATAGTTATATGTATATGTATATATAATCAATTTGAAACAAATAATTGTTTGAACCATTTAAATATCATCTTAGTTGTGGATCTGAAACATATCACATTAGCTATTACCTCCACAAGATTGAATATCATTAAAAAATTTAAAAGATGGTGCAAAAGAAGCGAACATAACAGTTTATCTCTTTATCTTTTCATAATAATTCCACTCGCGTAATATTCTTACAAAGACATGGTAGAGTTTAGAAATCAAAAGATTTCGCAGTGTTGGGTCATCGTATAATAGTCTTTGGTCTTTTTGAATTAAAACTAAAGATGATGATGGAAGCTGAGATAAATAGGAACTCAAATTTCTTGAAGGATGAAACCAAAAGTGGGGTAATTAACCAAGTTGTTTAGAGGTCAACCAGGTCTAGGTGAAGCGACAAACACATTCAACCAACGGACAGAGAAATTGGAAATATCAATGCCAAAACCTCCAATTTGGGCAAAAATGACAAGGGAGAATGCCGTCTGATGACATCTCGGAAAAAAAAAAAAAACAAAAACCCATCGCCATCTGACCATCTTCCAATCCAAACCCATATGATATGATGATGATATTCTTTTATGGCCTCTGCAGCCAAGGTTTTCTTTGTCCTAAACTCAACCCTTTTTAATTTAATCAAGAAAAGCTTTCATTTGATGATAACTTTCAACACGTAATACAAAGAGAATAAGTCGGTAAGTAATTAATCAAATGAAAAATCACCAGCCAAAAAGACTCCAACGTCTGTGTAAGACCTCCTAATAAAAACACCATAACTTCCAAATGAACAGCACACCAAGAAGATAATCAATATGCCATAATATGTCTCTTTCTTCCCTTTACCCCATCTCTTTATTTTTAATGCTTAGAACTTGTCATTAAAAGTCCATACTTATTTATTAATCAAACTCTTACGCCACCTTCCTAATTGTGTTTAGTACTCTGTGTATGTGTGTGTGCGCAATTTTTTTTCTTCCATTTCCTAATTCACTCTTATCATCCTCAGATCAAATTGAAATGATAAAGTACCATCAATCACTCTCCCATATCCCTTCTTCTTCTTCTTCTTCTTCTTCTTCTTTTTCTCATCAGCCAATTCTTGATTCATCTCGAATGGCTAATGAAGAACCTGCTGACCCAAACAACCTCATCTCAGATCACAACATCTTGGAATGGATTAATGAAGGTTCCCTGGCTTTCCCCTCATCCATTTTTGATGATTCTTCTGTTGATTTCAACCCTGATCCCTGGTGGCCACCTCAACTAGGTCAACAAGCTCCCCTGGAACAACAATATGAACAAATCAACCACAACAATAATAACACTTACACTTGTACTTCTTTCAATAGTAATTCAACTGTTACTACTGCCACCAGCTCAACTCTCACTGAGAACTTTGTACTTGATAATCCTCATCAGCAGCAACCGCAGCTGCCGTTGGTATCGGACACATGTAAGAAACGGAAAGCATTGGAAGATTCAGGTCCTCCTCCAAGAATAACATCATCCCAGATTTCCCAGAGGAGTCAGAAAAGTCGGGTTAAGGATGCGGCTGACAACGAGGGAGACACAATTGTCGAACAGACTATGCCGGCACCAGTAAGGAAATCGTCTGGGAATAAAAAGACAGGAGCCAAGTCGGCAGGGAATAATGGTGGTAGTAACAGTAACAAAGATGGAAGGTGGGCTGAGCAGCTGCTCAATCCTTGCGCGACTGCGATTGCATCCTCGAATCCAAGACGGGTTCAGCATCTCTTGTACGTGATTAACGAGCTTGCCTCGTTAACTGGTGATGCAAATCATCGTCTGGCTGCTTATGGCCTCCGAGCCCTGACACATCACCTGCCTAATTCCCCTGCTTCTTCCTTGTTCTCCTCCACTTCAGCTGGAGTTACTACCTTTGCTGCTTCGAATCCCAGGTTTTTCACTGAATCACTGATCAACTTCAGTGACATCAATCCCTGGTTTCGCATCCCAAACAGCATAGCCAACTCTTCCATCCTTCAAATTCTCGCTGCACAGAATCAGCAGGGGAATAGTCTTCACATCCTTGACATTGGAGTCTCTCATGGAATTCAGTGGCCAACCCTTCTTGAGGAATTGACCCGCCGATCAGGGGGTCCCCCTCCATTGGTTCGCATCACATTCGTCACGCAGACCAATGACGACGAACAGTCAAGAAGCACTCCCTTTGCGGTGAGTCCTCAAGGCTACAACTGCTCTACACAACTCCTAACCTTCGCCAAGAAGATAAACCTCAATTTACAGATCAACAGGCTTGACAACGTCCCTTTACAGAACCTGAATTCCCAGGTTGTAAACTCCTCCCAAGACGAGACGTTGATCATATGTACACAGTTCAGGCTACACAACCTGAACCACACCGCCCCTGATGACAGGACAAACTTCTTAAGAGTTTTAAGGAGCATGGAACCTAGTGGTGTAGTGCTTAGTGAGAATAACCTAGACTGTAGCTGTCACAACTGTGTAGACTTCGCAACAGGGTTCTCCCGGCGAGTGGACTACTTGTGGAGATTCCTGGATTCAACAAGTGCCGCATACAAAGGGCGTGAGAGCGATGAAAGGAGGATGATGGAAGGAGAAGCAGCAAAGGCGTTAACCAACCTGGGCGAGATGAATGAACGGAAAGAGAAATGGTGCGAGAGAATGGTTAGTGTCGGCTTCAAGAAGGAGGTATTTGGAGAAGATGCAATTGATGGGGCAAGGGCGTTGCTGAGGAAATACGACAGTAATTGGGAGATTAGAGTGGAAGATAGAGATGGCTGTGTGGGATTATGGTGGAAAGGGCAGCCTGTATCATTCTCTTCATTGTGGAAGATAGATCAGAAAGAAAACCAACTGAAATAGAACAAATAATCATATGTACATTGATTATCTTCTTCTTAAGTTCACAGTTTCCAATTAACCTAAGAACTTCAAAACCTAAGTCTAGTACAGAGACAGGAGTTTTTAGTTTCAGTTTGTATCCAACTAAATTATGTCAGCATTCTTCTATCTCTAACTAGCTACCATGGATATAAATCTCAGCTCTAGTCTAGTTAAGCAAGGGAAGGATTCAACCCGAGATCCAGGCATTGATAAACCAAGTCCAGCGTGTAAAACCGACCATCGACTTGTAAACTTCCTTCCATGTAAAACTGTCTAACTAATGCAAATACAAAACGAGCTTATCGAACATTTTTCAGCTTTTCAGTTCACCATTTTTGCGAGTATCACCTCTTATTATTGACAATTACAGAGGTGCATAGAACACACAGGATACTCCTAACTACAGCGGTAGCAGCCGGTAGGCAAAATAAACGAAAGATAATACATTGTCAAATAGAAACAACTGATCATTTCCTGAAAAGGGAGGGGAGTGGTTGGTATCTGCACATCAGCAACCGATCATCTAGAGCATGAACACTTGATTTTACAATTATCAATGCATTTTTCAAACATGCTAGATGAAAAACTTACACCTACTTTAACATTTAGCATATACAGGATACTCAGCTCATCAAAACCTAATAAACCATAGCCATTCGCATTAGATTCCACTAAAATGAAAGACTGTAATCAAAGCTATCGATTGCTTGTTCATGAGTCATAAATCCTCACTGAACCTCGAATTGATTGCCTACATACTGGGCACTTGGGTAATAAATCGCGTTCAACTGTGAAGGCACAACGTCGACAACAAACAAGATGCCCACATGGAATAAATGCAGATCGCCGCCTTCTCATCAAGCATACAACACATAATTCTCCATCCGGAACATCTCCATTATCCTCATCGGGCTCTTCATCGTTGGGGTCATCCCCAGATGTCGAATTTTGTTCTTGCCTCTCACGGTGCTGTCTCCACTCTTTCCATCTTTTCCAGTTCCTTATATTAAGAAGAAAATGACTGATTATTTTTGTAGAAAAGAGAAAACGAGGCATCAAATCAACGCCAAGCCTACTTTAAAGTTTCAACCCAAGCCAAGAAGTTCAAAACAGACATTTACAAGAGAGCTAATTTCCAAAATGCAATTCTTATTTATAGTGAATCAAACAACAAGAACCCCCCCAAATTTATCGTTAAAGCTTACCTTACTACAGCATAACCAAGTATACCAACCGCCAGCGAACCAACAACAATCCCACTCCAGAATAGAACTCTGGTTTTGAAGTCAAGATCTAAAACCATTTGATCCTTAGTTAAGTCAGACCTGTAAATATGCACCAATAAAGAGAACTGTAAATATGCAACAACAAACAGAGATTTGGCTCCCCTTTATACCCAACAAATAAGCATTGAATACTAATTTCGGACTCGTACATTTTTTGCATAGCATATTTGGACAATCCTGCTAAACTACAGACAAAATTGATAATTAATGCCTTTGCGGTGCTAGACGTTACTGCCACTACTGAATCAGAAACTCCCACGTTAGAGTTTCCCTTTTTTCCTTTTCTTTCATTATTTATTTTTAACCTTGGTCAAATACTTGATACCAGAAGTTGAAATCAGACTGCTACAATACAACAATAGTTTGCACAAAAATAATAATGCATAATCAGACTGCTACAATACAACAATAGTTTGCACAAAAATAATGCGGCAGTGAAGTCAGTCCTAGAACCTCTAAAAATATTACACACACAAAGTGCAAGAAGTTGCAATGAAGAAAATTCAATCTGCAGAAAAAGTCAAAACTACGTGTTATAGTACGGTCCTCTTCTCGTCACAAGGTGGATAACTACTGAAGGTGAATAAATCCTGATAGTTCCGCTCCCTGGAAGCTTCGCGGAACATGAAAGGGTTTCACTACTAACAAACAATCACCACCACCCCCCAACCAAAAGAAAAAGGCAGAATAAAACATCTTTCACAGGTCCTGGGGGCTCAGAAAAACTGTTCAATACCGCCCACTGTTCATTCTCTTTATCCAAAATATTAAATGCACGCATATTTTTTACCCAATTATTAGTTTAAACTTACAGAATGGGGAAAACCCGCTTAACTTCAAATAAATATTTTCACGACCTGAAGATTTTCCTTTTCTTTGTTTTGGACTAATTATGTAGTAGAGTAACTCTTACAAGAAAAAGGGGAGATCTTTGCATGATTTGATTACAGGAGTTTCGTGCTTCATATTGTAAATGCCAATTGCGGTAACTTCCTTTCCAACTGGAAGAAGCTTCTCTTCCTCAAGCAGTCCAACCTTAGAGATCAAGAAAATTGGAATTAGAATCACTATCATGGACCTGCAGAATGCATTTCCATTCTTTAGTTCTTCAAAGTTTAAACAATACTTACTGGATACTGATGGCCAAACAGCGCCTGGAGGAAAGTGTAGGGAGTGGCAGTGACCGGCCGTAAATTATGATACACTGTTGTTAAAGGTAGAGGGTGTCTTGACCCTTCCATGTCCACAACGACATGAGAAGGCTCAGGCCACCTTTCAGGATCGACTAGAATAAATGGCACCTGTTTGAAGATGTCAAGAAAACAGCTTCAACTTCAAGCACCAAATTTGGAACTTTAAGTGCACCAAGCAAGAAACTTGCATAAATGTATGATCGAGCTTAATCCTAATGTGCACTATACAAAGTGTAAATTGCAACTAAACTTCCTTAAGAATCCATAATTCGACGTAAAAATACTCTATTTCTGCTAGATGCTTACTGTTCTCATAGTGGACGACTCTTGCTCTTTCCAGGATCTGGCAAATAGAGTGCGTAAATCAGAAGTCCATCCAAAGAAACCCCTCCATTCATTGTATATACACTGAAAATAGAATCCAAACATGAGTTACTACTAATCATTAAAAATGAACAATGACCAACCTAATCTGTTTCTTAACATCAATCCTTGTTTTTTCAATCCAAGAACTAACAGTCACCTCAGAAGACTATTCACTTGTAATAACATAAACATTGAGCAGGAAACAATCAGTGACTAGGTGGAATAAGTCATCTTAACAAAACTCTATCTTCTGGAAACCAACATTTAAATTTATTGCGCCAAGTATAAAGTATGCTTAGAAGAATTCATACTGCATAACAAGCAAAGAGTAAAAAATGAGAATAACTACCGTATGAGTTCGCTGCAATATAACGCCCTTCTCGCCGGACTCTTGAGAGATAAGTACGCCGTGGCCGCCGGCGGAAACGAGGCTCTTCCAATTTCCGCCGCCTTCCAAAGCGGATTTAGGTTCGACGGAGCCGCGCACAACCACGAGCTTTCCACCGTCGTCGTGCTGGTCAATCGGAGTGGTACTATAATCATCGCCGGAAGAAGAAAGGCTGCGGAGATCGGAGACACGAACGGAAGGCGCCTGCTTAATTTTGGTTAGGGCGGCGGAGTCGGCGTTGAATTTGAGAATGCAACGAACGGCGACGTATGCTAGGCCGAGTCCGAGTACTGCGCCGTCGCCCGCCAAAGCTAGCTGCGACAGCACCGCCGCTGCCGCCTGGTCGTGTACGGACATCTTGTATACCGGTTCGGGAAAAAAAATTGGACCGGTTCAGGCGGGTATTATGACCGGAACCGGAAGTGTTTTAGTCGGTAATATGGTTTAAGTTTTTTTCACAAAAAGCTGAGCGAGCTCAAAAGGAGGGGAGCCGGAAGACGGTGATGTGTAATTACTTCGTTTATAATTTTGTTTTTATTTTTTATTTAAGGAGATAAATTAACAAAATGATTAGTTGAGTTATGTGATTACTTGTGACAAAATACATAGTTACATACACACAGGATCCATCATCGTATATATTGAAAATAATAAAGTTGGAGTAACTCGCAAGAAATATTAAAAAGAAAAAATTGCCTCGAAAGGTTTAAATAAAAATAGAAAACTTCTCTTTGAGACGGCAACACTAACACAATGTCCACGTCTTTCTTAATTTTTGGAAAACTTTTTGGTACTCCTTATCTGCAAAAATTCAGTATTATTATAAAACTAAGGTCTAAATATAATGATCTAAGGTAAAGATAACTAAAATTTAATTAGTGATGATAGTTATTTAACTTCTATACTAAAGACTTTATTATTATAATTTTCTACTTATTGAAATATTATGAAATATATTATAAGATTTAAGAAGAAGGGGAGAAATTCACTTTATAAATCAAAGACATACAGAAAACAAGAGGGAGGAATAAAAAGGTGTTTTATTGTGTGTTTTTAGGTGTTTTTTGTATTGAAAATGTAAAAAAACGTATTAGAAATGTAAAAAGGTATGCTGGGATAAGACAGTTATTAATATTAAATTTTGAAAAAATCAACAAAAAAAGGAAACAAACAAAGGCTAAGTTTTTCGGTGCATTTTTCACTTTGGAGAGTCACATATATATAGGAAAATTTTGGCAGATATTTGGCCGCCTCAATTTTCTTCTTCACATTTAATGTAACTATTCTAGTGGGTAAATATTTTTGACTTTTTGTCATTCACTTATTTACAACAAGTATATTATTTTATTTCGATCTATTTGCCTATGTCTCAACATTTGGACCCATAACTTGACAAAGGCATGAAAAATTCTTTTTCTCAACTGATTGATCTAAGGCCACATTAATTTAGACATGTAAACAGATTGTTTTGAACATAAACGGGATCATTCAATCACTAAAAAGATGCGCATGCACACATGACATTTCTACATGAACTATTTAGTTACCCTCTACTACATTATCACAATTCACAACATACATAATTACATACTATATCGAAATCCGAAGATATATATTCCCTCCGTCAATGTCACCCAACAAGCAACGTTTCCTACAAGAATGAGTTACATACTTGTTAATCATCATGATGAACAAAAAAAAAAATGCCAAAAGTACTTCAAAGATCGCCATAACTGATTCCGAAGCATTGAAAGATTGTATATAAACGTCATCACCTGAGGTATGATGGGAAGATTGCCATCAGGTTACTTCGCCATTAAGTGCCTAATTAATTCTTTTCTTCTTCTTTCTGTTTCTCTGTCTACTTGCCAACTACCCAATAAATGTTATCTCATTACTCGTAAATCCTGAACCTCGAATTGACTCCCTGCATATTGGGCACTTGGGTGAAAAATAACGTCCAACTGAGAATGAGAAGGCACATATTTGACAAAAGACAAGATGCCCGCATGGAATAAATGCAGAACGACGCCTTCACCTCAAGCATTTCACACACAATTGTCCATCTGGAACTTCTCCATTATGCTCATCTGCTGCCTCTTCAAGTTTGGAGTAATCCTCAGATGTGATGTTTTGCACTTGACTCTGCCATTGGTGTCTCCATTCTTTCAATTCATTCCAGTATTCTTTCACTTTCTTCCAGTACCTTAAAATTTAGAAGAGAAACTAACTGAGTATTAGAAAAACCCTCAAACCTACACCAAGCCTGGTGCACTTTCAATCCAAGATTCGGAAAGGTTCACAATAACATTCACAAGAGAAGCTAACTTACTAATCCAGTTCTTATCCATCATAAATCAAATAAAACACCACCCAATTTTTTCGAAAGCTTACCTTACTGCCGCATAACCAAGTATACAAATAGCCACTGAACCAACAACAATCCCACTACAGAATTGAACTTTGGTTATGTATTCTAGATGCTCAACCATTTGATCCTTAGTCAAGTCAGACCTGTAAAAACATGCACCTAAAACAACAGAGTACTCGCCTTTAAATCCCCATAAAAGATATCGAATATTAATCTTGAACTGTTATATTCTATGTACTGCAAAATTGGACAGTGAGGTAACCTATCGACAAAATACATAATATATGCCTTCACGGTGCCATAATTTACGGCCACTCTCAAACCAGAAACTGCGATGATGGAGTTCCCTTTTCCTAATTTCTTTTATTTTGGTCAAACACATGCTTTCTAATTGTTGAAGTCAGACTGTTATGATACAGCAATATGTTGCGCAATAAAAAATAATATTGCACATAAATAGGGTGGCGGAATTAGTCATAAAACCTCTACATATACAATATAGACAAAGTACATGTCGCAACGAACAAAAATGTGAAATCCTAATCTGGAAAACAAGTTAAAACTACTCCAAAATCACAAAGAGCTTATGAGCCCTGGATAATAATAGTCCTCACATCTCCGTGGGGCAAAATGTTAAACTCCTGAGGGTAAGGAATACTTGGATAGTTTCGATCGTTGCAAGCTCACGGAGAATGGAAATTTTTTTAATTCTTTACAGCCAAAAAGGCCACACTTAACGTTAGTCACAACTTCAAGTGGGCAAGAATATCTTGACCCCAATAATACAGGCACGCAGTTGATTCATTTATCCATTTATAATTGGTTTCAAAATGATAGAATAAGAAGTAGCCATTACACGGAAAATAAAGATGAAGAAAACTATATTCATGACCCAAAGAAAATGGTTTTCTTGTAATTATGTAGTAGAGGGACTCTTACAGGAAACAGGGAAGATCTTCGCATGATTTGATCACAGGAGTTCCATCCCTCATACTGCAAATGCCAAATCCAGTGATTTCCTTCCCGAGCGGAAGAAGTTTCTCTTCAACAAGCAGTCCAACCTTAGAGATGAAGAAAATTGGACATCAGAATTGTATCAAGCAGCAACAGCTTACCCACTTGTAGTTTTTCAAAGTTTACACGATACTTACTGGATACTCATGGCCAAACAGTGCCTGGAGAAAAGCATAAGGGGGGTTAGTGACCGGCTGTAAATGATGATGAATTGTAGTTAAAGGTAGTTTGTGACTTGACCCTTCCATGTCCACAATGACATAATCAGGCTGACGCCACCTTTTAGGTTCAACAAGAATAAATGGCACCTGTTTAAAGATCACCTAATTAAGAACTCTAAGGGCGCCGAACAAGGAACTTGCCTATATGTATGATCGTGCTTAATCCTAATGTGAACTAGTCATGAGTATTCCCAAAAGGTTCTACAATACGATAAAGAAGAAGTTTGTTTCTAGAATATGATTACCGTTCTATCTATGGACGACTCTGGCCCTGCAAAGAAGTAGTATAAAGCAGAAGCCCATCTATCGTATTTACACTGAAAAAAAAGAACCAAAATATGAGTTACGCTCATCTTTATAATAGTGAACAATGATCCACAAAGATGAATTCTAATTCATCCAAGACCTAACCATCACCGCAGAAGATTATTCATTTGTAAGAAACATTCAAGCTTTCTGGTTTGGTTGGTTGGTCTTTTAGTAGTTTTTTTTTTACTAGATGGATTAGACGCGCTTCGCACGTACGCTATGTAGAATTAACTTACATAATGTATATTATAAAAATAAATAAAAAATTTTAATAATTAAAATAATAAATTACATTGTTATCTGATATATATCTACTAAATATGTTAACAAATTTATCGGTAGTTAAAAATCTATAATCTTACATTATAAAAATAAAATGATATCACTAAAATGTGTCACTTATTATTTCAATGGAGATAACATATAGCATTCTGATTGTGAAAAGAAAAAGACAATACTAATGAGAAATAAAATAGATCAAGTTTATATATTACCAGAAGAGAAAAAGAACAATTTTTTTAAAAAAAAAAAGAAGAGAAAAAATATCAAAAACTAAAACTAAATTTGAGAAGGAAAAAATTGAAAAAAAAAAGGGATGGACACGAGCAACAAAAGATGATAATCTCTGATAGATTTGAAATTGAGAGGTAAAAATAAAGATTTGAAGGGGAAAAAAAACAAAGAGAAAGAGAGAAGTGACTAAATCTTACCCTCTTTCGAATTATATGTATGTAAATTTATGCTACATGACTTTTAATATTATTTTGAGTTATAGAACAATAAAAAAACCATTCAAAACCTATTAAATTCAAAGAGAAGAAAAAAAAAAAAGACATTAAGGAATTCGAAGAGATTATAATTACGGAAAACCGTTTTTAGGCCAATCAGTTTTACTTTTGAAATTGATAGTTAGAATCATTAAAACCGGTTTTAGACTTATTAAATTTACCTAATAATGAGAAATAATTGTTTTGTAACCTTAAAATGAAAAATTAATGGAAGGGAGATCAAAGGATCATTATATTATTTGATAATAAAGGATAATTTATTATTATAAAATTAGATATAAGGAAGTGATTTTTTATCATAAAATAAAAGATAATGGGTAATAAGTAAAATAATAATGAAATAAATAGGACAAAATATTTATTGAAAAATGCTTTTGACCAAATCAAATGAGAGACTATAAAATTTTTCAATTGCATGCAAAAACATTAACCAAAATAAATAAGTTATGTAAGAAGGACTACCAAACTCTAAAACTTATCCAGCAATTATAATATAGTATGATAATGAAGATCAAATATCAATAAATGTTTAATTCCGTCACATATTTTACATTTTCAATACATATTTCTATTCGCAATAGAAAAAACGCTCAACAATACACCAAAAAAAAAAATAGAGACATTATCCATTTGTCTATTCCTAAATAAACATTGAGCAGGGTAGTCGAATAAATTGTCTTATACATATCCTAATTTCTGAAAAAAGAAAACATCAGCTTCTCGAACTGAAAGCATCATCAATTTGAGTTTAGAGATTTTCTAATAACGCATTACAAAAGACGATACAAACAAGAAATAGAGAAAAAAAAAATAATTGGAAAGATGAGAATTCTTACCGATTGAGTTCGATGCAGTATGACGCCTTTTTCGCCGGATTCATGAAAGATAAGTAAGCCGGCGGGGGCAGCGCGTGAGAAGAGCCTCTTCCAATTGCTGATGCGGCCAATTAAAACGGATTTAGCTTCGACGGAGCCGCGCACAATCACAGACTTTCCGGCGTTGGAATTTTCATGACCGGAAGATGATAGAAGTGAGCGGAGATCGGAGACCGGAACGGAAGGCGCCTGCTGAATTTTCCGTAGGGCGGAGGTATGTGTGCTGAATCTGACAAAGCTTTTATAGGCGTATAAGGCAAGTCGAAGTCCGAGAAGAACGCCGTGGTCAACCACCAAAGAAGCTGCGACACCACCGCCGATTCCGCAATGTCTTGAACTGACATGGATGACAACTGAATTGGAGCTCCGGCTATTTTCACCGGAGCCTGAGGGTTTATTTAAATTTTTAAAACTTTCAAGATGTCTCGAGGGAGGGCGCCAGAAGGACGGACTTATATTTAGGTCAGTACTTAGCGGCGCGGATTCGAGTTATTGGGTAAATTTCGTGTTACTTATTCCACAGGATTTCATAAGATTTTTATGTTGTTATTTATTTCACAAGATTCATAAGATTAAATTATTGTTTTGGAAAAATTAATTTTAAAAGATAAAAACAAACGAAATTAATAGCTTTGGCTATCGGTATCTCTTATCGCTTTCGAGTTTTGATTCTCTATTCTTACTCGGGGCAGGCTTAATTATGGCGTCTAACCTAAGTTTGGTTTGGTGATTTTATTTATGTCGCTTGGATTTAAGGAACGAACGAAAGATATAGACTTCCGCCGGATCCGGCTCCTGTTTACCTGAATATCCACCACTAGGTTACTATCTTTGTCCCTTCAAGTCTTATGTTTGATTTCGTTGTACTGTTTCAGTGTTTCCTTTGTTCATTCCGGTTTGGTGTTTTTTCTTTTTTTTTTTTTTGTTTGCTTTGCAAAGTTATCTAAGAAAAGCAGAATGGATACCCTCACCCCTATACCTGAATCCTCCAATAAGAAGCAATCCTCTACTGAGAATAATCCTATGCCGAGGTCATATCTTTGTCCCTTCAAATCCTCTTTCTGTGTGTTGGGATTAGGGTTGATTTCGTTGTTCTTCCTTTTCTTTTGTTCATTTCGGTTTGGTGTTCTTCTTTGTTTGTTTAGCTTGGTTCTACGAATTGCAAATGCAAGATATATAGAAGACTCCCCTGTACCTGGATCCTCCACTAAGAGATCCTACCATGAGGAATCCCCCTCTGACTTGGCTGCCATGAAGGTATTATCTTTGTCCCTTCAAATCCTCTTTTCGTGTTGGGACTAGGGCTGATTTCCTTGTTCTGTTTCATTGTTGAATTTCCATTTATTTTATGCTGGAATGTCAGCCTTGAGTGTCCTTCTTTTTAACACTTGGTTCTTGACTTTTTGTTTTATCTTTCCTCCATCATTATTATAGATCTATTAAATCTTATTAGCTCCCACATCAATTTTAATTTTTGTTTGTTTTGCCTGGATTGAAGGCTAGGTTCGATAAGGTGACTGCTGCCGGGCTGGAAGGAGGAGGTTAAATACCACTTGCCGCCGAAGGTTGTTGAACCTTTAACAACTGAGCAAATTTTTCTAAACGAGGATGGCGTAAGTTTTTCCTTGCTTACCTATTATCAAGGTTTGATCTGTAAGCTTTTTTTTTTTTGATTATTTTCTTTGTTTCTGGTAGTCTTTTCTAGAGTGCGAACCTAAATTCGAGAAGGGAACAACTGTCCTGGGTTGTGTTTTCCAAGAAGGAATCATGGTGGCTCCTGATCGTTCAGGCAAATGTGAGTTTGTCTACCAGGTTAGCCTCATTTTTTTTTTCTGCCATTTATACCTCAAGTACTAACTTTCCTTCTGAAATTTATTATCAGAGTTTCCACCGAAACTTAGTTCAACTGAATTCTCACATGCTGGCAACAATCTCCGGAGGAAGCGAATTTCTGCTCAAAGATCTTGAGAAGAAGGTACTTGCTATAAGAGCCCTTTTTTGCCTTGTATTGTTTTATGGTGCAAACTAAGAAAGGCAACTTGACATTTTGTCTAAAAAATTAAGAAGTGGTCCATGTGTGTGGCAGTGCAAAAAACATGAACAGAAGGAGGGGAGGGAACCTTTGGTTGCAGAGATATTGGACTGGCTGGCCGAGGCTCTTTCAGCTTACAAAGAGGAACCTTTGTCAGTAGGGATACTGATAGCTGTCTGGAATGAATTGGTACTCCTTCTTTCTATAATTTTAATTTTGTTGTATATTCTGTAGTAGAAACTTTCATATCCTAATCTCTAACTGTGTGCAGGAGCATGGCCTGTATCGCATGAATGGTTATGGGGAACGTGTTAAAGGTGATCTACTTGCCACTGGATCTGGGTCAGCTTCTGCTGTGTGTAAAGTGAAACAGTATGTTTCCCTTCCCCTATGTGAATTCCTATGTAATTCATTGAAATTGTGTCGGGAGTTTAATTAACTAGTTTCTGGTTTTTCTTGTAGCTGCGAAAGCTTTATGCCGGTAACTCGAGCTGCCAATGCTGATAGAGTAGGCTTTCGGTTTGAGTATGCTCCTTTCTCCTATACTCCTCTTTAATTCGTGTATATTCTGTTGGGTGTTCTTTTCCCTGTCAACTTTTTGAAACAAACTAATTTGTGGTTTTTTCAAGTACTAGGTGCGAACGCCCCATGTCCGTGACTGAAGTTGCAGACTTGGCCAAAGAGGCTATATGCTTTGCTGCATATGAGGCTCCCCATACTGTGAGTGGTATGGTTTTCAATCTTATGGCTGCTGTCGTTCTTGTTTGTTAGTTTGTTTACCTGATGTGTGCTTTTCTCTGTTTTGAAGTTATTCACCTAGGAAGTGGGGGGTGCGTTAAGATCCTTCTTGAGGGCGATATGGAAGAATGGTACAAGGAGAACATGAAGCACGTCCCACGGTTGAGGTACGAGATCATCGGGATGGGATGGTGATGCCAGCAATTTCTTGTGTATCTTGTGTTTTGATGTTCTTTTTGGACGAAACCAAAATGTTGCAAGACATCCCTGCTTTTCATTAGTTTCTTTTTGTAATGAACAAGGTTTTATATTGTTTAATATATATATATATATAGATATATATATTTTAAGGGATACTGCTGCCCCTTGCTGCCATAGTTGGTGAGGGAGCTTCACTCTCTCTGTGCCATGAAGGCAAAGCACAAGCAGCAGTACCAAGAATTTTTTAGTACTAGCTGGATTAGAGATCTCCATATATCCTGGAATTAAAAGATCCTGGCCATTTTTAATAGCAGGATAGATGATGTTTTTTTAATTAAAGAGTAGTGTCTTAAAAAAATTCTTGTGACCTGTGAGTACTATTTAATTGAATGTGCAACAAATAGATCTCCTGATCGATAAACATGAAAAGAAACAAATTAAAAAAAAAAAAAAAAAAACAGAAACCAAGCAAAAATTACACTCTTTTAACTCTTATAGTGTTTTCATCGGTTTCATCAGTTCTCTTTGGAGAAGTAGGACTTGCTCAATAGGAATTCTTTCATACAATCATTTAGGAGATGTGCAGATTCCATGTTTGATGCGTGCCCCGTGTCTTTGAGAATTTTCAATTTTGCTTTGCTCCCCAAATGCCTGCACACACACACACACACACACACACACACACAGTAGCTACTAATTAGGTAGTGCACTTAATTATTGAACTCAATTTTCACAACATACTGTATCAGATCATAAAAAGAATAATAATATTAGGTATCCCTCCGTCCCAAAATATTGTACGTACGACACTCTAGACTTTTATTTTCGAATAACACACGACTCTTGTTTTATCACGAACAGAAATTATAATTTGTAGAGAAGCGGGTAAGTATAGAATGGCTTACCTTTGTAATTGTTGGCCAAATACTAAGGGGAAGACCTTGTCACTGTCACCCCAAACGAGCAATGTTTCCTACAAGAAATTCCACAACTTAGTTACGTTCTTAACTAATCATCTTTTAGCAACAAACAGAAAAATGCATACAAAAGGTACTTCAAAAATCGTCATAACTGATTGCCATAACTGATTGGGAAGTAGTACTTGAAAAATAAGTAATTCCTTCATCTTCAATTTTAATTCAAATTATACAAAAATTGATAATACAAAGTGACCGATAATTATGACACAAAGGGAATATCTCATTAAATTCAGTACCTGAGGTATGATGGAAAGATTGTCATCAGGCTTCTTTGCCATTAAGTGCTCTATTAGCTCTTTCTTCTCTTTTCTGTTCCTCTGCCCAAGTGCCTACCACCAAATAAACCATTACCTAATCAGGACTCTTTTTTAAATCTCCTTTTGATCCCCAAAAAAAAGAAAAAGTAAATCCCACCACCGTGCACAATCAAAGAAAGATTATAGTGTCGTGACTAAGTGAGTAAGTCTATCGTCCCAACTAGTTGTTACAGTTTTTGTATCATTGATTGAATCATTCAAAACGGTTAAACAGTACTTTATACATTCTCTGTTCCAAATATTTGTATAGTTTAGACTTTCACTTTTGATACAATTTAAATGAGAAATAAATATACAAATTAGATAATAATTTTAATTTGGGAGGGAAATAATAGTAACTAACCAAGAGGTGGTTTTAGTTCTTCTATATCCATTTTTAATAAACCATTAAACATTAACATCGACCCTTGATTGTCACGCCCACATGCAACAACAAAACAACACTGGTCCAGTAGTACTACGTAGGACAACCGAACAACAAAACACAAAAGACACCGTCAATCAAACTCTTTAAAAAAATTGGCCAAAATTAATCTATAACATGAGTAAGACAATAAAAAGTGCTTACGTCAATGAAGCCCTGTAGGAAAATGTCAGGGTACCCTTTGAAGCGATCGTACTTGTGAATCGATAGATTCAATAACAGCCGTAGATCTTCCGCTTTTTGCGGGACTAACAAATCCACTACATCCTTCTCCAGCTTCCCAAGGTGCTCCGCCTTTTGTTCCTCCGTCAAAGCAATCCCACTACTTACGATCACCATCTTCTCCACCGACTCCGGGTTCATCTCAGCCATCGAATACGCCACGTAGCCACCGTAGCTGATGGAGTACACCGAGTACCTCCCCACACCCAACTGCTCCATCCCCTGGGCCACGCATTTCGCTTGAAACGCCGTCGTCCGGTCCGGCCTTGTGGAGTAGGATTTCCCGAAGAAGACTAAATCCGGCGCGTAAAGATTAAAGGATTGGGAAAGTGGGCCGGCTTGGTACATGAATTGCCACTTGGAATCTCCGCCGTAACCGTGGATCATCAGGAGGTTGGGCTTCCTTGGGTCTCGCCGTTTGGGGGCCCAGAAATGCATGGAGGTCTGTTCATCGTCCATCACCACGGTGCATGATGAGAGCTTGCAGATGGTGCGGAAATAGACGGCCAGGATTGCGTCTATGAAGGAGAAGAGGAACGCGAACCATTGGATTTTGAGGAGTGGGTTTAGAATGGAGTGGAGTATTATCTTTGTAGTTATGGAGACACATCTGGGAGCACTTTTTCCTAAGCTCAGAGTATCCATGGTGGGCACTGCCATTGATGAGGACGATTTTAATCTGCTACACCTTTCTTAAAAGATGACGAAAAGGGGGTTTTTTTGTCATTTTATATTTGGAAATTGTTATTGTTATTCATGGAGAAAAAACGGAGATTGATTTTATATACTCCATGCCATGGAGTCCATGATCAGCATTTTTTTAATAGTTCATTTTCCGCATTATTATTTTTTTATAAAAATAAAATTGAAACCATTCCTCATTATTGGGTTTAAATGATTTTACGCTAAAAAGAACAGGAAGTTTTGGATGAAAACTCCTGACATAAAGAAAATGTTGACTGGTTTTGTTGAGCGAAAAAATTTTTTAAAAAATAAAATGTAATTGATTGCAGGTTATACATTATAATGAGACTCACTTTCTTCTATATTACGGGCTAATGTTGAATTGCAATCGCATAGAACGATAAAACGTATTCCTCTGTCCTAAAATTATTATCCAATTTAAAATTTCACTTTTAATACAATTTGAACTAGAAATGAAAATTCAAACTGAACAATAATTATAGGATAGAGGGAATAGTAGTGATCGTAATTATCTTCAATTCCATTATAATCAAGAACTATGGAAGTATATATATTGTGCATCTCGAATTCTTCGTCCAAAGAATAAAATTATTTCTTTTTTACTTGAATACTAGTATGTGTCCCGTGCATTGCACGGCGAGTTTTAGATATTATTATGATAATTAAATTATAATGACATTAATCACCCATAAAAGTTTCAATATAAATAATTAATGTGTATTATTGAAGATTACTTAGTTTCTAAAAAAAGCTTGTATAGATTCAAGAAAACACATAATAATAGTGGTAGGTGATTTTTACATTAAGAGAAATGCCCACATATATATTGTATTATAAAATAAATAAAATAAAAATTAATGAATTATTGCATATTCATGAGTTCTAAAACACTTTTTTTGTATACAAAATATTGTTGATGCGTTGCTAAATATACTGAAATGAATCTCCTTAAATATTCATCCATAGCATATTTCTACCAATGTATTTAATAACAATATAATCATGAGAAAACATATCAATAAGAAAAAACAGGTAAACATTAAGAAAAAATCCCATTGAGCTGGTTCCATGAATAAGTAAATAAAAAAAGAGCAAAGATAGTCTTTTTGATAAAAAAAAAAAAAACCAAAAAAAATAAAAAATTCTAACTTACATGATTTGCTTGGAAATAACTCAGTTGGGCTTAAAAAATCTATATAAGTAATATGCATATTTGATCTTATGAATGAGATATGTTTCCTTAAGAAAATCTGCATAGTCAAATTTGCTTTCATTTTTCCAAACTTCATCATCAAGTTGACACTGATCCAAAGCCTAAATTTTTTATTTTTTTAAGAAAATCAAGGGTGGTAGCTAGTAGGAGGATCCCGTTTTTATTAATATAAAAAGAAAATTACAAAGTGCAGTATTTTATACTTTAACAAATAATTAAAGATTGTCTTACAAAAGTTTTTTTAAAAAAACTCCATGACGGCCCTAATGCATTTAACAACTAAGAATTTGTCTTACAAAAATTTCTATAATCCCATGATAGTTCTTATTTTTAAAAAAGAATAAGAAATTATTATAAAAATAATGATAAATTGTCTTATTTCTAAAGCTAACTAACAACATCTAACCTCTTTTTTTTTTCAAGAAATTCGAGCCTTTTTCTTTTTGAACTTATCGGGGCCAAACTTTATTTTTTCAATTGATTGAGAAAGTAACGATTTGAAATTAAAAGTAATTATTTCATGTTAAAAATCATGAGCGTCACCACCTTGATGTTAGAAAGTTGTGATTTTTTTATGTCCTCCTAAAAGTAAGAAAATAGAACAACCGAGATAAAAGAAAATAATGATTTTAATTTGTGATAAATTAAACGGTTAATTCATAAAAATTAAAAGTACAAAGATACTATCTTCAGGATGAGTTTGAATTAATTTCAAAAGGCTCTATTCGTCCCTTAGAATTTTAAAAGCGATTTAGTTCAATATTCGTATCTTTAAGTTGTCTAATAAACTAGAGAAGTTAGAATAACCTAAATAAAAATTATTAAATTACAATTGGTGTGAATTAACCATTTAATTTATCACTCTTTAATATTCATCAAATTACAATTTTTGTGGTCTTTAATTTTTATTTTGTTTACATGTTTAACTTTGTAGTTTTCATTTTACCTTAAAATGACAAGATCATTTACTTTCAAAAGAGTGGTATTTCTGTAAATCTGTAAACATTTTTCAGATATGGGCCATTTTAGAAACTTTCCTTTCTATGGGGTAAAACTATACATAAGGGAAATTTTCCCAGAAGGACCGATTTGTAAATACAAAATATTATAAATAGGGTTTGTCCTTTCTTTGTCCGCCACCGGTGATGTTATCTCGTCGGAATCAAGCAAACTGCTGGCATCTCACGTTAGAGTCACCATATAATTAACGCCTCGATTTATATTATTTCCTTTCGAGTTGTCCTTCTTTTTTGCTGCTGCCGATGCTGAAATCATCGTATGACATAATGTCTTCAACCTTGGAAATAGCCGCCGGAAGCAGACAAATTATACAGAGCACCCGGTGCGCTCTAGCTGCTGCGCGCTTGCTCACTGCTATTTTCTTCTTCTTTTTTTAATTTCATTTTTGTATTTAATTTTTTTAACCTTATAAAATATTTTTTTAATATAATTTTAACCACATTTACACATACAATTAATATGTGATAGGCGAAGTGGTTGTAAGAATTGTATAAAAAAATCTCTCCACTAACGCTGCCATAATTTTGCCAACTTAGCCCAGTGCACCGCAAGGTAGCTGCCAACAATACCACCCATATATATGATTTTCGTTACAGAAAAATGATCATTGTATTAATAAATTTAGGTTCAAAGTGGACAATTATATGTGTAAATTAAGTTCAAAGGGTTTAATGCCGTCTAACCTTATTTTGGTTTGGTTTGGTGATTTTAATTTTGTTTGATATGCTTGGATTGAAGGAACGAACGAAAGATGACTTCCGTCGGATCTGCCTCCTGTTTACCTGAATCCTCCACCACTAAGGTAATATCTTTGTCCTTTGAAATCCTCTTTCCTTGTGTTGGGATTATGTGTTGATTTCGTTGTTCTGTTCCCTTTATTCATCTCGGTTTGGTGTTTTTTTTTTTTTTTTGGGTTTGTTTAGGGTGGATCTAAGAAACGCAAGATGGATACCGTCTCCGGTGTACCTGAATCCTCCTCTGAGGTAATAATATCTTTGTCCCTTCAAAATCCTCTTTCCGTGTGTTGGTATTAGGCTTGATTTTCGTTGCTCTGTTTCTTTAATTTCGTCTTAATTTCTGCCGTATCACTTTTATCTTACTAGTTATATTTCTAGATTTATTAATCTTATTAGCTTCACTAGAAACAAAACCCCACATGCATCAGTTTAATTTTTTGTTTATTTTCCCCTGATTGAAGGGGCCAGTACTCACGAGCAGCAGCGATGATGATGATGATGTTGGTGATGAAATTTATCTGTGTGAGGATGATGTAAGTTCTTTTTCCCTGAAAACCTTGCCATTTATCTACGTTTGATGTAAGCTTATTCTCGAGTAATTATTTTTTTTCCTGGCAGTCTTTTGAAACGTATGACCCTGAATTTGCAAAGGGAACTACCGCTCTGGGTTTTTTTTTCGAAGAAGGAATTATGGTTGCTGCCGATCATTGTAGCAAATGTGAGTTCGTTTACCTGGTTATCCTTAATTTATATTGTTTGCCATTCTTATACAGTGCCAACCTTACTAACTTTCCTTGTCAAATTTAGCATCAAAGACTGCACCGAACATTGTTCAACTGAATTCTCACATGCTGGCCTCAATTTCTGGGGGAAGGAATTTTTGCTTAAAGATCTAAAAGACAAGGTACTCGGAAGCCTACTATTTACATTAAGATCTCTGTTTTGCCTTCCACTGTTTTATGGTGCCAACTAAGAAAGGCAACCTGACAATTTCATCTACAAGAACTGTTAAGTAAGGATGTGTGGCTCTTGTTGCAGTGCTCCTTACAAGAACGGAAGAAGGGGCGGTTAACTCCGGTTAAACAGGTGTTGAACTGGCTGGGTGAGTTTCTTTCGGCTTACAAAAAGGAACCTTTGTCAATAGGAATACTGATTGCCGTGTGCCTGTAATTCAAGGCAGAGTTAGCCTGCGCTCTGAGTATGCTCCCGTCTCCTTTACTCCTATTAAATTCATTTACATTGTGTTGGGTGCTGTTTTTCCTGTCGAATTATTGAAAACAAACTATCTTTTGGTTTTTTCGGTAAGAACTGCAAACACGAAATGTCTGAAGCCAAAGCTGCAAACTTGGCCAAAATGGCTATATGCATTGCTGCATATAATGCTCCCCATTATGGGGACGTTTTTAGTGGTATGGTTTTCGATCTCCTGGCTGCTTTTTTTCTTGTCTATTAGCCCGTTTCTCTACTTATTTCCCTGATGTGTGCTTTTCTCTGTTTTTAAGTTTACAAGCTAGGAAGTGACGGGTGCACTAAGCTCCTTGAGGAGGATATGGAAGAATGGTACAAGGAGAACATGAAAGCCCCCAGGAGGCGGTACAAGATTATTGGAAAAGGATGGTCTTCTCCTTAATCTTTGTTGATTTGCGTATTTGTGGTTTGAAACCTAAATGTTGCAAGAGTTTTCTCTATTAGTTAAGTTGAACACTGTTTCAAACAAATTCTCAGCGTAGACTACTTCAGTAACCAGGTTGGTAATTTATTAATTCTATATTTTGCACCTGTTTTTGTTACCAGGATTAAATAAGTTTCTGTTATTGGATTGTCTGTCTGTCAGTGCTGCCTTAGTTGGTTAACAGGATTTCCAATAGATTACATAATTAACCTCTCTGCCCTAAAAGGCAAAGCGCAAGCAGAAGCAAACCAATATTGTTTTTGATTTGTATACTGGCCTTCAACATTTTATTCACAGACAATCCACCAAAAAACAAGTTCTATGATAGCCTTCTTATAGCGCTCATGAAACTAACGTTGATGATGCTCTCTCCAAAAGTGTTGGACTAACTTCTGCAATTAAGGATCCAACTTGTGTAAAATGTGGGATTCCATACTTGGCCTTTCCCTTAATGCTGATATTTCCAGTCGCTGACAATAGAGGAGTCGACGACTACCATTTCCTCACCAATGCGAAGGTCCTTCGAAGTGAAGTGACTGAACTACTTAATTTCTGGCGCTTAGAGTTAGGTTCTCAGAATTTCCTTCAGAAGTTTTTTTGAGTACTAGGTGGATTAGAATCACCATATATATCTAACTCACAACCTAAAATATGTTGTTCTAAACCCACACTACCAACACAGAGAACAAAGATTTCACACTTTTAATCCAATAAAACAGAATAAACTAAGGGTCACGCAGGGGAACAGAAAAACACAGAGGCCAAAGTGTTAAATTAGTTTGTGTCGAATTATCATCAAATATACAAAAGAATATCTAAAATTCACTAGATATTTCCAATGACACCGTTCTTCAATATCAATCACTCGGAAGGCAGGGGCATCTATATCTAGCCAAGAAGCCAGCTCCATTTTCTTGTTGATCATTACCCCCAACATCATAAGCTTTGTTCTTTATTTCGAGATACTTGGTCGAGAGAGTGTCTTTAAATCCGGCATTCCAGGGCTGTCTTTGGAACATCACTTCTCAAACTTTCATTCATGCATTACACAACTTGAGAACCACAAGCGTTTTGCAAGAATTCACTCACGGTGTACATGTATATCGGAGAGGCGAAGGGAAGCTTGTTTCAAAGGAAGAGCATAATAGCGTGGCAGCATTTTACAGAAGGAACTGGAAAAATGGAATTTAAATTGAAAATGAAAAATAAAAACACAAATCTTGACGAAAACACAATTTCTGTATACGCGGGATTTGCGTGGCATATTTTGAGGGGGGAAAAAAGGGCAGAATCTTTGAGGTTCTCAACTCTCAAAGTATGGGTTTAAAAATATAATAAAAAAATAAAATTGAAAGATTATTATCGGGTATGAACTCATCCAAAAAGTAAAGGAAATATTCCTTACTTGCAATGTCTTGATATCACAAAACTTTTTTTTCACCTTCTTTTTATCCTTCTTCTCTAAACTTTAATCATGATTCTACCCATTTTTGTTCTTTTTGGACGGCTGTTTGTCCACTTTCCACCCAAGATTTCAACCTTTCCAACTATATACAGTACAAGTAACAAACTTATTCCTGAATTTAGTCTATAAGCTTCTATGTATAAATAACCAAACCCCTTATTTCAGCAATCTAACTTGAAGAATTCAATTTACTCCTCCTTTGTATCAACTTGAAGGGTTCGTTTCTTGTTGCTTTTTAGTAGCAAGAAAATTAACCCATACAATCAACCCTCTTGATACAAAATTTTATTAAAAAAAAAAAAACTCAAAATAGCAGAAAATGGCAACATCATATGCACAAGGAATGGCTAATACATCATCATCCTCGCAAAGAGGAGTAGCAATGGTATTGGCTTTGGTATCAGCGGTGGTGTTGTCTCCATTGTATGTTGATCGAAGAAATGACCATAAAAATTTTATGAGGTCTTACGAGACTAAATGGAGCTCCGGGTTCGTGCTTCCCGTTGTTCTTGCAGGATTAATTGTTGCAATTAAGACGACTTCCACAGCATCAAGTTATAGTAACAGAGGTGCAAGAACATCAGTTTTAAATGTTGCATCTTCAGAACCTTCATCTGTGCTCCAAGTTGGGAGTTCTTCTTGGGGGCTTGCGGGCATTTTGGTCATGTTAATGTTCATTATGTCATGGCAATCTTCACTTCAACATTTCTTGTGGAGATAGAGGTGATCCTTACAGAAGAAGAAGAAGAAGAATAAAATAAATAAAGATGGATTCAAGGAAACTGTTTGTGTCCAACTAGTTTAGATGTTAAGAGTTCGAATCTCGCCCTCGGTAGCTAAATTTAGTTAGTTAACTAGCTAAATCTGGAAATGCTAGATTCATACATCAATCAAATTACATATTGCATGTGTACCACTCGTAACTATTTATCTGAAGAGTCAATAGTGTATTGCGACTTCTATAGCTTGTCATGCATTCTATTTTCAATCATGATCACCTGATTAAATGCAGTACCGTTATCCGGAAAAAAAAAAATGGGGATAGAAGTTCGCCTTCCTTATGCAGTCATGAAAGAATATCTTGAACGAAAGTTTTCTCTCCAATGAGATACTGTATTAGGATTTAGGACAAACAATTTTTCTCGTCTACTTAGCCATTTGTCTATCTTAATTAATGTACCAAAAGAAAATAATCCCTTTGCCCCGAAATTATTATTTAAATTGGATTTTTATTTCTAATACAAATTGTATTAAATCTAAAAATTTCAAGTGAACAATTATTTTGGGACAGAGAAAGTATTACAGTAAAACTTTCATAATTACGCGATACACTTGGGCTTTCAAAAATTTCTTAATTTATAGAGTTATTAATTTATCTATAAATTATTTATTGTGTACCACTTGTAACCATTAATCTGATGAGTCCGTAGTGTATTACGATTTCTAAAGCATAACAATTGCATAGTTTTAATTATGGATGACCACCCGATTAAATGCAGTACAATAATCCGAAAAACAAAAATGGGGATAGAAGTTCTTCATGCAGTTATGCTTTTGGCATATTGAATTAAGTGAAGTCCTGAAAGAATATCTTGAACGAAAGTTTTCTCTGCAATGAGATATTTCCTCCGGTCCTTATTATAAGGCATTTTGATTTCGTCCTAAGTTTCATTTAGGATATCTTTTTAATTGAAATAAAAACCTTAAAAATATTTCATAGTAATTGAGAGAACACAACGAATATGAAAATATTTTTAAAAAATTTTTTCTCCATCAAAAAGGCATTCTAGATGAAACCTAAAAAAATCAAAATACATTATAATAAGAACCTGAGGGAGTACTAAATTAGGACAAACAAGTTTTCTCGTCTACTCCATTTGTCCATCATAATTCATGTACCCAAAAAAATAACTACTTTTGCCCCAAAATTATTATTCAGATTGAATTTTTATTCATAATACAAATTGTACTAAATCTATTCATTTAATAAGACATTTATTGTGAAACATAGGAAGTACTGTAATAAAGAAATTTCCCATTTCTTTAGAAAATACTTATGAGAATTCGATTGTGCATGTCTCCTCATGTCTACCCATTAAATCCCAAAAGAAATACACTTAAAAATATTGGAAATATATAATCATATGATCAATGTCAATATATTTATATCTTTTTGAACTGCGCATGTCTCCTCGTGTCTACACATTAAATCCCAAAGAAACACAGTTAAAAATGTTGGAAATATATCATTTGCAATGTCAACATATTTATATCTTTTCAAACTGCCGTCTAGAGTAGTCTCGTGATTAGAACACGAAGTTAGTTTTTTTTTTTTTTAATATTATTAACGGGATCTGTTAGTTTAAAATGATAGAGGTTTTATCCTCTTCTTTTGTTAAAAAAGATTATCTTTGCTCGTATTTTAGGAACCATTTTATACATTGACAACATTCAAGTTTCACCTAATATTCATGACGGTGTAATTTGTGAGATTAATTTCTGTTAAATATGGTTAAAATATTATTAAAATATCATAATTCGTCGACTTTTTTTAATTAAAAAAGAATAAGTAAAAAAATTTGAATCCCTCGACTTTTTCGCCGGCTTTTATGTCTCGACGAAAATGACGACGATCTGTTAATGTCTTTTTTGGGGGATTTTTGAAGTCGTGGTTCTGAGGACGCCTTCAAAATTCAAGCTCTTACTTTTTGAGCTACCGCAAAACTGACAAACAAATATTTACATACCCGCCAATAAAAGAGGAGCTCTTGATCCAAAAAAAAAAAAAAAAAGCCCCCAAATCCTAAGAAATAAGAACCCTAAAAATTCAATTTGAAATCAAAAATTGAATCTTTGATATCTTTAGCGGAAAGGAAACAAATGGCGGAGGGAGAAGAACAGCAGCAGGAGATGCCGAGGGATGCGAAGATCGTGAAATCGCTGCTGAAATCAATGGGGGTGGAAGAATACGAGCCTCGGGTCATACATCAGTTCTTGGAGCTCTGGTACAGATACGTTGTGGATGTACTCACCGACGCCCAGGTTTACTCCGAGCACGCCGGAAAGTCCGTCATTGATTCCGACGATGTTAAGCTCGCTATTCAATCTAAAGTCAATTTCAGCTTCTCTCAGCCCCCTCCTCGTGAGGTAATAATAATACTACTTCATTTCCTGCTTCTGGTTCAAATTTTTCTTCTTATTTCAGTGTTTCTTTATGCTTTGTTTCGCTTTTGTTTTGCGCGCTTTCAGTGTAGATGCTGCCTTTGTGTGTGTGTGTGTGTCTTCAATTTGGTTATTTCTTGAGCGCAGTATCCCTTAATTGTTATAACATACATTGACAAATTTTAGTGAAACTGCATTTTGAATGTAGAACGTGTTTGGTGGAAATGTTACTTTGTAACAGTAATTTAGATTTGGTGTGAATGGGTTGTATACTTATTAATATTTCCAGCTTTTTCTAGAGCTTATGAAGTTGGGTGTTAACTGAAAACATGGGCTTTGCAGACACTATAATTGGGTCGGATTGTCATTTAGACTTTAGACAGTTCATAGTTCACATATTTTGTGCAGAAAAGAGGTTGAATGGTGATTAGCCTTTTAATAAACAGTTCATGCATGGAAGAACTTCTGAAGCTAAACATTAACTGAAGATGAACTTCTCCTTAATTATTAGTAATGTACTGTAATTTTCAATCTTTCTTTATCCTCTGTTTCGCTTTCCTTTTGCGCACTTTCAGTGCAGATGTTGTTTTGTGTGTGCATATGTGTGTGTCTGTTCAATTTGGTTATTTCTTGAGCTCTATGACTTTTAATTCTTAACGTAGATTGACAAATTTAAGTGAAGCGGTATTGTGCATGTAGAATTTTTACATTAACCGTTACTGCGATCTGGTGGGAATGGGTAGTATACTTATTTTGTATTTCCAGCTTTTTCTAGAGCTATGAAGTTGGATGTTGACTGAAAACATGGGCGTTGCAGATACTATTATTGGGTTCAGTTGTCGTTTAGATTTTAGACAGCTTCGTGGTTCATAGATTTTTAGGTGTAGAAAAGAGGTTGATTACCCTTTTAATAGACAGTTCGAGCATGGAAGAATTTCCGTAGCTAATCATTAACCGGAGAAGGACTTCTCCTTAATGATTAGTAATGTACTGTAATTTTTCTTGCTGTGAGAACCGTTACTCTTTTGCTAATTGTGCTTTGAAGCTTATCGGTACTGAGTTTTGGACTCATTCTTGTAAGCTTTTCCCTTGTATGATTATGTCTAAGTACTGGCTTCATCTTTTTCCAAAACTTGTTCTCTGTGCTTGATTCAGAATTTCTTTCACTATGCCTCCAGATGTCAATAGTGTTTTATGAGATTATTCTGTGCCCATTAACTTGTAAAAAAAAAGGTAGGAAGAAGCATTCTGTTAGTGTCAATTTGTATTGTTTTTTTAAGGTTGTCTTCTCTTGAGAATTTGTGGTAATTTAATACACTTGCTGTTGAACTAGTACCCTTGCAGTTGATCATTTTGTGCAACCTCAATCGACTCTGTAGATTCTAAAAACATTATCTTTCCTGCTTTACTTGACAAAGTTTTTAATGTATCCATCAATGTTTATTTTGCTCTTAATCTCCCATGTATGCTTATCGACCAAAAAAGGTAGTAATAATGGAATTTGTTTCTTATGCAAGAGGTCGAGGTAGTAACTATAATATAGGTTATCGTTACAAATTTTTATGGTTCGGCTCTTCGTGAGTTCTTGTTTTCAATCGTACAGTTTGTATCACACAATTGGCATGTTGGTTGATTTTCAGGTCCTGCTTGAGTTGGCTAGAAGCAGAAACAAGATCCCTTTACCAAAAACTATCAATCCGACTGGAATTCCACTCCCTCCGGAACAGGACACCTTGATTAGTCCCAACTACCAATTTGCTCTCAGAAAGACTCAAACTAAGCAACAGGTTGAAGAAACAGAGGATGACGAAGACACTTCTGATCCCAATCCCAACCCAAACCCAAACTCCAACCCCAACCCTTCCCAAGAACAGAGGTCAGATGTTCCTCAAGGCACTCCGCAACGCGTATCCTTTCCTCTTGGACCCAAATGAGCAAGATGATGGCTTCTGATCTTCCCCTGCCGTTTAGATATCCAATTCCTTGGATCATGAAAGTACACCAGAGAAAACATATTCTGATTTGTATATAGTTTTTCCTGGCAGTTAAGTTCTGAGTGAGATTTAGTCTATTTCTTGGGATTAAGCCCACCCCCCGGGGCTGTAATAGTCTAAATTTTATACTTGTTAATGTGCATGTACCTACGAAATAATAAAATAGTGAGTTCAACAAAATATGAATTTGGTTTATTAAACATGATTTTTTCTTTTCTCCTTGCGCTCTAATGGACAGTCGGCCCCTCGAATGTCACGAGCTGGTTCCGCCATTGGATCACTCAGTTCATCAACCAATGATTTTTAACTTGAAATTCATAACAGAAAAGACACGCAAGTGGTAAGCATGTGTACTTACTTTTGGCCGATAATTCCGTTGCCGGCCTCCGGAGAGAGCATTGTGAGAGTACTTCTTTTAGAGTAGTTTGATCACACTGAATGAATGTATGATACTATGATGGATCTTGTAAGTTTCAAGAACTTATTGATTTGGTTTGTAAAGTTAGAGTTGAAGCAATGCAGAGATTCTTAGTACAGTACAACAACAACAACAACAACAACATATATTTACATTCACAACTCGGTTAGAGTCTGGGGTATTAATTTTTGAAAACTTCACCAAAATTAAGAAGCACGGGAATTTAAATGAACGATTTTAATCTAATTCTGTATTAGAACAAAACTGAAAGAATTGTTAAATGAAAGTCTTCCACCGGAATTGTCAAGCCATTGATGTACATACACAACCAGGAACAAGGTGTCGCAATATTTTGCCGGATTCAGCGTCTTTATTTAGGGCTATTTCACATTTTCAGGACCTGCTCTTTTCATTTTTCCAAGAGTTATATCCATCGGAAATCGAATTCAGAGGGGTCAAGACATATGCTTACAAAGTTACAATGTTGAAGTTTTGGATGGTAACAGAAAGGAAACCTAGATAACTTCAAAGTAACGCCTTAGTTACTATAGATCCTGACGAATTATCTCAAGTACTCCTAATTATATCCATCCATTTCCCACGAGAAAAGCTCACTAGTTCTCAGTCTCGCGGACTCGGGGACACATGAGATGCATATAAGAGAACATGGCATGTCCGCGATACACCAAAGTCCAAACACAGCAAAGGCAATCACGACTTCATTGTCCTTGGCAGTCGTTAGTAACTTGTGCATGGAACAATGGACACTAACCTTGATACGAATATCGCATAGAAAAATATACGTAAGGATGAATCTAAGAAATGCAGTTAGCCATTCCTCATAAAGCAAATTATGTACACAATTTTATGGTTCATATATATATATATATACAAGAATGAGGATTACACGATACAACTACGACATGAATTTTGTACCCTGTGGGTTAGCTTCGTGACCCAACCATTGAAATTGCAGATGCCATTGGAGATGGGACAGTAAGTCCCCTGTCATACATTCGTTGAATCTCCTCCCTATATTCCACCAATGATTTGTCCGGAATTGCCGGAGTTAACTCCACCACATCCCCCATCTTTAACTTGCATGTAGGGTCACTAATAGCCGCATGGTTTAGCCTTGGCCTAAGCTCCTCCTTTAGAGAAAATCCGTAGTGAGTCCATCGAGAAAACCCCGCTCTCTCAAGAACATCCTTTATGGTAGAGTTTGCTGGAAACTCCTGCACTGACATCTGCAACACAAATACTCAGTGAGTCATTGCATTGGCTAATAACATTTAAGATCCTAAAACAAATCCTTCTTCACTTCAACACTCACGTACAACAGATGCAAATAAAAGTTCGCAAGATCAATGTGGCAACAAAGACAAAATAAGAGAACAATACCATCACAAATTTTAAAAGCAGCAGTAACAAACCTTATCATTCTCAATTAAGATCACAAAAACAGGTCCATCCGGTCCGCAATTGGGTCTGCAAGAGTAAGGGCAATCCTCACTGTGAGAAGGAAATTTGCAAGGTGGCTTGAAGGTGTCAGAGTAACCAACTGAATTTTGGTCCTTGTTCATGGCCTCACACTGCCAAGTAACGATCCAGCGTGCCCACTCAACCATCTGAAGCACAAAGTTAGAAAGTTTACAATTTCCTTCCTTGTACCTCCAGTGTGCTGCAAACCCATACTCAGCCTGCAAGTGCATCTCTTTTGTCCGAATCTGGACTTCAAGAGGGACGGTTCCCTCTCCTAAAACTACCGTGTGAAGAGATTGGTACCTGTATATCACAACCAAGCTCAGCAAAAACTAAATGCAGAAAAATAAATAAATACTAATAATAATTTTTTTAAGAGAGAGAGAGAGAGAGAAGAAACCAAAGGCATCTCATGTCTATAAAGCTTACCCGTTAAACTTTGGCTTTGCAATATAGTCCTTGAACCTTCCAGGTACTTCAGACCATAGTCGATGAACAATCTTCAATGCTTTATAACAATCATCTTCATCTTCAACTATCAACCTCAGCCCATGAATGTCATGTATCTCGTTCATACTCAAGTTCTTCCTGCACTCACATCAAAACTCATCAGTAACAGATAAACAAAAAATTCTAAGATGATTTATAATTAAAATGAGACAAGCTAAGAATGCAATATTGTGCTTACTTCATCATTTTGTAGTAGATACTATACAAGCTTTTATGCCTCCCAGAAAGATCATGATAAGAAATGCCTTCCTTCTTAAGAACATCCTCCAATTTCTCCACATTAGAGATGATCATTGCCTCGTCAAAGGACTTCAAAAGTCTAGATGACAAGTCCCTGTGATTATCAGGATACAAATACTTAAAACAGAGATTCTCTAGCTGCTCCTTCCAGGTGGAAATTCCTAAACGGTTGGCCAGAGGTGCAAATATTTCCAAGGTTTCCTTAGCAAACCTCTGCTGCTTAACCAATGGCAAGGCATCCAATGTCATCATATTATGCAATCTATCAGCCAATTTTACAAGGACTGCTCTAGCATCTGCCATTGCAAGGAACATAGTGTGCAAGCGATCTGCTTCAGCAGTTTTCCACGCTGTATTATTTTCACGTGCAAGTTTGCTCAATTGGCTCAGTTTAGAAACCTACACAAAACAATACGTATAATAAATACAGATAAAAGTAATATCTAAATGGTTTATAAGCAGCATCACATGCTTTTTACCAAAATAAAAAAACTAAATAATTCATCAATTTGTATGTACTTTTGTGACCCTCAGATCATCAACCGTACTGGCAATTTATAATTCACCCTTCCACGTTCTCTCCCACGTCATAAGCCATAAATCTCAAACAATGACAATAACGACAACAACTTTTGTCCTGATTCAGATATTCAGGGATCGACAAGGCAACTATTAATTGACGACAACTTCTTCCCTGCTGTACGCATGTTCTCAGCAAGCATTGATAATTAGCACTAGCAGTACTCCAAACATACAGATTCCTAGAATTTTTTCCAAATTAATTTCAATCCATAACAATGACGTTAGCATTTTGTCGAGACACCAAATAAGACCATTCACACCAACGACAAATGTTTTGCCAAGATTATTGAGTCAATTTACAACAATGCTCCACAGAGATCTCAGTGACTCAAAATCCGCCAAATATTTTTGTCAGCGCAGTCTTTGTCAAAACCTGGAGACTCGGGGATCAATAAATGCCATAGATTCAGAGTGGACAACATGAGAACCTAGCTCTGGTAATGGCGCACACAACCAAATATCCTAACAAGACTAACCACCATTCGCAAACAGAAAATATACAAGAACAAACATCACTGGATTTATAAAACCACACGAGACAACAACAAAAACTAAAACATCAAGAAGACTTCCAAAATGAAAATTGTAGCATACCCCTTCAACCAAATCTGCCACTCCAGCTCCAAACGTCTGGAAGATATATTCATAAGTCACAAAAGCATCATCAAGGGTGTCGTGTAATAGCCCTGCCGCTACTACTGTGGAGTTAGCACCAATCATCGCCAGCAAAACCGCAGTTTCCACACAGTGCTGTAAATATGGATCGCCACTCGCCCTCATCTGCAAATTCAGGACACAATATTCAATTACAATTACTCAAGGACTCTTATTAATGAGATGCGGGAGAAAAAAAAAAGATTTCTTTCTATGCATAACCATATATACCTGTCCTCTGTGAGCTTTCTCAGCTTCATAAAAAGCTTTTACAACAACATCATCATAAAATATCTTATGTCTATATTGTGCCTTCAAAAGCAGATCTTTAACATTCGGTTCTACACTAGATTCTGTGAAACTATCCTCCATATTAAACGTCAACTCGTCAACAGTGCCGGAAGCAGAATCTACGACGTTATGAACTTCAAAACACGGAGAATCATAATCAACACACGACCCTAAAGCATGGCGAACAAACCTATCAAATAAACCCCCACTTCCAGATCGGACGGAGCTTATGCTTTCACCACCAATTCTCAAATTCGGCGGACTCCTTGACAACGAGGAAGCGGATCCAATTGCACTGCTGCAACTGCTGCCAGAAACCGGACCGTGCAGCACCGACACAGGACTCTGATAACCCAGATCTCGCTTCAGAGATGATGAGCTCAAGCTGCTCAACGAAGAGTACCGGAATGAGCCGCCGCCGCAGCTTAGTTCCTCTCCGCCCCGGTCATGCCACAAACCCGACCCGAATTCCTCCGCCGAGCTGGAATAACTCGCGTGTTTGACCGGCGGTTGAGACGAAAGCAACCGCGAGAGGCCACCAATAATCGGCTTGGACGCCGGCGACGGAGACGCCGCCGTCGTCGTCGACGCCGGAGACGATCGAGAATTCAAATCGTATTCATAAGAGACGTGCGAATTTATCTGGCAAGGATGCGCCGTCGAGCAAACACTGCTCGGCGGGCTTGCATACAACGCAATCGTCGGAACCGGCATAATTCCAAGAAAATCAAATCACAAAAAGCACGAACCCTAAAAAGTCAATTGATATTTCCAAATTATGTACACCACCAGAATGAAATGAAAGAAGAAATTCAATCCCAAATTTCTAACAAAAATCTAACAAAAAAACAGAAAAACAGAAGCCTAACTAATCCTTCTGCTTTTTCTTTTTCTTCTTTACAGTATATACAGATATAGAGAATTTATACAGAGGATCTGAGCTGAGAAAACTGGAAAGTCTTCGATTCAAGGATTCGAAGAAAACAACAAAAAAGGAGTCGTGAAAGCGAAATCGGAAGGAAATCTTGGAGGAATGAAAAACCTAATTTTTCAGCGGTTTGAATATGATTTGGGGGAAAGAGAAGAGAATTGTTGAAATGAAATGGGAAAATAAAAAGAGGAGTTTCGAGACTTTCTCCTTCTTCTTCTTTTTGGTGGACTGTGATTTTTTCGACCAGAGGAAATGAACGTGAATTTTTTCAAAATTATTTTTTTATATATATAAAAAAGGAAAAATTTGGGAGATTTTCTTTGCTCTTGTATTACGTCAGAGATAGGCTGGATTGACGAGAATGCCCATGAAGAGTGCCCAAAATAACCGAATCCATGTTTTTTGCCGCGCTAAATTAACGAAGGGCGTTTACGTGGTTTTCGCTGTGTTTTGGATTAGCAAACCAGTTTAAAGGGCAAATGAATAAATTACTTATTCGAAACTTTTGGATTATGTTATGTCCGAAGATCCAGGTTTTATCTTATCCACTATATAAGTTTATAAGCTTTAGAGATTTAGTACTTCATGGGAAACTCCGATTAAAAATGTACATTTATTTTCGATTCTTTCCACATAAAAAATAAAAAATTAATCCACATTGAATTTTAATATTTATATACATTAACCCGCACCAGGTTTTGATTATTTTCTTGGAATAGAAAGGAGTAATATTAAGTACTCCCTATCCTAATAACGAGTTACAAATTAACATTAAAATTAATTTAAATTTATGTCTTATAATTAGGACATGTATTAATTTTTTTTAGGGAATACAAGAAGAGAGATTTGCAACTATTTAATAATGTATTTGTGTTGACAAACCTAAAAATTCATTACGAGAAATTTTCATATTTGTATTATAATGTTTACTTACCAAGTGGAGTAGCATATGATAACTATTGCAGCAAATTTTAGTCTACTATTGTTTATAGTTGGAGAATGACTAATCACAGAATTTTTTTAGTGTGTGTTTTTAGGTGTTTTTTGTATTAGAAATATAAAAAATTATTTTGAAAATATAAAAAAATATATATATTGAAATGAGACAATTATTATTTTATTATTATGAAAAAACCATCCAAAAAACAAAACAAACAATTATTACAGAATTTGAATCACTACTTGATTTTGGCCAGGAGCCTAGAACAGTACTCCTATAGACTTTGGCCTTCCGAGTCAAAATAAGTATATATGTTCAAAACCTTGTCAAAAAGATCAAACAAGGTGTTCTACCAAAGTAGTCAATTAATTTGGTATTGTATATGGCCATTTTATATTGTTTGTTTTGGTTTCGAAAGAAAAGTCCTCCCTCTGGAGTATCAATTCGGTGAGGTCTAGCTACATATTAATCTCCACAGTTAAAGTCATTAATCAAACAGATTTCTAAAGATTATTAAGTGCAATAAGCTTGACACCCATTATTCATAACTGTTTTCTCCGCTTCTTTTTTTCTCAATGATTATTCGCTCTGTTTATTAAAATGAAATAATTTTAAACTTATTTGTAAACAAGAGATTTTCTTTATAACACATGAGTGTATATTTTGTAAAAGTAAAGGGTCGTATCAAATAATGAAAACAATGAATTAAAAAAAAGAGTTTAAAATTTAAGTCGGAATGCAACAAAAATAATAAATATTAAAAATATATATTCATTATGTCTCAAAAAATAGTCAAATTTTAGAAAAATAAATCTTCAAATTAGACTTATTGTGCTGGGGTAGTCTAAAATTTATTCTTAAATTAATAAATATTTATGAAACTTTATTTATGTTTTATATTAATTTTTTAATTTACAAAATTAAGTAATTTAATTTTTAGATTTTAGTTTTCCAAATTGAACTATTTTTGTGGGACAGAGATACTAGAATCTGTCGAGTGAGGTGTGGATAGGAATGGACTGTAGCTAGGTGTGACTTAATTGCATATTTTAATGTTGGCAAAAGCAAGCTAAAGCTAATGCTGCTAATAATTAATTATTAGGACAGTCTATTATTGATGCATGCATTGTGTAACAATTACTCTACTTTGGCCACCATGCGTTCTAGATTGTGCTATTTTTATCACTTTTTTTTTTAGTGCTTGACGTTGTAATCACTCTTATAAGATTGATGATAAGAATATTTGTTAGTACAAATAAAACGTCAGAAAGTAGTTTGATTAACTAGAATATTGATCAACAAGTAAGAAATATGGATGTTGGTAGTCTATAAATAATGATATAAAACTGGGAAATACAACACATAAATTGTGTCACGGAAAGAGACATACCTAGAAAAAAGAATGCGTGATGTAATTGCGTCCAATGGGGAAGCAACCTGACATGAGTTATGTTAAACGTTATTAGTGTTAATTAATTGCTTAGTCAAGTGATATATGGCATTAAGTAGAAGAAAATGTTGACTAATAATAAGGAGATGGGGACTGGGGAAGCACTGCTAGTGCAAGTGTTACGTAAAGTCATAAATAAAAAAACCTTTGAAAATCACTGCCCTTGAAGATTGGTAGTATATTTTTGGAAAAGAAAGTAATGGCAGTGAATGTGGGAAACTAGTAATGAATCTAGCCGCCAACTTGTGATAGGGAGCGGTCCATTTTGTTGATATTTTATACAACCAATTTGTCAGTTGCTTTGAATTCTACTCACATAATTACAGGAACCGCTTAAATATATGCAAAAATACAAGTGAAATTAAGGAAATAGACCTGGAAATGGAATCTAAAAGTGGAAATAACACTGGACAACCTAAAAAGTAACAAAAAAATCTGGAAACATACTACAATCTTTTCTTCCGTCCCAAAAAAAATCCGAATTAAGTTTTTAAATTTATATTAAAATTAGTACAAATTTGAAAACTTAATTAGTATAAATTTAAAAACTCAATATGGATTAATTTTTTTTGGGACAGAAGGCAGTGTTACTTTTTTTACTTTTTTTCTATAGATATCGCAAATTAAACTTAGCTTCTATATGTTGTATTTTTAGGCTGACGTGATCATGAAACACAGTACACAGATTCGGAGTTTTTTGATTAAGAGGCAAATGTTGTAAAATACATGGCAAGTTTTGTGGCATAGCCTAAAATTTTTGATACAAAAATGTGATCGCAACACGCATTTTTTAATCCTTCTAAAAAAGAAGTCTGTATTTTCTTTTCCCTTTATATAGTGTCTCAAAAAGAATTACAAACCAAATTGCAGGAGGATAAGGGCGTCATAAAAGTTTTGGGTCAGTGACGAAAGCACGTGTCCCGGACAAGAAGAGACCGAAGGGACACGTGGTCAGCAGTGACGGCAAGCATCTGGCCGCCTCCTTTAACTCTGTGTTTTTTCAACACCAGCAGCTTCCACACCGTTAACGGTTTGAGTTGACGTCGAAAGTGGGAAAAAGCCACGTAATTGACGGAGCTGGCTGTTGGGGTTGGGTGGGGGGGACCGCTGAGGAATCTGGACGGACGGAAATGGTGGTTCGGATGTTATTTTGAGATAAATCACTGTCAGTTGGAATCTATATGGAGCAGTAGAATTAGAATCATCCACCTTTCCTTCCTTCTTCTCACCTACAACTTATAGTTGCGCTGCCATTTGGCTGGCCTTTTGTAGTTTTAAGGCTCCAATTGTTTGCGTCTTCCCTTTGGAATCTCCTCATTCCTATTTTAACTCCGGTTTCCCTCTTTTTTTGTTTTTAATTTTATTTATTGTTGTAAAAAAGGGGTTTGAATTTTCTTTTCTTTTTTCCTGTGTATGCTATTCCAATTAATTTCTCTCATTTGGTTATCGACCCTCACCATCACCTCTCACTACGTACTACCTGCTACTCGAGTCCTTATCAACACTGCGGAATGCTATTTGAAATACAAGGGCAACAAGAAAATGCATGCATCGTGATGATGACGAGAAAAACAGTGTTGATCAAATTACTAGAAGATTACTTGTACTGTACATTCTTATAGTGAAAAAGTCATTGTTCACCATAGTTGTTATGTAAACCCGGTTCCAGCACCTCTTGTGTATGTATAGAGATGAAAAGGTCATGTATTATTAAGAAATATTATATGATATTCACATTATCTATATGCCTTTTTATCATTGAATTACATACATTCATTCTTTAGCACAGCGTTAGACTCTCAACAAAACGAGCAAGTGCTCTGCGTGAGTTAATAATAGATATTTCTTCTGTCTCAAAATTGTACAGTTCATTATGAATTTTTATTTTTATTATAATTTGAATTAAAAATGAAAATTCAAATTAGACGGGAGAAATATTTTTAAATAAAATTAGTTGTTCATTTTTTTGGTTTTGCTTCAAATGTATCTATATAGTGTCGAGTACACAGACACACCATTATGCTTGAACTAGCTTTGTATTCCAATATGCCTAATCACACACATTGTCTGTGGTGCTATCACATGTTTTCATAGTCATTGTTCACCACCCATGTTCAAACTCACACATGGCAAAATTACATATGACATATCGCCATCGTTTTACACACAAGTTAGTTACTAGCCAAGCCAAATTGATGCTGGAAAACGGTACTGTGGTCGGTCTCACAAGTCACAAAACCCCTTGTGAGCCACAATGTGTTTGCTCTTTAATTAGGTGAAGGTCCCATTCAGAAGGCCGGAGAGGCGCCAACGTTGGCACACTCGCGCTTTTGATTCGGTTTTTCCAAATCTCTACAGTGTTCCATTACCCATTGACCTTCATCGCTTTTCCATTACGTGCAATTTCACACTATTTTGCTTTGCCGACGCTGTCCTTTTGTACACTGGGCAAAAGAAACAACACACGAAAACGCCAACCAGTTTGCTTGTATTGGACGATGGAATGCTACTGCCTACTATGATGCTCTAGTAATGCATGTCTATAAAGAAGTGGTCCATTTTCTTCATTATTTAGAATTCCATAAACACGGCTCCCAGACAGTTCATTTCTCCAATTAATCTCCGTATTTAGCAAAGTTTTAATTTAATGATTGGCATTTTTTTTGATTCTCTGATGCTTGTTTAATCGAACGTGGAAAACATTCAGGGTACCTGATTTGGTATTAGGTAGACTTGGATGGATGTTAGGGAATGTGAAGGCATATGAAATTTCGGTGTAACAACTATATATATACGTTTTAGATCGATACAGAAATGAATTAGTAATACGAGATCGCGTACATGTGCAAATATATAAACACTCATGGATAATATTGGAAGAATCGAAGGCTTTCTGTTGCCTTGTATTTTTCACATTTTATTGAGCTTAAATTAATCACGTATACTTTTTAGTTCAAGTAATGTTAATGACATAATTAAATGTATTAATTGGTGACTATAGATATATATATTGATTCATAATTTTCATATTCAACGATGTGCCCACTCTTGCGTGTAAAACTACGTCTATATTGGCGTCTAACCAAAGATTTCATGATACGTGCAAGCCATTGAAATTTTTTATTCACATTTTCTCTACTCAGAAAAAATACCGAGCCCATATTTCTCAACATATGACCAACTCAATCTATATGTTTGTAATATACTAATTCATGAGTTTGTTATCAATAATTGAGCTCCATAAAATACGACTCTATTTTTTTTTTTTTTAAATATATATATACGAAAAAAAGAGCGAGTATAATTAGATGCTGCTCCAAGTAGCAGTGGGCAGTTATGAGCTTGCATGGACTAAAATTAGAGGCTCCTCGAAAGGGGGAATTGGGAAGAGTTTCTTCATGGGCCAAAAAGAAGAAGCCCAAAAATTGGAGACAAAATTTCTGCTTTAAAGCTAGTGGACTGGGGAGTGGAGACCTTTTCACTGCCACATGGGTATCTCGAAAGATATGCAGTTGGACCCAAAGGTGATCATTCACAGTGTACTATAAATTTTAGAATAAAGAATCCAGCAGCCTAAATTTCAGGTAAAATTCTTTGAAAAGCTAGCTCCTTGGCAAGAGCAAAGTTCTCTTGAATCAAGAGTTTGTAGTTCATTTATTTAATTTGTATCTAATGGAACGATACCAATTACCAACATTTAATTTTATTTCACTGTGTATCCCCATCGATCATCCATGTCTATGCTTCCAAGGAAAGGGTGGAACGAAACCAACTTGGTTTTCTCTGTCAAGAGGCACTTGTATGAGTTAAACATAGTACTATGATTTATCAAATTTAAACGAGGAAAGAGTGGAGTATTTTATCATACGTGAAGTCGCGCAACCAAAAAAATGATGGTATGTTATAACGATCCTAATCTGTTTGTTTCCTTCTTTTTTGTTTTAATGGTTTTTTTAGATTAATAAAATAATAACTGTCCTATCCCAGTATACCTTTTTACATTTCCAATACAAAAAATGCCTAAAAACACACACTAAAAAAACGAAACAAACATATTAGCTCTTTAAATATGAAATTTCTAGTTTCACAGTTAATAGGTATGCACAATTGTATAATGGTCGACATGTCATATTCAACACAAGAAATCACAATATTATATATTACACTTAAACCTCATATGTTGACTGAAAGACTGTTAAAAGCAAAAAACATAATAATGGACATCATAAAAACTTATGAGTTCGCCGTAAATAAATCTGTTTGGGGCGCTAAAAATCCCATTATAGGTGAGAGTTACAAAAGTCATATAATATATTTTATTTTTTCTGTAGTAAAAAGAAGCTCTCACTTCCAAAACTAAAATGTTATAATTTGTTGAGGTTAGAAACATAATTTTGACATTTTTGGGTTATTTTCTTGGAGTCGAGATTTGTTTTAGTTTGAATTTGTGGTATTAAAATTTTAAATTAGTAATGACAAATATTCCCCCCGTCCCATAATTATTGTCTAGTTTGGGTTTTCATTTTTAATTCAAATTGTACTAAAAATGAAATCTTCAACTGGACAATAATTTTGGGACAGAGGGAGTAAAAATTTAAAAGTAGTTTTGAGTAACCGACTCCTCAAAGCTAAAACCCCATAACCAGAGAGACAGATAGAGTCGCAAGATTTTTCATTTATATATACACTTCCATTTAAATTTCCAAAAAATTATCAAAATTCCACCAGAAAAACAAACCCTAGACCCCTTTATTATATCAAAGCCTTCTTCTACCTCAAACCCTAACATTTCTTCTATCCAATTTGATACACAGCCCTGTATTATCTCACGGCAATAACTGTTTTCGCTGCATCATTGTAAAAGGGACCCAAGAAAAAGGTAATCTTTGTTAAATAAGATAATAAGGAACCTTAAAGATTGAAGCTTTGATTCGATTGATTGATCGAAGGCCGAGTCTTTCTTGGCTGGGTTTTTCGAGTTAATTTTTGATGGATGATCTCGAGAAAGCTATACTGATTAGTTTTGATGAAACGGGTGCGGTTGATTCCGGGTTGAAAGCCCAAGCAGTTGCTTATTGTCAGCAAATTAAAGAGAGCCCATCGGTTTGTAGTGTATGTATACAACACTTGTGTTTCAGTAACATTGTTCAAGTTCAGTTTTGGTGTTTGCAATCCCTTCACGATGCCATCCGGGTTCGTTATCCATCAATGGGGGAGCAGGAGAAATCGTTCATACGGAAATCCGTGTTTTCCATGGCTTGTTATGAAGCTGCCATTGATGACAATAAGAGTTCAAACATTAGGGTTCTGGAGGGGCCTGCATTCATCAAGAATAAGCTTGCACAGGTTTTTGTAAGTTTGATTTGTTTCGAGTACCCTTTGATCTGGACTTCTGTGTTTCTTGATTTTTTGCCGAATTTAAGTAAGGGGTCTTTGGTTATTGATATGTTTTGTCGGATTTTGATTGCATTGGATGAGGAATTGATTAGTATTGATTACCCTCGGAGCTCAGAGGAAGTTGCTCTGGCTGGACGAATAAAGGATGCCATGAGGCAGCAGTGTATTGCACAGATTGTTAGGGTGTGGTATGACATTGTGTCAATGTATAAGAGTTCTGACCCGGATTTATGCTTTAGTGCTTTAGATTGTACCCGGAGATATGTTACTTGGATTGATATTGGGCTGGTTGCGAATGATACTTTTATTCAGATGTTATTTGAGTTAATGATGTCCACTGAATATGCGGATCATATCCGTGGCGGGGCTGCTAGTTGCCTACTTTCAGTCGTGTCAAAGCGTATGGATCCGAAATCGAAGCTCAATCTTTTGCAGAGCTTACAGATAAGGAGGGTTTTTGGGTTGGTGGCTACAGAGGACGTTGAAGAGGAGTTTGTTTCTAAAATAGGTCTTCTGCTGACTGGTTATGCCACCGAGTTATTGGACTGTTCAAAGCAATTGAATTTGGGTGGTGGTAAGGAGGTGTCAGTGGAGCTTTTAAACGAGGTTTTGCCTTCGGTTTTTTATGTGATGCGGAATTCGGAAAGTGATGCCACATTTAACATTGTGCAGTTTCTTTCTGCTTATGTCAGTACGATGAAGAACCTATCTTCTTTGACCGAGGCTCAGCTTCTTCACGTGAGTCAGATTCTGGAAGTAATCCGTGTACAAATACAATTTGACCCTGCTCACCGGGATAACCTTGATGCTTGGGACAGAGTTGGAAGGGAAGAGGAAGACAGGGTGATGGAATTTCGAAAGGACTTATTTGTATTGCTCCGCAGTGTAGGTCGTGTCGCACCCAATGTTACCCAGGTGTTTATTAGAAACTCTCTAGCTAGTGCTGTTGCGTCTCCAGCAGAAAGAAATGTTGAAGAAGTAGAAGCGGCACTCTCGCTGTTGTATGCACTAGGTGAATCAATGACTGATGAGATGATGAGAACTGGAAGTGGTTTGTTAGGAGAACTTATACCATTGCTCTTATCTACAAGGTTTCCTTGCCATTCTAATCGGCTGGTTGCGCTAGTGTATTTGGAGACAATAACGAGGTATTTGAAATTCGTTCAGGAGAATGTGCAGTATGTACCTTTAGTACTCAGCGCCTTTCTCGATGAAAGAGGTATACACCATCCAAGTGTCAATGTCGGGCGCAGAGCCAGTTATCTTTTCATGAGGGTTGTGAAATTACTTAAAGCAAAACTCGTGCCCTTCATTGAAACAATATTGCAGGTATCTAAAATGTGATCTTGAAGTTTTAAGCTTCTGTGAATAACTCCGCGTGCTTTGAGCCTTTGTAGATCATCTTCCATGCTTCTTTGCAGCCGTTAATCCTCTATATTTGGTTATCTTATTGTAGTCATTTTTTTTCCCCTGTGCTACAGAGTCTGCAAGATAAAGTCGCTCAGTTCACTTGCATGGATTCTGCATCTGAAGAAGTTTCAGCAACTGAAGATGGCAGCCATATTTTCGAGGTAGATACTTTCTCTGCTAACTACAAGGAGATTCTTTCCTCAGTAAAGCCTCACATCCAGCTTTCAGTACAGGAGAGTTTTTTATGTGTTCTTTTCCCTTGTCACAGGCAATTGGATTATTGATTGGAATGGAAGAAGTGCCACTTGAAAAACAGTCCGAGTACCTATCTGCTTTGTTGACTCCCCTTTGCCAGCAGGTTGTCTAATGTAGTTTTGTGGATTTTGTATTAACGCATTATGCTATTCCTTTCATTAGCACTCTTGGTCTCTTAGCTGTGAGCACTACTTAGATGGGTTTCGCTACTATGATTTCTCTTGTTGATGGGCAAGGCCACATGGTTCTAACCCTTACAAGCCAAGAGTGTTTGCTTGCTTCCTATCATGTCAGCTTGATGTATTTTGCCTGGTGTCGGAATGGTGCGTGTCATTGAATAACTGAATATACTTAATGATGAGCAGGTGGAAATGGCGCTTGTGAATGCGAAAGTTAGAGCTCTTGAAGATTCTCCGGAAAAGGTCGCAAGCATCCAACAGATGATTATGGCCATTAACGCCCTCAGCAAGGTAAGCTTCTCTGTACTGGTCTGCTATTAAATTCGTTCCATTGTTATAAATTCTTTTTTCCCGTTTCCCTCATTACTTCAATGGAACTTTCGGGCGTGTTGTTACCTGATCACTTTGGGTGCAACTGAATACCAGGGCTTCAGTGAGCGTCTTGTAACTGCCAGTCGTCCTGCAATTGGCTTAATGTTTAAACAGGTTGGTATACTTCGCATCATTATGCTCACGTTCTTATTATTTATTCGTTGGCATATGTATTGGAAATGAATGGTGCTCTCACTGAATTGCTGCCATTTTGTTCATTGTGTTGATCTTTTCTCTATGTTGTTTCTGTCCAGACTTTGGATGTTCTCCTGCAAATTCTGGTTGTATTTCCAAAAGTAGAACCGCTCCGGAGCAAGGTATTACTTCTCCTTTTTAGCCTTTGCATTTATGCTGTCTCTCTTGTTAGGCCTTTCTAACTAGCTGCTTTCCAGGTTACGTCCTTTGTGCACCGGATGGTGGATACCTTGGGCTCGTCAGTCTTTCCATATCTTCCAAAGGCATTTGAGCAGTTGCTTGCAGAAAGCCAGGTTTGAATGTGTACACTTTACCTTTCTTGAGTTATTATGCAAGTTGTTATTGTTTTCTTGTAATTATGTTTTTTATTAATAACGCATGCTAGAATATGCCAAAGTTGTGTGAATGATTATTTAGAATGAAGCTGTAGTCATTAAAGCTACGACCTATTGTTTAGAATGGTGGCTTGGATTGCCTTTCCTCGTAGGCATTTTCATTTTCCTCCACTTTTGTGGCAGTGAAGCCTTTTTTACCAACATTGAGACTTCTTTCAACTTTTTAACTGGTCCTATCTTCTGCACTTAACTCCTTCCCTCGCTCAATGTATTTCTCTGGTCACTTGTGAAGATGATATTTTATCCAAGCTTCAATCGTGCAAATTATTCATCACACTTTCCTTGCAGCCAAAGGAGCTTGCAGGTTTTCTTGTTTTGCTGAATCAGCTAATTTGCAAATTCAGCACTGCAGTTGGAGACATAATGGATGAAGTGTACCCTGCTATTGCTGGTAGGGTGTTTACTATTATTCCTCGCGATCCCCTTCCTGTGGGACCTGGTGGAAATACGGAGGTGCGCAATCTTTTTTTTTTGCCTGTTATATACACCTGCACTGCAATAAGAATCGTCCGAGGACATAATGAGTTTTGCCTTGTAAGATCTGGGTGATTGGTCTTAACATGATTGTTATATACTTGTTGGATAGGAACATATGTTCGTTAGTTTCACAGGGAAAAAAAAATGAGCTAGAAAAGTATTTGGATTCTGCCACGCCTCCTTATCATGCATGAATGTTTGATAATGTTTATGGTGTTATCAATTTAAACATCTCAAACAATACATTTTAGAATTTAAACCCCATTATCCCTACTTTTAATGTTGAATCTGAGGCATTACTTCTGGATTTTGAAATTCTTTTTGGATTTCTTTTTGGCCAGGAAATGCGTGAATTGCAGGAACTTCAGCGTACATTTTACACATTCCTTCATGTAATTGCTACACATGATCTATCTTCTGTATTTCTCTCCGCCAAAAGTAGGGCCTACTTGGAGCCTATGATGCAATTGCTGTTATCTACGTCATGCAGTCATAAGGATATCCTTGTCAGAAAGGTGTGCTGTTGTTGTTAATTAATACGCTTTTTTACCTTGCATATGATGAATGTTTCTCCCATATTATATGCTTAACTTAGCGTCATATCTGCTTCAGGCATGTGTACAAATCTTTATAAGACTAATTAAAGATTGGAGTGCCAAACCTAATGGTGAAGAAAAGGTAATTTTTGAATTTTAATGTTTTGCATTTTAAATTTATTAATATTTTGAATGTATGTTGCATCAATGAGAAAGATTTCGGTGCCCTGAACTTCTGGATTTTAATCTTTTCCAGGTACCAGGTTTTCAGAATTTTGTGATTGAGGCCTTTGCGACAAATTGTTGTTTGTACAGCGTGCTTGACAAGTCCTTTGAGTTTCGTGATGCAAATACTGTAAGTTCATTCATTTGATGTCGAAGGTTCTTTCGACCACCCTGGAGTATTGCACAGGGATTTATGTATCTATTTTCAGATAACATAGTTGATGGTTTACTCCTGACTATTTTTGTGGGACGGACTTAAATTCTTGTATTGTAACTGACCTGGGAATTTGTTCAGCCCTTAGTTAACTATAATGTTATAATTTTAAGATATATCACCCATGCCCTTAAAAAAAACAAGAAAAATCTTTTCTGCGCTTGGATAAGCTCTAAAAGTTCTTTGTACTGCAGTGTCTCATTTGTTTGGTATATCTTACCAATCGGAAGTTGTTTACAACTTTGCATTGTTCATTGGCAGCTTATTTTGTTTGGTGAGATTGTTACGGCGCAGAAGATCATGTATGAGAAATTTGGGAATAATTTCCTTGTTCACTTTGTGACAAAAGGTTTCCCAGCAGCACATTGCCCTCAGGATTTGGCTGAACAGTATTGTCAGAAGTTGCAGGTAGTGCATCGTGGGATCATCTTAATTTGGACTAAAGAATATTGTTACTGGTTGTGTTGGTTAAGCATCAATTTTTAGCTTTTGATCACAGCATCCAAGTGAAAACCTAAACTTCTGAAACTTCATGGTTATGTGAGAAACTTTTCTCATTGTTCAAAGATTTGAAAAACCTAGGTTATGGTTGTGTCTGAAACTTTTCTTGTTATGTGGCCTCCTCGCATGGCCCCAATTTGTTCCTTTTAGTAAGGTAGTTGTAGCCAAATGTTACAAAATAGATCTAATATGCTGTCACCCTTTCTTGTAGTTCATCACCGGCTTATGAAATCGTTTTACCACTGGATTTGCTCATGTTTTCTATTTTGGCTGTGGCAGGGTGATGACATCAAATCACTAAAAATATTTTACCAGACTCTGATAGAGAATCTGAGAGTTCAACAGAATGGGAGCTTGGTTTTCAGATAACAGTCACTGTGTTTGAAGTTCATCGCTCTAGTTTTGCTGCTCGTCTGCTGTTGGATACTGGTCCGTAACACTTAACCTGAGGTAAGGAATGGTGGTTATTCTCTCGGGTCCAGTATGCATTTCTTGAAATACTCGAGTCTTATGGGTGCCACTGTACATTGCAGGATTCTTCTACTGTACATAAGATTTTTTTCCCCCTCATTCAAGGTATGAAACAATGAGAATTTCTTTACCACTGATCCTAGTGCGGAGATAAGTATCCTGGTGGATAAAAGACTGATTTTATTTGATTTTCTTTCAATGATGTTTCAAAGCAGGTGTATATTTTCGGGAGAGTGAAAAGTAGTTGCCTTTGGTGTTGATGAGCTTATGAGGAGAAATACTTGAGCAGCAATGGTTTTGTTTATATCAATTTTGATATTTTGTTGATTAGTTCTGTTGATAGACTTCTGCTATGAATCTTTTACATGGGAAGAATTTTCAGCCGGGGAAAAGGGGTGTTTTCTGTAAGGTGTGGAAAGGGATATATGATGTAAAGAGGCAGAAATCAGAATGACTAGAGTCTAGTACTACTAGTGTTATATAGATTAAGCATGTTGAGGATATACTTAAAAATCTTGCCCGTGAGGAAGGAAGCAATTTTGGAGAGGATCATGATTCAGGAGTGTGTGTCCTTCTATTTGATGATACAGTTTTTGGCTAATTCGTTGTACATGGAATCATTTCCTTCGTTGCATCTATTTATCGCCAAGCATGAATGCACTAGAACATATACATACATATATATAAAAATATACTCAATCCGTGACCCACGAAAACAAACGGAATAAAATCATTTCTAACGTATGCACTCTCTTGTCTTTATTTCTTTATTTTAAAGTATTTTGATTTCTCGTAATTTTTACTGTATTTATTTAGTATGTTCTCTTGATTTACAAAAAAAATAAAATTTGAAATATTTTATAATAATTGAAAGAAAAAATATTAAATGGATGTGAAATTAGGTTCTATTTTAATTAGAGACACAAAAATAAATAAATTTAAAAAAAATTAAAATATCTTATAATAAAAATTAGAAAGAAATCAAAATGTTCTATACCGGATACGTTGCCAATGTAATAATCGACCTTTTCCTGGTGCCTCAGATTTGTGTACCAACAAATTTTTTTCCTTTCTTTTGCTTTTGGGAGTTCAAATTTCCTCATAAGATGTTTCTTTTCTTTTCCCAAAAGAAAAGTTAATAACACCCGAGGGATCTTAGAAGCAAATATGTGTGGGAGAATTTCTGTAATACTACAACAAAGATTTCTTTTATTCTATTTTTAGAGGACTAGACTTAAGTATTATTATTATTATTATGTATTAATGTTTGCAGTTCACTTGGAATTGTTGAAATTAAAAGGGATAAAAATAGAATAAAAGATGGAATATACAATTCCACATGCAGTTACTATTTATTTTTGACCCATTTCTCATATGATGAAAAAAAAAAAAAACACAATTACCCAGAATCGGGTTCACTTAAACGGGCACCCGTTCATAATTTCTCATACAAAATAGAGAAGAGAGGTTCTGGATATTTTAGGCGAAGAAGGTAGAATCATCTCTCTTTGCTTCTAAGATCCCTTTAGTCTTCATCCCATTAGGGTTCCTTTTGCTGTTTGGTTCATTGGTCTAATTCTTGACGATGTATTTAGTTTCAGCCGAGGTATCTTTGTAATAATCAGGGGCAAGAATCCACCTAAACGTACATCTCGCCTGATTTTGTTTGTTTTTTCTTCAGATTCAGTGTGAGAACGATGGATACGAACTCCGGTCAACCCGAACCATCCTCTTCTAGAAGAACCCTCAGACTCGAAGACGTAATTTACTCTATCGCGTTGAGTTCACTCTTTTCTTCTTCGAATTAGGTTTCATTCTGCTGTTTTTGGTTTCTCGGTGGAATTCACTAGAAATAATCTTTTTTTTTTTCATGCGATCCTTCCTTCGACTAGAATCGATTTTGTTTATTTTTCGTTTGATGATTTTGTTTGTTTTACTCGAATTGAAGATGTCACCTATGGAGATAAAGAAACGACAGGAAGCGGCCGCCCTTGTTCGAAAAGAGTTAGCTTCCAAAGGCATTCCTCCTGACGCCGGCGTAAGCTTGCTTTCTAAAATAGATTTTCATTTATATATTTTTTTTCATACTCAGTTTGGTTTGATTTATTTTTCTTCTATTCTTGTGATGGTGTTTTCAGGAAATTGACCACGCCAAGTTTACGAAGGGAACCACAGCTCTAGCTTTTGTTTTCAAAGAAGGGCTAATGGTAGCTGTGGATCATTCAAGCACATGTGAGTTTAGTTTACTATGTTAATTCTGTGTATTTTTTTGGTGATCTGGTCCGACGTACTAAATGATGTTACTAACCCTGTTTTCTTTCTAAACTTAGCATCAGAGTTGTTGCCTCAGAACGTTGTTGCTCTTAATTCTCACATGCTTGCCACCATTTCTGGCGGGAGCGAATATTTGCTCAATGATCTGCAGAAGAAGGTATTTGATTCTAGTTTACCTTTTTTGAACATATACATTTTCCTTTAGTCCTTTAGCTGCATCTTAGAAAGATTGGTCTGTAATTCATGTTGACATTATTTGTGTTCTAGTGCCACGAACATGAACTCAGGGAGGGGAGAAGAGCTTCTGCTGCAGAAGCAGCAAAGTGGATGGCCGACACTATTCTTTCAACAGTGAGGACGGTTTGTCAGTCAGAGTACTGATTGCTGGATGGGATGGATCGGTAATTCAGATTACGATGTTCTCTGTGCTTCTTCCTGCTGACTCTTATATTTATTTAATCTTGGTTGATCTGTGTAGAAACCTGGCCTGTATCGTGTGGATGGTGAGGGAGCACAACTTAAACGACCATTCTCCACCACTGGATCTGGAACAGGATTTGCTTTTGGTTCTCTGTGTGCCCTGTACGTCTTGTCGTCTCCTTTGCCTATATGCTGTGCTTTCAACTTTCAGGAATTAATACGTGACCCTTTTGATGCGTCAGACACCACTATTTAAATTGCTTCAGTTTGTCTTGGGCTGTATTTTTCAGATTGGGGTTTGAACTTTTCACCTGATTGTACATGGATAAAAGTATCTTGAAGAACTTGTTTCTGGATTTTGTAGGTACCGTCCTGATTTGACCGAAACCGAAGCTGTATTTGTTGCTAAAAGGGCGCTTTGCCTTTCTTCTTATCAAGCTCCTGAAAGACGTGAATGTGTTGGTGGTATGTTAGTGATATTGCATATGCAAGTCCTTGCTAATCAAGTTTTACAGTAGTTTATCTGGTTCCTCTGTTCGTTCCACCCTGATTTTATATTCTTTTCTGCTTTGAAGTTTATCATGTAGGACGTGACGGGTGGTCTACAAAGGTCTCTGATGATGATGTTGTAGAAGTTTATACGCAGTTTGTGGCAGCAAGTCCAGTGTTGTCGAAGCTACCACTACGAATGGTCCACAAAGGTCTCTGGTCTGTGATGACCACGTCGGAGAATTGCACTCCTTGATGATGATTATATAGGAGACTGATGAAAGCTCACCGATGATGAAGATTGGCTTATTTTTAATTTTTCTGTCTGCTCCCCCAAAACACTTCCCCCCAAACCCAAATACTCTTGATTGCATATTCTTGTGCTGTCTCTTGGTGGTATTCGAAATTTGTTACCTTAATGGATAGGATTATCTTGGGAATGGATCTGACGATTACAGAACTACAGTCTTTTGGGCTTCATGTTTTTGACAACTAAGATTTAATCATGTTTTTTTTTTTACAACTAGTGTTTACACGTTTTTCTTTGCTTATCCCTTTATTGAGAACTGTATCTGGAAATGAGGCTGGGGAAAAAACGAATAAGTGTACACCCAGAATTGGTTTTCAGTTGAATTTGAGCTCTGTTAGTCAGTGTGGTGCGAACGAAGCGAACTGCAAAGTGAGTAGAAGTGAGAAAAAACAATTACGAGGCTAGAGCGAAACGAGGTGAGGTACTACCAGATGGGATGTTGGTGGGTGAAGAGAGGGTATGGAAACTTCACTTATTTGGTAGCGACGAAAGTCTGGTCAAATGGAATGCAGTGTATGCAGCATGGCCACTGGCCAGGGAGTATATATTCATCAAATACATATGTATGCCTTCATAGATTAGATATACATACATGGAAGTTGCGCTTGGAGTCTATTGTGTAGAGCTAGTGTATTTGGGGCAACATATGGACCAACAAACCATCGCATTCCTTCGTAATGGATGTTTGAATTGGTCGTCCTCTTTAATAAGGCTGGAACTCTTTTAAAGAAGAAGAATAAAAGAGAAGGAGAGGGAGAGCCACCTATCATGTTTTGGAAGTTGAATGAAAAATAACTTTAAGTTTGTCATATCATACAAAATTTGGGGGTTCAGTTTGTAATTAATATTTTTCTTCTTGATGAATTGTAGAATGTAGATAAAGATTACCGATTTTTACCCCCAAAATAAAAAAAAAAAGTATGAATAAATTTATTGGAAGCTAATAGATTACGAATTGCAGACATGGAATGTAAAAATAATTATATGAATTATATAATACGTATGATATATGTATTATATATAGTATGTATTGACATCTAAACAAGTATATATAGTATGTATTGACATTTTGCATGGTCATGGTGAGTTTGTGAGAATTGAATTTGAAATTCCAAAATAACAATAGTAAAACAAAGTGATCAATCCATCCTAATTCTACAATTACATGTCGTAACAAATCAAGACAAAAATATTTTTATGTCGTTCTGTCTGTCCTCAAGAAATAATTTACTTTTTTTTTGTAAACACTTTTTTTCTTTATTATATTAAAGCAATACAGCAAAATTGAACTCTTTTCTTTTTTGATTTACACATAATTTCGTTGCGAACTACTTGTATTACAAGTAAAAAAAAAAAAAAAGAATTCTGTATATTTTCCCTTCGTACATCCCCACAAAATCCTACACCCAAACTGCTGCAGCGTCTCTGACACAGTGCCATAACAGAATCTCATTACTCTTTTCTCTCTCTCTCAATATTCTGAAAACACGCACACACACACACCGCCTATAAATCCAAGTTATCGGCATTACTACTCAAGTGAGTCATTTCTCTCTCCGGAACTGCACCGTTTTTGACCTCGGCTTCCCTTTGCACCACCAAAAGAACCATCGGCTGCCTTCTCTACCACGCTTACTTCATCATCATCATCATCTTCTCAAATGGTAACAATTACTCTCCATTCTTTTACTTCGTTGATCTTGTTTTGTTTTTTTTTTTTTTTAATAAATTGATTACAAAAGTGAACCTTAATTACTCTCTCGTTGATCTTCTGAGCTCTTAATGTTGCTCTCGTTTTCTTTAATTTTCTTGTTGTTTTTCTTGATTTCGTTCTGACGTTCTGTTTCTGTTGTTTCATCTTGATGATGATGGCTTATTTGCGATGACTTTCTTGATTTTCGTACATTCGATTTTGTCTTGTTTCTGTCCTGTTTTCGTAGTTAAAAGTTTGACAAACACGATGGGCTCTATTTGATCATTGTAACTCTTATTAATTGCACGATGAATCTGTCCTGCTTTTTGGGAAAATATTTTACGGTCACTTGTAAGATGGTTATATAGGTTGAAATTTCTGAATGTATGATTAGCGCTTTCTTCTTGCAGAGATGGATCAGTACACAATTATCGGTGAGCAGAATCTCTGTGTCATGAACATTAGTCCTTCAATTTCCAGTGCTTGTTTGGAAGAAATGGGTAGCGTATTCCCTGTCTTGCCAAGTTGCTGAGGATGATGGGAAGAGTAAAGGTTTCGGGTTGGTTCAGTCTGACTCTGAGGATTCTGCTGTGGCAGCAGCTCTGAATGATGACCAAATGATTGAATGTAATCAAGCATTCTCAAGCTTGCAAAATAAGTAACACTACTATAATTAATCAAACGTTTTTACACGAATAATAGGAACAGTTTGCAAATCATGGACGCCCTCGCCACCCTCATTTTGTCGAAACCCGTTACACAGATTCTCATATCTGACCGGCTGATCCCGATCTTCTTGGTTTTCAATACAAGAAGCACCCATACAAAGAAACCCATCCATCACCATTTACCACATATATCTTCTACAATTGAGCAGCCTGAAAGTTTAGCAAAGAATTCTGGAAAGTTTCTCATTACTTTCCAGATGAACAATCGAGAATGAAAGTTTAGCAAGGAATTCCGGAAAGCTTAAAATACTGAAAACTAGAGTGTTAACCAGACTCAATCTCCATTCTCCTGTTTGGAATTCAGTAACCATCTTCCTTAATTTGTCAATGACAAAAGGTTCATATCTAATTTTTTGTGATGTGTATGGGTCAGGGTAAAAGGTTGAGTTTTTTCTTGTAATAAATTTCAATGGAAGGATTTGGAGGACAAATATTTTTGTCCAGGTCGTTCCATTGAATTTGTCCAGCTCCTTTCATTGAAATATAACTATCTGGTATCAAATTCGAATCTAGTACGAAATGGATAGATTCGGATTTGACAAATTCGAAACAATTAGATTTGTCTACCTAAAATAGGCAAAAATTATTTTTGTCCACATTTTTTTTTTTGGCCAAAGCACCTAAAGGTTAGAGTTTGAATAACAATGGCAACAAAAAGTAAGTAATTAAGACTGATGATATGAGGCGAAGAAGTAGGAAGAAGAGGTGAATTCATTTTCCTACATCCAAAATCACTCATTAGTCATTAATTTGTGTTTTCTCCTAGGTTCGTGTCCATAGTTGTTTGTTTAGTAACAGCTCCGGCAGTACTAAAACATGTATTTTGGCTAACATAAAAACGTAAACTAAAGCACCGTTTCCATTAGTTTTTTCGTTTTTTCCTCGTGGAACATGTCACTCGTGTGATTAGCCCTTTATTTTGTTAATGAACTTTACCAAAACAGTTGTGAAACAAAAAAAACCACCAAGTCATTGCCTCAAATTTACCGGTGTTGAAATATAGAGTAATTATAAACCCGCTTTACTTTAGAGATTACAAACTTTATCATTGAAGGATTTTTGAAATATTTATTTGTCGTTTCAACAGTGAAAAAAAGGTTTGGCAATAGTTCTTGGCAGCCCTTGCTGTTCTTTGCCTTCATGACGTCCTACCTTTCTCCTTTACTCACAAAATATCTCTTCATTCTCATCTAACCTCTGAACCATATGGAAAAATTTGAATAATGGGTAGTGAAGGATAAATAATATAATACATAAAAGGGTAATACTTTTAAATAATATATGTGTTAAGGGCATAACAAACTCCAATCTCAAACATGACTTTAGTGTAAATTATTCAAACAAATTTATTTTTTACCTCTAATAAATTTGAAATTTTATTTTGTTCCATATATTCCTTTTTTATAAAAAAATCTTTTGGATCGAAAACCTATCAAGTTAAAACATGGAAGTCTGAAAAAATGTTTCCAGAGAAACTAGAAAAGAAAGAGCGATTATTTTTTGAGTTTTCGTTGACTTTTTTTTTCCCTCTTTTCTTCTTTTTTTTTTTTTAAATTTTTTTCTTTTGAGATGATTTGAATTGAAGGAAAACCTAAATCAATTAGAAGGGATACCGAGGGAATGTAAACATGTATCTGATTTGAAGGCATGGAACGGAGCATTCATTAATTTATCATCCGATCATTTTCGGTTCATTGCATTATTTGCATGGTTGACTGGTGAGATATGAAATCAATATTCTCTCTAGCTACCATATATTTGTTTTAATTTCAAAATTGTTGTCCAAATCATTATACTTGTTGTCTCACCTATATAATCAAATTCATGTACATGATCTTTTATTTTTAATTTTTTGGTTCTTTTCATTATGAAATTAAAAACAATCAGAACTGACATTACTTTCTCCTAACGAGTGCTTCATTTGTGCATATGTTTTTTTTAATCTTTTGATGCAGGAATATGCATATCTTTAGATGCATGCATGTTCCCGTATCATAACAATAGCAGGATGCTCTAATGATTAATGTTTCAATTTCATTTTGTTAGTCTATATATTTTTCCTTGAATTGTTGTTTATTTTGTTTACAATTAGTAGTATATTATTATTGGTTTGACATTATTTTCAAAGTCAAATGACTTGAATACGTGCCAAATTTTCAACATTAATTATAATACGAGCAAAAGTTATCAAGTCATTTTTGTTGACTCCATATGCTGCCACCTTTTTTCTTTCATGAAATGAGTATTAGAAAATAATCGAGGATTTTTTTTTTTTTTTTACAGTTATATATACAGTCTCCAGAAATTACACTCAAACATAATCTTTTTCTTTCTTCCTATATTTTTTTCCCTGTAAATATGACTTCTTTTAAAATGAAAAAATTATGCAATATTGTCAATTGAATGGGTAAAACTTGAAATTTAATGATACATTCCGTTAATTGAACTAGTGAGTCGCGACACTAAAATTAATCTTTCTCTACTTCTAAGTATAGCACAGTCTAATTCAGCTAGATTAATTTCTTTTGAATGAAGGGTTGAAACAATCAAGAATATCCTGGTTAGGAATTTTGTGGACTAAGCAAACGGTTTAATCAGATGGGCATCTAGCCACTTGCCCAATAGCAAGAAGAATATTATTCGGGGGGGAAAAGCTGATCGGTTACGGCTTGACGCAGCTATTTCTTTTGGTCCATTTTACATTTGTAAAAAAAATTACAACTCACAAATCCTCAAATTCCATTTTCTTTTTCTCACTTGCTGAGTATGATGATGAGTCTTTTATAAGTTCGTATTAATTTCTGGTCCAATGCTTTCCACATAATTGATTCTGCTTGGCTCAAAGTTCCGGCCTCATGTCTTACCACTTCTGAATTTTAAATTCTTGATGTTGACCTGAAATATTGCCGATGATAAGTAAGTAAATACATTATGTTAGTAAAGTTTAAAATTAACATTTTGTCACTTCTCGAGAATATAGACAATCATCATATTCAAAATTTTCCCATTATAATCAGCTAGCGAGTGTTCAATAGTAACTTTTCATTTGTCATATTTCAAACTTGATTTTTTTTTTCCTTTTCTTTTTGTCTTTCAAAAAAAAAAAAGAAAAAGAAAAAAAGAAGTTGATGGTGAGTTGTGAATTTCCTTTGCCTTGAAAAGTTTGCATGGTGTTTATGGGTTGGTGTTGATTCTTGTGATTTGTACTCCTATTTCTTTTCAATCTGTTTGTGCTGTTGACATCTGAATTAATCTTTTTCTTTTCACTGCTTTCAGTTTTCAAACAAATGACTCCGATCCCCCCCATAATTATTACATTGTATTTTCTTGTCTTGGAGAAAATATATAGATTATTGATTACGTTTTTCTACTTTTTTTTTAAAAAATAATTCTTACAGTCACCATTACTACATTTGTAATAATAGTTTTGACGGGATAGACAAAAAGAAATAGAAGAAAGTAGCATTTCAATTTTCTTTTTTTAAAATTTTTTTTTTTCCCTTTAATAACATGAGATACCACATAATTTGCTATTGTAATCGTTTAAGAAGAATGTCCCAAGAAGGCAAGAAGTGAATCACATGTGATATAATTTTCTTTCACATGCCAATTATTTTTCTGTATTTTCCTCGAATTTTCACTGTTCAATTGTGTCTATGTCCCGTGTAGACCCCAAACCACACTAACAACGTAGAAAGTGGTACTAGTTTCCATTACAGCCATGATATGGTAATGACGGTAACCACGAAATTCGTAGAAGCTACAATAATACTACATCACTCAAAACTCGATATGAACTATTTTTTAGGACGAAGGAAGTAACACTTATTTCTTTCGATTATCGGCTAATTATATGATTGATATTCCCCAAACGAGACAAAACTTGTGTTACATGACTGTTAACCTAATGCAATCCTTTTTATTAGGAGTTTCAGATCAAAAGTTTAGAATGCATATGACTAAGGAGGACTAAGGAGACTAGTTAACATAAATTTTAGAATGCATACTCGTGGTTATTATAAATTTTGGTTAACATAAATATTATGTCATCATCAATATTTCATTATTCCGTAAACAATCATCACTAACTAAATTTTCTCCCGGTTTCAAAGTTATATAAATTTCCGGCCAATGTATATATCATCATATAACTGCCACAAATCTTCTTCCTAAGGGATCATGGAAACGCAGTTTTATTTCCTACGGGTAAATCCCTTTTTCTTTTTCATTTCTTTTTTTTTGCAATAAAAAAGAAAATCAAAGTCAAGACACGGAGTATGAAACTTTAACATCATCATTTCAAGCTGCTACCAACTTTCTTGCCTCTTTCCAAACTGATGACCAAACCACCAGAAACAATAAACTATACTCCGAAAGTAACACATTAATTTATGTCTACACAGAGGAAACAGACAAATTGGAACTATAGAAAAACCAAGCACAGATCTTCTTTCATTCCTTCTAGACTTTAACCAAATTTTATAACCATATTTCAAACCAAACAAAGTATAGGGTCGTTTATGTAATCATTAATCCCTTCCCTGATTTCCTCTTTATAAATATATCACACTTTCATATATCAACCTATTCCATCCCAATTCCATCTATATCCAAATTCCTAGGTGTCTGGGAAAACAAAACCTAGACCCATTTATACGTGCATTTTTTTTATCATCAAACATCAACCTAGCTAGGAATTTGCATGAAAAGGAAAATGGTCAAGATGATCAAACTGGCAGACATATTGCCCAGTTGTTTCCATGCGGAACATCCCGGAAAGAAAAAAATTTCAAAACATCAGAAATCTGCTTGTTCTTCTTCATCTCATCAGAATCAAAGGATATCACTTTCTGATATAAGTGATCCAGGGTCTCCTTTATCCGTGAATGACCTTTCTAACAACTCCATCATTGGGTCAAATCTTCACATTTTCACACTGGCGGAGCTTAAGCTGATTACGCATGATTTCTCCGCGAGTAATTTTCTTGGTGAAGGCGGATTCGGGCCGGTGTATAAAGGTTTTTTGGATGATAAGATCAGACCTGGACTTAATGCTCAACCTGTTGCTGTTAAGCTGCTCGACTTGGATGGTGATCAAGGTTACAGAGAATGGCTGGTAATTCATTTTTTCTTTTTTTTTTTGGCGGTTTACTTATTATTATTATTATTATTTTTTCATCCATGAAAATTAACTCCGGTGGTGGTTATGGCGGTCGGTGGTCAATTAGGTGGGGTTGATTGGAATGACTTATGAAAATCCGGTGAATTTAGGTGGGTTGGAATTGGAGAGAAGAATAAGAGAGGACTTGGTTTCATGCATGTGACGATAAACGTATGCAATTTTTTTTTTTTTTGTTGATGATATGGCATATTTCAATTGGATTTTCGGTAAACGAATATAGTTTGACTAAAAAAAAAAAATTACTCTAAACAATATTTTCTTTGGTTCATTCTTATGTATCCATTATGGGAAGTGTTTACTGTCAGAAAAATAAAGAAAAATATATGGGAAAAGTGTCTAATTAAAGTGGTATAAGATATGATATTGCTGAATATATTTAATTTAATTTAATTTAATTCTTTTTTTAAATTTTATGCTATTTCGATCACTCAATTTTAAATTGATGGGCCTAATTTTGGTTGTTAAGGCAACATGTTGTTGCTATAATACTTTTGCAAGATTTTCAAAGATAATAGAAATACAAAAGGTAAAGTTAAATGGATGTGTATACAGCTCGTTGCATTAGTAAAGGCATGATCATCATGAGGTTTGGATCATAATTGATTTTACGTATAACACTGTACGTGCAGACAGAGGTGATATATTTGGGGCAATTGAGACACCCGCATCTGGTGAAGTTGATTGGATACTGCTGTGAGGATGAGCACCGACTTCTTGTTTATGAATACCTGGCTAGAGGCAATTTGGAGAATCAACTTTTCAGAAGTATGATTAATCCAATCCACTTTCTCTCAAAACACATCGCAAATTTAATCATCACCACTTAATTATTATATTGATCATCCCTTGCTTTTCTTCTTCTTTTTCTTTTTTTTTTTGGTTATTTATGTCGTAATTGATTGATGCAGGGTATTCCATTGCATTACCATGGTTGACCAGAATTAAAATTGCACTTGGAGCTGCAAAAGGCCTAGCTTTTCTTCACTGTGAAGATAAGCCCGTCATATATCGCGACTTCAAGAGCGCAAATATTCTATTAGACTCGGTAATTGTCGTTATTAATTTTTCAATTTTCTTTTTTCAAAAAGAAAAAATATATATAGCAAGTGAATTTTTGACTAAGCTCTTATAAGTTCAACGGTCTTATTTAGTTATATTTATTTTTATTAGGATTACACAGCGAAGGTGTCCGATTTTGGACTAGCAAAAGATGGTCCAGAGGGAGATGACACACATGTGACGACCCGAGTGATGGGAACACACGGCTATGCTGCTCCAGAATACATCATGACCGGTAATTAATTACTAAACACAAATAATTCAAATTATTTTAGGAGTCAATTGTCTTTTCCTTTTTCTTTGAGAGTAGTTAATATAATAATGACGACTCAATTAATGACGTAGAAATCACGTGTCATCAAAATTGGTAGTTTAACGATAACTTCATTTTTTTTCTTTTTTATTTGTCAGGTCATTTGACCACCATGAGTGACGTATACAGTTTCGGTGTAGTTCTATTGGAACTTTTGACGGGAAGAAGAGCCTTCGACAAGAGCCGGCCTGACCGGAGAGAGCATAATTTAGTAGAATGGGCGAGGCCGCTGTTGAGAGATTACCACCACAAGATCGACAAAATCATCGACCCCAAACTCGACGGTCAGTACTCGTTCCAAGGTGCGAAGAAGGCCGCGGCATTGGCGTACCAATGCTTGACCCACCATGCAAAAAGCCGGCCGAGCATGAAAACCGTCGTGAAGGATTTGGAAGAGATTTTAGGGTTCAAGAAAGATATCCCCATTGGAACTTTTGTGTATATCGTGCCGACGAACAATAAAGAATTATGCAAAGGAAAAGTGGGTGATCAAAAAGTTGTTGATGGGGCTGTTTTGCTAAAAGCGGAAAAAGGGTGTGTGAAAAATGAGGAGACCGACAAAAAGGAGGTCAAGAATAGAAATATTGACTGTGACCAAACTAATAAACAACGGCAGAGGGTAAAGGTGAAGGAGCCTAAGCCTGTATACAACTCGGATACAGCTCTTTACGCCAGTGTAAGAAAACACAAATAAAATTGTCGGGAAAAAAAAAGAGGTGAAAAACTTATTAGCAAGGAGTTAATAAGTTTTGAACCGTTAAATTGATGAAAAATATAAACCAAAAGTATTTTTTTTTTCGGATGCATAACACTTCTCATATCCGATGATACACCATCAAGCGAAACATTAAATAAAAGAAGTTCGATGGCGGCACAATGGTGAAATTCCATAAACCAATATTTGCTAGAAAAATTTTTTATCTAAGCTAAATTGTACAAGTTTTGGGTTCTTCAACATTTATTTATTTTATAGTAATTCTTTTTTGTTTGTTTGTTTGTATTATGTGTGAGTATTTGTTTGTAACTTGAGACTTTGAAATTGGCATTAAGTAAATGCTAAAAATTGTCAATTATTTTGGTCTTTTTTGTTTGACTAATTAATTGAAGGATGATTTTGCAATTAAACCGCAAATGCACTAGGAACAATAAAATTTAATCTAATCTTAAGCTTGATTAATCTATTCAGGCCGATAACTAACCCCAATGATGTCGTGATACGTACAGTCCACTTACAAATCCTAGAAGGGGAATCCAGTCGGAGCAAATCTCCAGAATTCGACGTGCCAGTGACGCCAAAAAATCAGCCGCGCCGTTACAGTTCCAATGGACGTGGCTAAGTGTACAAAAGATTTCTAATAGCCTCCAACAGACCAAAATGCGGGCAAGGCGGCCCCCGGCAGAACTTCAACGTCATATTTGACTCGCTGGGAAGTTGCTCTTTTGATGATCAGTTGGACCTTACTAACTAGCTGTAAAAATTGGTTGACTTCCCTAATTCACATGTAATTAAATATTCTGCTAATGCAATGATTAGATATCGACACCTTTCTTCTTTCTTTTCTTTTCTACAGAAAACAAATGAAAAAAAGAAAAGACTTATTATATATGGCTTCACGCTACTCCCTCCGATCTATTTTTATACTCCCTCTCCCATAATTATTGTCCACTTTGCCCAAAAAATTTTGTCCCAAAATTATTGTCCAATTTGACTTTTTATGGCTCAAGTTACACATTTGTCCTTAGTAAAAACATTATCCATAAAATCTTAGTGGTTAAATAATTACTTATGTAGGGGTATATCCGGTTGTTTAAGGTAAAATATAGTTAAGTTTGACCAAAAATAAAATCTTTTATTTTAGTAAAACTGGACAACAATTATGGGACGGGGGGAGTAATTCATTTTAGTGTATTTTTTTATTCATTATAAAATGAACTAGTATAAAAATGAAACTGGATGAGCAAGAATTTGGGGGGAAAAAGACATGGCTTCATGATATTGACCTCAAACATGACACATCCACAGTAATTAGACAACACGAAGAATACAGCTTAAGTCGCAAATACAACATTAAGACACCATGATCATTGTCTTCAATCATCATCTATCATCAATACTTGTATCACCACTACATTCTTAATTATACTCCCTCTATCTTCTTAAAAAAATGTATAGATAGCACAATATATCGACAATTTAATTAATCAAAGTGAATAAAGGTTAAGAGGAAGCCGTGGTTCGACGACAGCAACCAATGGGAACTTCTTTGGGAGTAGAAAGACGAAAAAAGTCCTCCATGTCCAAATCTCCAGGGCACATATCATTTGGCAACTTCCATTACCGTGCAAAAGATTAGCTAAACTGGCATAAATAACCTTTAATGCCCAAACTGTGTCCTGGGCAAATTCTTCTCCCCCAATAACATCCCAAGTGACAATTTAGGACAAGTGAGTTCCGTTTAAGTTTTAGATGACTATTCTTTGAACCGTTGCAAGTAAAGAGAATTATCTATATTAGAGGTTTGAGCTTTTTTTTTTTTTTTGAGGTTTGAGCTTTTTATACATTATTATTATTCGTATATTATTAATATTATTATTTTTATATTATTATTATTAATATAAAAATATAAAAAACTATCAATTCTCTATGAATTGTTTCGTACGGTCATTTTTGAAACATAAATACAAAAAATTAATGTGATCGTCCATTGTGGTGGAGTTTGTCAAAAATTTCTGGGGTTTTTTTAGTCATTTTCCTACTTTAGCCGTTTGACTTTTTAAGTTTCACGGGTCTATGGATGTTCTTGATATTTGCTTCAAAAGGCAAGAGTGTGTTTGATAATCGAATAAATCTTGAGGGTGTATTTTGGGCAAAGTGGAAAATAATTATGGGACGGAAGGAGTACAAGCAATCAACTTTCATATTCCAGTAGCATTCAACTTTCTTTCCAAATCTAAATTACTTATCAAACAACAATCTTGCAACGAGACTGCTACAAGCATCTGTTCCCTTCAATCCTTGGTTAAGCCAAAATCAAAATGAAGCTCTAGTGTCTAATTACGTATGAAACAACAATCTTGCAACGAGACTGCTAAAAGCATTTGTTCCCTTCAATCCTTGCTGAAGCCAAAATTAAAATGAAGCTCTAGTGCCAATCAATTTCAAAGATGCTTCCTGCATAGACACATGGAATGTAATTTCATAAGATGAACCGTTGAATTCAAGAAATGCCACAATCTCATGGGGAAAGAACATACCAGTCACATAAATCTCCAATCGACCATCAAAAGACCTAAATAATGGTTTATCATAATTAGGTCCAATTATTTCTCAAAAAATTCACTTCTCTTCTAGATCGAACTCGTTTGTACAAGGGATTCATTAGGATAATCTACATTTCTCTGAGAGTATAATAGATAATAGGCACCCTCCTTATAAATAAATAGATACTTCCCTGCAACTAGTTCCTCTCGTAGATGTAACACTAAATTTGCACTTTACTTTCATTTTGAGTTGATTCCTATTTATGGTATTTATTTTTAATGAACTTTGAATTAACTTGGAAAACCCAAACTAATATACTTTCTATATTTTTTAATATATGTTATTTTAAGATTTATAAAATTTTTCAAAATATATGTTATTTTACAAAATCGAGACAACTTTCAAAAGTACTCCTTTCACTTTTTTAAGACTTAAAAGCAGATGATTTGACAGTCATGGGTGACGTTAACGCTATGACATATGAACACCGTCATGAACCACGATGTTTAGCCACCGCACAAGGCAAATGAACACACTCATGACTCACTAATAAATTGGAAGACTTTTTTTTGGGATTGAAATTTTATGGACATTGTGTGGGTACATCAGTCTACAGAACGCAAAAGAAATTGGATGAAAATGATGTCAAAAAAAAAAAAAAAATTTTATTGATGTGGTTGTTTTTCAAAAGAAGAAAAGGGTTTCTGAAAAAAATGACATGGTGGAGAAAAAGGAGATTGTAGATTTTTAAGAATAGAAATAAGAAAATTAATTTATGGACAGAGGCATAGGGTTAAAGTGAAGTCTTGTGCTGTGTAATTATAAATTTATAACCCGCGGTTTACATCACTGTAAACAAGTCTAATTTACTGTCGAGGAAGAAAACTGGTCAAATCGATGTTAGAAGATAATGATTTTTTAGATGGCAAGGTAAATTAGTAATATCAGTTGGATCACTTCGAAATCACTGCACAATATATTATGTAAATCAACTATTAACAAAAGTTCGGTGATGGTACAAAAATAAACCACATCATCTGGAATGCAGAAAATCACCTTCTTTCATCATGAAGGTTATTTATTTATATGTTTGGGGGAGGAGATAAGTAATTTGCGTTAAGTTAGAGTTTGTGTCTCGAACATGCATTCAAAACTAGGATTTCAATTGTTTTTGTTAATTTGAGTTTTTATTGATTAGTGGTAGGAGGAACTAGGAAAGTTGAGAACCGCATCACTTGACCTTATTTATACATGCAGAGAATTTTTTTTTGCACTGTGTATGAATTTTGTTCATGGATTCTCATGGGCTCACATAAACGTCCTCCATTTCTATAAACTCCGCAAATTGACCCATGAAAAATAGCGGTGAAATTGGTTTGACTTCACCAGATTCACATATTCAGCTTTTTAGCAATGAGTAGATTTTCTTTTTTCTCAAATATTGAATAATAACCTCATATATTTCTAGTTAATTAGCTCTTTTAACTCTTTTTTTTTTTTGGTAAACACCTTTTAACTTTCACGTTTCTGAGTCAAGTAGTTTTGTACTTTATTCTATCTAAAATCAGAGTTCTGTGCATTGAATTGAAATGATCTTTACAACAGGCATCATAATAAGTACTCCCTCCGTTCCATAATTATTGTCCAGTTTGAGTTTTTATTTTTAGTTCAAATTATACTAAAAGTGAAATCTCAAACTGGATAATAATTTTGAGACAGAGGGAGTATTTGAGAATGAAAATGAAAGTAATCAAAAGGAAAGCTTAGCAATTAATAAGTATTTTGGAAAATAAATATAACTCTTTTAACTCTCAAATACGGCCTGCATACATACACATACAATGAAGATTAAGTCACAAATAACATCACTATGGAAACGCATTATTCCATTTTCCCAATCTTAGTTTCAACTTATTTTATAATAAGTTACACCGTCTAGATAAGTTACAATATTTACTCCCTCTATTCCAAAATTATTGTCCAATCTGAGATTTCACTTTTAGTATAATTTGAACTAAAAATAAAAATCTAAATTGGACAATAATAATGGGATGGAGGGAGTATATAACAAGCATCTTGATGATAACAAACATAGAGCCTTTAATCATCAGAAAGAGTAAAGGTTGGGAGGAAGCCGAGGCTCAGCAACAGCGACCAGTGGGATCTTCTTTGGAGTAGAAAGTCCAAATATTTCCTCCATGTTCAAATCTTCAGGGCCCATTTTATCGGGCAGCTTCCATTTGAACCCATGCAGAAGATTTGCCAAGCTAGCATAAATAACCTTAATCCCCAAGTTGTATCCCGGGCACATCCTTCTCCCAGAACCAAATGGTAACAATTCATAATCATGACCATTAACGTCAATATTCTTCCCGATAAATCTATCCGGGTTAAATTCTTCCGGGTTTTCCCACACATCCGGATCTCTGCCTATGGTCCAAACGTTCACGAAAATCCGAGTCCCTTCCTTGATATCATAACCGTTAACTTTGCAGTCTTCTCTAGCACATCTAGGAACCAACATCGGTGCCACTGGATGTAAACGCATTGTTTCTTTAGCAATGGCTTCTATGTATGGAAGGTTGTGCACTTCATTCTCCTTGACCCATCGGTTTTGTCCGATGACCCGGTCCAATTCTTCAATTGCCTTCTCGAAAAGTTTGGGCTTCTTGAGTAGTTCAGCAATGGCCCATTCCACAGTTACTGCTGAGCTCTCGGTTCCTCCAGCTAGCAAGTCCTGAGTTCATAAAATAATGGTTTCATTATGTTGTTATTCTCTACCGTAAAGAGTATGCCATGATACCAATGATTGTTATGTTTTATGTTAATTTTTTTTGGCTACCTGGTTCTCCCATTTTCAGAAATTTAGAAGTAAAATGAAGGAATCAGTTCTGCTTTTGTTATATTTCTTTGTGTCTAAATACTATTATACGGTTAGTAAGACTGACTCGTAAACAGTGAAGTTACTGATAAATGTAACCGAAAAAAATCATTTCAAAGAATGGGAAGTAAATACATTACTACTACTTGTTAAATTTGTCAAACAGATTAACTAGTTAATATTCCACAATCTACCTCACTAATGGGAATTTGACATGTTGAAATAATTGGAAAAAAAAATAAATTAGCCGGACAAATAATTTTTTAGTCATGTTTTTGGTAGCTTCAACGTCGTTGTCAGCGAACTTGAAGATAACATGATGCTTGCTTTCGTTAATTACAGATCGGCAAATTAATTGACTAGCTTAACCCTATCGCTTGGGTCCGATGTTCTTTTCAACAATTCCGTATTCTTCAAGTTGTTTATTCTATTTGTTAACACTACATTAAAAAATAAATAACAATAATAAAAAGAAAAAGAAGAAGAAGTCAATCTTCCTATGATGAAAAAAATTTAATTAATTTTTTACGAGTGAGCTAAAGAATTAATGCATATATTTATTCAATAAGTGAAGTGACAAATGACTAAATAAATGAAATAAAATGGAAAAAAAAAAGTGTAATATTTATTTTATTCCAAAATTATTATAGACGAAATAACGTAACCGAAATAATGGGGGGACACACATACCTGAGTGAAAGCTTTGACTCCATGCCTCTCAAGCTTAACTTCCAAAGTGGGATCATTGGCAAGATCCAACAGAACATCCACCATATCCTTACTCTTATTCTTTCCATTTCCTTCATCATCACCGACATCAACTTTCCTGTTCTGAATATGCTCATTTAGAACATGTTCCAAGAACCGGTCAAACTTCTTGCTCACATTCTTCATCCTCTTAACGTAGCCTTGCAAATCCAAGAAATTTAGCCAAGGGATCAAATCCCCAATGGTGAACACCCCATTCAGCAAAAACAACTCATCCAGCATCTTCTTGAATTCTTCCGGGCTAACAATCGGGTTCTCTGTTTCATCCAGATACCTTCGGCCCAACACCATCCGGCTTATCACGTTTAAGCTCAGTGTCGAAAGATGGTCTTTTAGCAAAATGGGCTTCCCGGAGGATTTGAAAAGGTTTGCAATCAGGGAATTCAGTTCTTCGACCCGGATGTATTCGTAGGATTCGAGTCTTTTGGCGCTGAATAGTTCGGTCAGGCACATTCTCCGGGCTTGGCGCCAGTACGGCCCGTACGGGGACCAGGTGATGTCGGAGTAGTTGTAGGTGGTGTATTTTCCGGCGGCGGTTTTGGGCCTGCCGACGAAGCTGAGGTCCATGGTTTTGAGGAAGATTTTGGCCATCTCGACGGAGGAGGCGACAACGGCCGGGTGGGAGCCGAGGCGGAACTGCATAATGGGCCCGTATTTTTTGGAGAGCTGGTGGAGGGATTTGTGCGGGAGTGGGCCGATGAGGTTCAGGTTGCCGATGATGGGCCATGGTTTCGGCCCTGGTGCGAAGTTGTAGTGCTTCTTTTGGCGGTGGAGGTAGTGTTTGGAGAGGAGGAAGAGGAGTAGAGTTGCCGACCATACGGCGGCGTATGGTGCCCAATTGGAGATGACGGAGATGATCTCCATTTCTTTTTATGATTTTTTTTTTTTTTAATAACACTTTTTTCCCTGGGACTGAAAGAAGGAAATGATTGTGTTGATTAATGGTGGTAATTTGGAGGGTATAAGATTGGAGTATTTATAGGGAGTTTTTAGTTTTAAGGGTGGAAAGTCTATGTGGAATTCAATTTAAAAAGGAAAGTCAACTGTCGTTCATCTCACTCAAAATGTCTGGGAAGTGTTTTTGCAATTTCCATAGCATTATGCGACAAAAACCCATTTGGTATCAGTCAATACTCATTGTACTAATTCACTTTTCAATATGGGAATATACAATAAGAGATGATTCAAATGATACTTGCTGTGTGGGTTGTTAAGGTCGTATGGGTGGGGACTAATAACGTTAGGTAATGAATCTTTAAAAGTTCATAGGATGAGATGGTAATTGTGGAAATTGTAGGTACGAGAGGGATTGGGGTTCGAAAATTAAATGTAATGAACTATTATTCAGCAATTTCATACTGATTTATCAAAATAAGGAAGACCAAAACTGGCATAATAGCTAATGTATATTGTTTCCTAAATTTCATAATTTTCATACAAGCAATATAATATCTGTCGCCTACTCGCCTTGACGACATAAGTGTGCTCATGGATTCATTTGATGCAGATAGGTCAAAGCAGGCAGGAAAATGTCACGGAAGTCAACGCATGAGACAAATTCATAGTTGTTATAATTTGTATTCGATATTAGGAAATAAGATCTACAATTACACACAAAGTAGAGGCTGGGAGTACTATAATTTTTAAAAGATAGCAAAAAATTAATCAGTGTTGAACACTTGACCTAACAACTCAATTTTGTGGAAAACGGGGGGGAAAAAGGAGCGGTGGTTTCAAGTTTCAATTGTGAAGTTTTCCCTTCAAATGAACTTTTTGGAAATACCAATATGATTTCTTCTACCTTTTCTCAGAAAATGTTGAGAAACTGTACTCTGCTCTCAAAACTCAAAAGGGAAAAGAAGCCATAAAATTACTTGGAAAATTCAGACATTGACCCAAGTCAAAGCAGCCGGTGGCCCGATGGCCTTGACCTCCATAATGCAATGCAATTCATTGCTTATTACCATACACTTTATCAATGATCCAATGATTAGTTAGTTGAGAAGTGATTTCGTACTCCCTCTGTCCCAAAATTATTATTTCACTTTTAATACAATTGGAACTCAAAATGAAAACTCAAACTGGACCAATAATTATGTAATAGAGGGAGTATTTCATAGTTATTTTTTTTATCGAGCAATAGACAAATGGAGTGTATCCTAATTGATACATTTATTATTATTATTAGAGTGTATCCTAATTGATACATTTATTTTGTAATTATTATTATTATTATTATTATTATTATTATTATTATTATTATTATTATTATTGTAAGGGCAAACAACAAACCAAAAAAGGTTTCATATGTTAAAGCAAGTAATGAAATAAAACAGTCTAGATCTATTATACGATATCTCAAATAGTAATGCGTATTTCAAATGTTCGAATAGCATCTTTTGCAATAATGCACCGCACTTTTCCTCTTGCCCCCAAAAAAAAATATCCCAAGTGACAAATTAGGACAAATTGATTTTTTTTAAGTTTTAGATGACTATTAATTAAACCATTAGAAGGAAGAGAGAATAGTGTCTATATTAGAATTTTGAGCATTTTTTTATATACATAGCGCTCATTTTTCCTAGGACATGCTACAAAAAGTTAATTCTAAAATTATAGAACGAGGAACCACCAATACTTTTCAGTGGGCTCAGTTTATTTAAAAAATTGAGGCCTAAGTAATAAGAAACAGGTTGGGCTCTCATATAGACACACTATTGGGTACACCTTTACATGTCACTCCAGGCCCAGATGTAGGTACTAAAAGTTCATAAGGTAGCACCCCGGCACCACATCTATTCCTCAGTTGTGCATTGCAGTTCCTTCTCTCAATCTCCTTTTCAATCCTTCCAATCTCAGCTGAAAATTCATAGAACCCTTCGATCACCTCGGCATCGCCTGTCCAGGTTGACGCATGATTTCTCTCGCCAAGGTACTCCTCATCAGGCGAATGTGTCGACAATGTGTCCACTACAGCCATGTACTTTGTGGCTTGTAACAGACTAGGCAATGCTGACAAGAAATACTTGTGCGGGTCGGATAAGAACACTGCATACTCTGGGTCGTTTTCATCGGGAATCAACCGTCGCATGAGTGGTGGCCGGTTTGGCACGTAACCACCATACGGGTACTGCCCGAAATTCAAGGCTGCGTGTTGTGCCGAAGATAGCCAAATGAGAGTGGTGAGGATGGACGTGAGATCTTCTGGGGTGGCTAACTTTGGCCACCAGTCTGCATCACGTAAATCACCATGGCCTACATTAATGGACTCGGCATACCAGGCTTGGAGTTCCTGATCACTAGACACTAGGCTTGGGTCTGGATAGTAACGGTTGACATATTTACGGACCCAATTCTCGATGGCAGTCCATATCATGAGCCCATCTGCTGCGTAGGGATAGTCTTCAAGTACTAGCTTTAACCCATATGGTGCTGTTGCATCTGGTACGGCCATCCCCCTACATCATCACCACAGGAACACAAAACGTTAGCAACTTAATCGACCACATAAAACTTAAAGAACCTAAATGTACTGAAAAGAGTATGTATTGCAGAACAAGTCAAAGTCAATTTATTTTATCTTCAATGTTTTACTGTCTTGCTTTAAAATATGTCATGGATAATGAATTCATGGTTTTAGTTAGTGGTGAAATTCATGACATAGTGAGAAAGTCAGAAATTGACACGAAAAAAGGATGCGCTACATGAATATAAACATCAGAAAAGTTGACTTCAAACATGATACATTCAGAAAATGTTAATGCCTTAATTAAAATTTGTTAATCATTATTCCATAAACGACCCGGTTATCAAATCCAAGTGTTTTATGAAACGATTAGGGGTGAAATTAGATGATACCTGCGAATGAGATCAGCAGGGAGGCCCTCCTTATCAAAACGCCAGAAATTTTTATAAGCAGCAGCACTGATTTCCATGCAGTAACGGCCAGGAGTAAAGCAAGATTCAATTACACCATCAGCATTGATCAAACCTTGCCGGGCCAATGCATTAATCTCCATTGTGTATCTCATGTGTGGGTCTAACAGCTTGAAAATGGGATGCATTGCACTCATTTGCCTGTGGGCCGCTAGTATAAACGGTTCCACAGAAGCATGTGTTCTCAACCTAAAACGTTAAAGCCCAAACCTTTAATTTGACGATTTCTACTGAAATTAATTAAGTTCAATAATTTTCTAGTCAAGTCAAAATTCACGTACCAATGGTTAACTAATTGATGTACACCAGCATCATTGGCACAAACATGGGCCTTAGCCAACTGCCACATCCAAGTAGTAGTGGCGTCTACAGGTGGCGTAATGACCCGTTTGGATCGGGAACCTGGGCTGCCGGGTGGGAGGCTAAGCTCTATAGCTATGGGTTTGAGAGTGCCCAATTCACTCAAGACGAATATGGTCCGAGTTGCATATGCTTTACGACCATCAAGGGCATTAATCTTGTCCAGAAACGGCAAGTAGGCATCATGATGGTCCAAAATGTACAACTTGTTAGCTTCCAAAGCCTGTAAGAAATGGCATAAAGTATTCAATACGCAAAATTCAGATGGGGGAATATTGATATAGGTAGAACTAGCGGTTTAATCTCAATAATTTTATTCAGATGATGTTTTTAGCTTCATTTTTAGTCTCTCAAATTCAATCTTTGAATGAATGCTATCTTAGTCAGAACAAAATTACTAACACAATTACCTGTTGGACTGTCATTCCATTGAGATGGCCAACAATGTGTTCTTCTTTCAATGCAGAGTCCAGAGGGCCATAAATTTCAGGATCAAGCTTGCTCACAGGTGGAAATGATTGGAGCCTCTCAATGCTCACAGGGTTTACCCCTGCTAATGCTTGCCTGGCGAATTCGTCGTCTCGCAACCATGCAAATTTGTCTTCTGCAATTCCGAAATTGCGAAAGAAGGTTATCATCTTTGCATTATTTAAAATTCTACTTGTTCTGGTGAAGTGTAAAGTACCAAATACTAAAATGTAAGCAAAAGTTCATTAGCCTCAAAATAAGATAGTGCTTACTTGAAAGAATCTTGGGAACCTTGTATTTCAGTATGTCACCCTCGCGGAATTTGTGTACAGCCTGGGGCAATGACATCTTATTCAACATTTCGTCTTTCATTGCCAGGGTCAAGAGTAGGCCTTCAATGTAGAGGCTATCAATGTCTGAAAAGCCATTGAAATCATGGTTTTTAGCAGAAATGCTGGCCATGATTGATGGCAATAAGTTGTGAAGCACTGCTTTTAGCCTCCCGGTTGAGAATGCATCTTTTTTTGATTCCTCAAATTGCTCATCTCTAGGCACATACATTGGCAATGGCTTCTCTACTCTGCTTTCAGATTGCAAATCTGGCAGGGCACATATCAAGACATTCAGAAAACATTCTGACCAAATACCCTGTTTTTTCACTTGTGCATTACTCCAATTATTTGATAAAACTCATTCTTATATGATACATAAGTGTCAGGGACACATATTTTTCTAAAACTAAGAAAATCACATAGAAACTTATAAACAATACTGACCAGTCTCAGTTGGGGCACGGCCAGTGCGACATCTCCTTGGATACGGTATTTTCTCGCCGCCAAGGGTTGGCCGGGCGAATTCACTTCCTCTATCAGGATTTCCCAAATCATTGTATGTAGCATAGTCATATATTCTATCGGACAACTTCCTGCAACCTTTGCCATCTCCCCTTAAATCTCGAAGCTCTTTGCCCCTTAATGCCTTTAGCCCAGCAGGAGTCTCACTTGGTAAGTATGGCTGTTCATCATCACAATTAAAGAAACAAAAATCTTGCTTTTAGTGGGACATATTTTGGATTGTTTCCTTTTTGTTATACCGTTGATTTGTTGTTAACTACTACATATAACACAAGCGGGCAGTAAAGAATGATTTTTCATAGCAGGTACTCGTGTGGGCTATTGTAATTATTATTAATGCACGCTAAATACACCAAATGAGCACGAGAACAATTCAGAAGAATCTTGATGAATTGAACCAATAAAGAAATCCTAAGATTAGGTGGATGAATGGTTGACGTCTTAACTTTATCCAAGACAAGACAAGCTGCTGGAATATATCTATTTTTCCAGATCACATCTAGTGGTGGATGGTTATTTAATACGTCATACAGATGAAAGTGTTTTTATGGCCATTCGATGAGGTAATGGAACAGAGGCCCCGCCTCTTGAAGCACCGAGAATAAAAGTGAAGCCACAAACACAAAATATGCTGCCGACGACTCTACAACATTCAAGCAAGAGGGAAAAAGAAAAACAGAATGTGGAATAGACGGAAAGAAACAAGTGATCGTTATTAGTTTTGAAAATTCTGAATTTCAACTAATGTGATCTTTTGGACCATTTGGACTAACAAAAAGGAAGTGTTGCATGCAGTTTTTGAATTTTGACTAGAAAATTAAAGATTTTGCACACATCATCATGAATTTTTTGCCAGAAAAAAAAAATTCAGAGGAAACAAAGAGGAAATTACACAATCAAAAAGGAAAGATTTGTAAATTCTGACCTGATTAGAAAAGAAGACCCTTTTGCCAGGATGATCTCTTTTGGATTGAACCCAAGAATTACAGGAAAAATGTACCGGGCCACAAGGAAGACCGTCCAGAGTTATGCTCTCCAAGAAGAACTCTTGCTGGTGCTTGTTAATTACAGTGATTGCTCCGGGCACTCCAAAATCTCTGTCCACACTAAATTCAGCTGTGTAATTTACTCTCTCTGTTTTCAGATTTGATTTCTTCGACCAGTCTCTTAGTATTGCTGGCCTGCTTCTCTTTGGAATTTTTGTTTCTTCATCAATCCAAACCCAACCAAAAAAAGAATAAAAATAGTAAGATATAAACATAAATTAGATTTTGCAGATAAAAAGAAGAGGTTTGGTTTTGAATAAAGTTGCTTACTTGGGTCAACCTCGGTACTAACAAGCTCCAACACGACATTTCTTCCCATTCGATCAGTCAAAGCGTCCAACTGTTTCAACATCGATTCTTTCAAATCCTCCTTATGCTTGTTCTTCACGGTCACCACCGCCCTCACCGTCAACTCCGCCGCATTTTCTCCCGGCGCCACCGCTTCCACCGTCATTCCTTCTCTGATCAAATTCCTCCTCTCACTTATCGCCGCCACCACCGGACGACTCCTAATTACGGACATGCTCTTACTAAACCTCCCCGCTTCTTTCCTCGTACCTAAGCTCCATAATTGACCCGGCCCGTTCTGATAATCCGATAGAAGAAACGGTGATCTTTTCTCCAACAGAGACGAACCCAGAATTTGTTTACTTAATGCCATCTCTCTGTTTTTCTTTTTTTAACTAGCGAACTCCAAAAAATTGATCAACAATTAAAGAAACTTATCTGGGTTACGTTGAGAAAAAGATAATTCCAGTGTTGAGAAATGGGAGTGTAAAAATTTGGAGTTTTTTTTTTTTGAGTCGCGAATTCAGCCTGGGTGGGCTAATAGTGAGTGGGATTTTTGTATTTATACAGGGAGAAAAGGAAGGAAAGATGGATGACGACTGAAAATTGATGAGTACACCGTCCAGGCGTTCACACGTTTTCAATGTTAAAAATTTGTGTGACAAAGGAGAAGAAGAGGACAGAGTATAGAGTAGAACCACGCAGACGATTCTTTAAGGTTTTAAAGATTCCGAGTCAAAAACTCAAAAATAACGAGTTTTTTGATGGTTTCTGGGGGACCGCCGGACCGGTAAAAGGACGCGGCCCGCAGGAAGGTCTGCAGAAAGTGGGATGCGGGGCCGGGCGGGGCCATCGAGCTGACTCAAAATAATGGGCATTTCGTTACTTTTTCACCTTAGATTTTTCTTTTCATTTAGTATTCCGTTACATTTCTTTCTTTTCTCTAGCATTTTATCGATTTACTTTTCTCGATGTTTTAGAATACTTATATGTGTGTGTATTTGGTACAAATAAGGAGGTATAAACCTATGGATTAACACTTTACGATTGTAAGAAGCACCGACTATGTCGTGTTCTAACCATGGTTTAATACCCGCAGTGACTCATCAAGACTCACAATATCTATTGGCAAAGAAAAGTATATTATCAGCCAGTATTTTATACTTCCTTCACCAAAAAATGATTGTCCAATTTAGATTTTTACTTTTAGTACAATTTAATTACAAATGAAATTCTAAACTGGACAATTATTTTGGGACTAAAAGAGTAAAAAAAAAAAAAAAATCATTTGTGGTTATTTAGAACATAGCCATTAATCAAAATATGTGCAATGATAAGTGTAGTGATACATTTTTTTTATAAAAGAAAAAAAAAGTTTTTAAGGGACAATATATGTGAAATATCTATCTACAACAGTACAAAATGTGAAAGATTTATATATGATACAACTTTGGTTATAATACACTATTCTTGATAACATTATTATTTTATGTCTTCCCACTTTCGAGGGAACCAAAACCTTGTGCGCTAAAAGTTTTGGGATCCCATTTATGATTAAGTACTCTTCGTGAATGTGTTTAATTCATTTGTATATTCGAATAAGATGAATGATATATAATTAACTTTTGGGGGGATAGGGACCTGTTATGGCATTTGGGGGGCTCTTCTTACTTTTGGTGAATTTGCCTCTTAATTATTTTGGTGTTTGTGGGGTTTCATTTTCCACTTTCTAATTCGATTCCACAACCCCCCAAAAGTGAGATCGATGTGTATCGTAACAGTAAAATTTAAAGCTCTTGTTTTCTGTTGCCTTATGTGGGCATCAATTATAGAGTACCTTTTTAGCTCGAGAAAATTGAGCAATGGAGGAAAAAAAATTACTACCTTCGTCTTAAAAAAAAAATTCAGTTTGAATTTTGAGATTTGTAATAATTTTAATACAAATTTAAAAATTTAATGTATACTATTTTTTTTTGGAACGGAGGGAGTATATGATAAAACTAAGAACATTTGAGGGGTACTGATCTCATGCTTTTGTATCTCGCTCAAAATTCAAGTTTCTTCATGTGACTACAAAATCTTACTTTCGATTTTGTTCCTTATTCTCCTAAGATAGAATTGAAATCATCAACGTGTACCGTCGAACCATTGATTGAGAGACCGATATGAATGTGAGAATGTTATGGTAACAGAGCACTAAGGAGTACCAACTATACTAATAGTGGATAAAATTGTTACTAATTTTTCTATCTCTGATATTTTTTTCTGTGACGAATGGAATATGATTTTAAATTTCTTTCTATTTTTAAATGATCAATTCATTTGTTATACTATACCAATGTATAATATATATACTAACACGCAAAAAGAATTGGGATTTGGGATTGGAGGAGTGGGAAGCTACTTTTCTTCTGTTAAAAAGATAAAACTTGGGGTTGGGGAAAAGGAATGGGAATATTGACCAGATGAAGACGCCATGCATGGAGGCAGCAACTGCGTACGTATCTTTTTTTTTTTTTTTTCATCATTTTAGTTAAGTAATGGATTGTTACCGGTAAGTTTGGCAGCTTATGGAAAATAATTAGACAAATTCATTATTCATAATCCTAATTTAATCTTGCAAAACCATCCAATCCATTTGGGCAGATTTTCAATTAGTTACGATACTACTCGTCCTCTACTCTTTACTTGCCGCTGCGCTGAGTTGCGTGACAATTTCGTTAATCACCGCTTTTAGAATTTTCCGTTCCCCCTCTATTTGTTTCTACAGTCTAATTATCACATGATAAATGAAAAATTACTCATCTCACTATTTTCGTCAGTTATTTTTTTACCTTAACCTCGAGAAACCTTGTCTTCTATGTACGCATATAAAAGAGAAGAAAAATAATACTCTTTCCGTCCTAAAAAAGGTAGTCCATATTGAGTTTTGTACTGATTTTATTATAAATTTGAAAACTCAATATGTACTATTTTTTTGGGACGGAGGTAGTAACGTAGATATTGCAAAAGCTGTCATTATTTCTTATTCAGTGATCGAATTTCATTCTACCATTGATATGTTTCATTTTCCTTTTTTTTTTTTAACATATCCGAGCAAATATGTGTTGTCTATTGATTAATTCTTGCACACCTTTTTCCCTCGTTCTTTTTAGCTATTGAATATTCCAAAAAAGAAATTTGTCTCAAAGAAACATTCGTTTCCTTTTCAATTCACTCTTTCGTCCACTCAATCATATTGACGACTTCGCCACATGTTTTGTGACAATTGATCCTACATGTATGCAATGATGTAAAACTTGCTACGTAACTTCATCTGTTGAAAATTGGTCATCTGTTCGTGAATCATTCCACAATATGGAATTTTTTTCCCTATATATTATTATTATTATTATTATTATTATTATTACTTAAAACTGGGGTAGAAACATTTAATAAGCATATTAATGAGCGAGGATGGAAAAATTTTATTTTACAGGAGAACAGAAGACTAGCTACTTAGCATATATAATACTATTACGGTTGAAGTTCGAATATTTAATTGGTTTGGTCGGAAAATTAAATAAAATTCTATGGATGGACATACAACTGGTTGTTTATGGTTCGTTGAAATTCCAATTAATTAATTACTTTTACCATAATTTTTAAGAATTCTTTTTGATGAAATCTAATTTATAAAAAAAAATAATCCACCATCCCAGACAAATTCATTTTGTAAATCAAAACAATGCAACAAAAAAAAAAAATTATATGATCAGTAGGACAGAGGGAGGTCATAATACTGAAAATACGTAAATCTATGTTTGATTAGATTACTGATAGTGCAATTGGTTCACAAATGTTTTGACATAATTCAACTATGCTGCTATTGCTCCGACCATATAATAATAATAATAATAAAAGTCTTGCATTGAATATTGTTTATTTATGTGCTTGAGCAGCGAAAGAGTCAACGCTCCGACCACAGAATGATGTTCAAATCCCATAACGTAACCTACATGTCTCAAGACTACATTTTCTTGTTGACTTATTGGTATCAGTCTCAATCTTATACGCATTCCTTTTTATTAATCATCCGAAAGCTACTACTTAATATAAAGGAAAATCAAAAGAACGATAATGCAGCCATTTGTATATATATATATATATATATATATATATATATATATATATATATATTTCTTGTGGTCTGTATTTCATAATTGAAGATTCTATTCAATTCTTCATTTTGAACCGGCCATGTTATTAATTACCACCACAATCATGTTAAATTGACCGTTTTCAACATATACATGTACTCCATGTTCACACTGTAAATTATAAATTCTTTTTAATTCAGTTTATTACGATTTATGATTTGGACTATATATTTACGAGGCGTAGTGAGTTCAATTTTTAGTACTTTTGAACAAAACTATTACGTACACTTATTGAAGTTTAGTATATGCATATCCTCTGATTCACAAAAAATTATTCTTTGTAAAATATAAATCATACTAAATTTTTTTAGATGCAAAATAAAAAATAAATAAAGAATAGCCTTAATCTAGTGATGGAACGAGAATTTTCAAATCGCGAGGTCGAAAATAAGATTATTCAACCGTCATCGGAGGATCGAACTAAAAAAATTTCAAATAACGGACACTCTACTAAAAAAAATTTGGCCAAATCCGGGCAGCCGGGGGGTCGATCGACCACCCTGACCCCCCTTAATCCGTCACTGCCGTAATCCATGGATCAAGTGAAGACTCTTCCTTATTGAAATTTATGATTTAATTGAATTGAAGATACAATAATTCAAAAGCCCAAAGGAGTAAATTTCGGTTTTTCTTATTGTTACTTCCTCCAATATGCTTCTCGAATTTTCCATTCTTGTTCTTCGTTTGAATGAATTAAACTTTTCGTCTTTTACTTTTTCTTTTTCCTTTTAATATGTTGAACAGGGATGGGAATCAGGAATTAATATTGCATTTTGACGACTAAAGATATTTGAATTGTCAATTTCTATTATGGACGATATAATAGTCGAGTGATCAACTTATTCATTTTGTACCTAGGAAACTCTGAATGTGCACGTATAACTCTAAGGTACTTCCCTTCCCCTCTATCCCAAAATTATTATTTAATTTAAATTTCAATTTTTAGTTCAATTTATAATAAAAATAAAAATACAGAACAATAATTTCGAGACGAATAGTTATGTGCTAACTATAACTAGACACCTAGACGTCGCTAAAGATTGTGGTACCACATTAATAAACAGAACTTTAGTATTTTGAAACCCTAATTAGAGTTTAGAAAGTTTAATTTGTATAGATCTTTATAATTTTTTTAATTTTTTTTTTTTTGGTTACAGAGGACATCTCTGATGGTTAATAACTCATATCCTGAGATCATAAGAATTGTGATCGTTGCAAGATATTACTAAGAATTGACATTTGTTACCGAACACAAGAACGGTTCGACATTTGTCAGTCTAAATAACAGATTTTTACATTTGTAAAACATTGGAAAATGAACAATTAATGTGGCCGTAGCATAAATAGTCCACCGGACACGATCAAAATCTATAGCGAAAAAGAAACCATTTCCACCGATTCGCAGCTTCTTCATTCGATCTCACAAACGTTTTCTTGGTTGAGGTAAATTAATTTTAGATATCGCTCGATTGAAATCATTATTTTTCTCTCTTTTCCTTCTTGTAAATGTTTTAAACAATTAAC